AGTATATGTGTGTTTTGTTTTTTTTTTGGGTGTGTGTTGTTTTTGGTAAAGAAGCTTTTTCAGTGATTCTCGGGTGATTTTAGCAAACATTGCACGATTGTTTTGCACATGTTGTGGTTCTTGAGTGTTTTTTGTGTGTTTTAACAACAGATTTTGCTGATTTTGCGGTGGTTCCAATCAATCGTTAAATAAAAAACGGATATGGATAGCGGAATTTACCAGCACCATGGGATTTAAGCAAGGCCAGTGGTGGTACAATGAGGATATTTCTAGAGATACAATGGGAATAATCTGGGTGAATTCTAACAACAAAACTATGGGATTTCACCAGCAAAAAACCATCAGTGTCTGTGTTTTTGCATGTTTTTAAATGGTTCAAACAACAACAGTGAGATAACTGGGCTACGATTTTTGGTAATGTAATGGCATTATCAAATTTCCACACGCTGGGATTGACAGTCAGAATTTCTGGGAACCACGGGTTTTCATGAATTTGGTTTTTGCCAATGGTAGATTAGCACATTTTTGGGTTACCAAATTATTTGTAGATTGAACGTTTAATCAAGAGTTTCAAAACTAGCTGATGTGGTTGGTGGTTTGGAACATGTTTTTTTCCATATATTGGGAATAATCATCCCAACTGACTTTCATATTTTTCAGATTTCTCAGAGGGGTAGGTCAACCACCAACCAGATGTGGTTTACCGAGATCAGAGAAGGTGACGTAGAATGAAATGCACTCACCTCAAAAAGGTGAACAGCATTCATGGTCACTGGTTTGACACATCAAGAGTCATAATGATGGGCACCCCTCTGGCAAGTTAACATAGCTATGAATAATCACTAATAATCACCATGTTTAGTCGGGAAATCATCTATACATGAAGCATTTTCCATAGCCAACTTTAAGTACCAGAGGGTAAAACCAATCACAATTCCATGTGTTTGAGGTTTGAAAGACAAAGATCCGATGATAAAGTCTGGTGACAAGAGGTTGACCTTAAATTTGCTGGCCATTGACCAGGCCAACTTTTTTCGAATCCACGTGCCACTGCTGGCAGCCACAAGTGCTTCGCCGCCTCCTGTTGCCATTGTGGTACCAGATTGTAGATAGACTAGGTCAATCTTACATGGATACTTTAATCCTTTAGTCCTTTAGTCTTTTGGTATCAATTGGAATATCTACTAACCAGCAAAGAATTTATTTTTTTTGCAGGGCATCTAAGATTGGCAATGTGTGGTACCAGATTGTAGATAGAGAGGGAGAGAGAGATAGAGTGGTAGACATCACGATGACACCTCACCAAACTGAATTGCCCGCAGGCCACAGCTTTTCTAAAGAGAAAAATCCTACTGAATGCTATAACAGCTAAGCTGAGTAGTATGGAATATGGTCAACTAGGGAAATAATCTTGAGATCATTCACGCCAATATGTTTTTGCTCTCAATATGTGTCTCAATCCACAGCAGTTCAGGGTCCTACTCACAGAGTGAGACCTTGGCGCAAACTGACCCGCTTTGTACCCAGTGAAAATTAGGCGGTTTGCCATTGGTTTGTTTCGTAATTTCAGTATACCCATTGATCTTAGTTATCCATTTCCACAATATATATTTATTATATATATTTATTATATACTGATTATATATATATATATATCGACACTTATATATAATGGAATATCGTTATCTGAGTAATCCTCATTTTAGTCTCTCAAAACAAGTTGAACAGTTTCATTTCCAAGTATGTAACAAAAAGCTTAGCCCTTAAAATGCTGCATTCCCTGAATAGCAAACCTACCCAGAAAAACAGCTCATTTAGGTAAATAGCAAACAAACCTAGCATTTTGGTTCATTCCCTAAATATCAAACAACACGCCATGTTCTATCCCCAACCCATCCCCAAATCAGGGCCTACTGTCAGACAGAGACCCGGGACCCGTGCCATGGCCTTCCTGCCGTCCGAGAGGTTTCAATGGGGACGCTGGGAACTTTCTGCGGCGGGGGTGGTAATCTCAAAAAGAGTTCTTGTATGGTTGGCATAACTAATTTAACCATGGCTTATGACCGTTTATGGCATAGATATAATATGAATAGTTGATATTTCTAGATTGGCTACAGTTTGGTATTTGGGGAAGGGTATTTGTCATAACTATAGGTTAACCATGCTGTAGATTTGTAGGGGCACCACCTTGTGGGGGCGCATGCCAGGAAGGTCTACAGCTATGTTTGGGATATAAACCACTTACGAATTGGGCTGCGCATCCAAGTAACCTGCAGAAATGCTGGTTCTACAGGTTTGATGAGGTTTGATTGGGCTTAACTGGATTTAATGGAACTGCTTGCGTCTTGAAATTGAGTTTTCTCCTAAAAATACATAGCCAAAGGAATTAGGGGTACACTATGACAGTCATACCCAAAATATTTGGCACATGTATTGATCCCGCCCCATGTTGAATACGCTCATGGTGTGGGCCCACAAAATGAATTGGTTCATATTATGATTCAATACTATACCAGGATTGCGTTCATCAAATGTTAAGCAGGAATTAATCAACCATGGAAGAGGAATTTGATCAGCAATAAACGAGGAATGTGATGGAATTTCAGTGAGTTTAGTTGGCAATGAACATTAAAATAAATAAATATTCAATGATGATTTTTTCATAGTACCCTTCCTGTAAACTCACATAGATGTGGAAAAAACCCACCATTTACAACTAATCGATCATTTTCCGAACGGGAAGCCGTTGATTTTCCACATGCAAAATGTAAACGCTGTTCTTCATGAATGCCATGTGGATATCCTTGCTGGTCAACATCCCCTGTTTTTTAATGTATCCGCACATTACCTTTCAATATCCAGAGTTTTGTCGGACAACCATAGTTCCGATATTTCTATAGTTGCTATTACTACATTGATTGGTATGATATTTCCACAAAATCTTCAGTTCTCGGCGATCATTTTTTCATCATTCCCGCTGCAGGCGCTGCGATTGTTGCAATGTGGGGATGCCTAGCAGAAATCCAAGCTGTGGCGCAATGGCATTCCAAAGTTGGGGGAGCAACCTGGATTGGGGTCCAGGAGCCTGCTGGATCGCAGAAAAATTACGATAGTGATACCCTCTGGTAAACGTACAAAAAACTATGGACAATCACCATTCTTCAGTGGAAAATCCACTATTTCATATGGCAATTTTCAATAGCAAACTGTAAACGTTTACCAGAGGCTAATCCATTGCATATTTCGAGGAAAATCGCCTTATTTTCAGACGAATTGGCTGAAAATTACATGCTTAAGTTTCCTAATTATTGGTGAATTTACAATGTGAAATCTATCGAAATCCGATGATCGAAGACAACTACCCTTCTGGTTATGACTAACATAGCCATGGAAAATGGCCCATTTATAGATGGCCCATAGCTATGTTAAATAACCAGATGGTATGTTGACTATTTCTGTGGTTCCTTGCTTCGCTGACAAATTGAGCGACACGCAGAACACTGGGTGTTCTGCTATTCCTACACCAGCACCATTTCTGTGGTGATTCTGATATATGATGGCCATTCTCATATATAAATATATATATATATATCACCAGATATGCCATTCTGTTATATGTATTTCTGCGGTTTGGGTCATAGATTTGCTTTCGATATTTCGGAGATGATGCCTGGTGCTCGCGTGCTCGTAGATCCCCAACGGTGGCCCAGATTTTGTTTATGCATCATGGCGCCCGACGATGGACACGGTAAACACCACATCCAAAAAGGGATGAAAAGTACTGGAACTTGTTATTTTCTGGTGGATAACATGGCCAGTTATTACTCGAGCGCTCACATGTTATTGATTTATACAGTGGAATGATAAACTGGAATGTTATTTATTTATAATTATTTGGTTGCCATGGATTTTTCCAGTTCAGTTTGGAATTACGAAACCAAACAAGGCCCCAGCTGGATTATGAAATCATGAAAAGAATGTTCCTTTCGGGAGGATCAACCCCGAACTTTGAGAAAAGTGGGTGAATTGACTTCAACTGAAATCAGCACAATCAGTTTCTCTTGGTAAACCCAACAAGGTTATTTATGACATGGCAGTATTGTCTTGCCAAATTTTGCCCATGAGTTTTTGGACGCCAGACGTCTGAGGCATTCATGTCCCTATTTGAGTCATTTGTCATTTGTCTCGGTCGAGGTGTCATCGAATTTAATCATGTTTGATGAGAGAAGATTCCCTGCAAAAATAAACTCGCTCCAGTAATGTAGTAAACCCAATGCCATAAATCATTCCGAATACATAAATGGGTGATAACTGTGATAACTATCCTGTTTCAGATTCGTTTCATCCTGTTTCACCCCAGCAAATGATCTTGCAGACCCCACAAGAATCAGCTTGTTGACGCCCGCGTGGCCCGTTGGTTTGTGCCAAAATCACCCAGTTTACCAGTCAGGACCATTGAGCATTAGATCAGCCCAGGGTTTCTCGTTAGGCCAGGATTAGATTTTAGCCCAGTTCTTTGGGTGATGGTCATCGATGCATTTTCATCGGGATTTATATACCCACAATTAGTGAGGCCCCCCGTTGTGATGTGAACGTTGGTTTAGATTCGCCCCAGTAACTAGTTCGTTATAAGTACCATAAACCATAGTGAAGTTGGAGTTATGTTCACCAACTTAGCTATCGAACGGGGGCCTCACATTGCATGATATTGGGATTGGTTTTTTAAGTTATGGGAGGGACGACCATTAACCATCACAAACCATTCATCCCATGTAATTTGACCATGGCAGATATGACTATGCATCCAAACTTGGATCACCTTGGATCAAGCAACAGTAAACCAGCCATATGGATTGGGATTGACGGTTTATAGCACCCACTTATATCATTTTATATCCACAAAAATTATGAATTTGAATAAATTCCACCCATTTATATCCATAAAATTGGATAAATTTGGGAGATCGTGGATCCCATTGCTGTACTATAACATATATGCCATGAATCCCTTGGCGACGTTGGCGCGCCCGGTCGACCCTTTCATTCATCATCCCATGTCGCGTGCCGGATGCAACGAGGCGAGATCGTTCGCGGTCGCCGTTGCGCGAATGTGCACTGAGTGAAGAGGAGCAGGAGGTAGGACTTGGTGGGTTGGAACCTGAATTCTACAATGTGAGGCCCCCCAGTTATAAGTTGGTTTATAAGCCCCAGTAACTAGTTCGTTATAAGTACCATAAAGCATAGTTATTGAAGTTATAAACCAACTTAGCTATCTTGGGGGCCTCACATTGTACCATTTCAAAACTGACGCACTTCACTCTACCATTTCCAAAATATGAAAATAAGACAAAGCCACCATGTGTGTTGATGTTTATACTATTTCCAAACATATTCTGGTTGATACTTTGGAACATGATTTTTATTTTCCCGGTTGGGAATTTCATCATCCCAACTGACGCGCTCATATTTTTCAAATATGTATATATTATGTATAATGGGGTAGGACTTACTCCAGGATGAAGAAATTGAATAGGTCCAGTAGGTAGAACTGGCTGTGGAATAATGTGTGAAGGTGTAGAAGTCAAAGATTGCGAGTGATGAGGTGGAATTGGTTTTATGTGGGTAAAACAATGTCATAAACCACCCCCCAGGTCATGACCATCTTTATAGGTTGTATGTTTGCCATTCCCAGTCATGGGTGGTTTATTGTTGTTTTACCCACATGAATGGGGTAACAAATGGTGGCTATAACCTGCAGAAATGCAGGTGAAACATGAGGTTTAATTCTGGTGAAAAATAGCGTTTAGATTCAAATGGTGGTGAAAAACAGGGTAATCCACCATTCAGTTCGTTGATTTTCCACCATTAGGGGATTTCCAGCCAGTCATGTTTGATTTCCGGAACTTGTATGGGGGTTAATTTAGCTTGGCACGGTTTGTTATGGGGATATACCCGCTCTCTAAAAACAATAGTTATGGAAAATCCCCAATGTTAATGGGTAAATCATCTGTAAATTGGGTGTTTAATGCTCACTTGCCAGCAGGTATATGAGAATAACAAGCAGCCAGAATCCAGGAAATTTGAGATATAATCAACAAACCTGTGGGCTATGTTGCTGAACTGCATGGTTTAGGCTACTCTAGACAAGTCAATAGTTTGCTGTAAACGAATATGTATCTGATATATTGGTTAGTCCAAAAAATGTTGATACCCTAAGATGCACCTCGGGTTCATGGGGGAAGATACTAAGTCCGCTCAATTTGAAGGTACCCCGTTTTCGGACCAACCCATCTATGTACATATGGCTGTGTCTGTTTTTAACGCGTGCAGTTTTTAGTAAAGGCAGTAAGTTCGATTTGTGCGAATCATACCCCCGAATCATACCCAAGAAAATCACGATATTATGAATAATTCTTTTGGGATCGTTTGGGATTGCATTGGCCTCACTAGTTTTAATGGACCTGACAAGCTAATTGACCAGGTTTGGCCAGACCCGATGATCCCTGGCTACCTTCACATGCCTTCACGGAGTGGCGAATCTTCTCCACGCGCACAGAGTCTCATCATTATCCCTAAGCTGGCTGGCTCTGGGTGGCTGGCTGGCTGGCTAGGTGGCTGGCTCAGTTGCTGCTGCTGGTTGGGTGGCTGGCTATAGGGCTGGCTAGTTGCAGCTGGCTGGCTGCGTGGCTGGCTGCGTGGCTGGCTGCTTGCTGTGTTGCTGATGAGGCTGGTGAGGGGACTCCGGCTGTGGCTGGCTGGCTGGCTGGCTGGCTGTCAATCGTTTGAATAGAATACAGGGAAGTGAAAAACCTCTACTCTGTGGACCATTATCAAAGCCGGCAATGGCCGCAGTCGTCCCTCTGCCTTTCAGATGGTTGCGGGCCCCACCATCCTTTGTTTTTACACAATGTTCGCACAATTTTGTGGGAGGCTGGGTTGGCCGTTTTGCTGGTTGCAGGGTGCCACCATCGCAAGCATCATTGTCATTCCTCAGGGATGAAGCGAAGATTGTGAGTGACGTGATTTTGCCAAAGTACAAGACAGCTACAACCATGACATTGGAAGAGTACATTGACACGAGGGAACCAAGCTCCAAGAGGCGAGAGTTACAGAGCGCGCTGCAGAAGCACAAGTTCAACTTCTATACTGCAGCTGTGGAGGCAAAACAAACTAAGACAAACATACATATGTGCGTATGTGCGTAAATAATTATATATATATATAAACACATAGACATGCTGACCAGCCTTTATTTGCAGGGTCCCATCAGAGATTGGCCTTAGTTTGAAGTGGTTTGTAATCTGTGCTGCTGAAGATTGGAAGATGTACAGATTGAAAACGTGAAGGGATTTTCTACCTGTTCTATCTTCAATACCAAGCCTTTTATATTTATATATTGTAAGTATAGTATAATTTACAGATATACACATATTCCATGATATCCCACAGTATACCTATGTTTGATTCATGCTATAATCTATGATTAATAGTCATATTCAGCACCTCTGTTCAGTATTCCCCAAAAAACGTATCCCCATTTGGGGGTGCAGTTCCACTTGAGCAGAGACATCCCCAATTCTCAAAAACAAAGGTGGTCTACCCTCTGGTTATTTAACATAGCCATGGAAAATCGCTTATAAATGAAGGTTTCTAGCTGGGAAAATAAATGGGTCATTTTCCATGGCTATGTTAAATAACCAGAAGGTAAACCATCCAAACTTGGAGTTTCATGCTTGGATTCACCACATACTCCTCAAATTTGACAAACCCACAAATGGAGCTGGGGTACGGAAACCACTAGCAAACGAGGGTTGATATGCTGTCACCGGAGGCATGGCTGGCGGACTTTGCGCGGCATTATTGGTTGCCCCCCGAAGGTCCGAGAAAAGCCGTGTGAATGGAGTCTGAAGTGAACAGAGTTGGGTACCCTGGGTTAAAGTAACAAAACGACGTCGAAAACCTATGGTTTCCCGGAAAATGATCTACAAACAGGGGGTGTTCCTAGGTTTTCCACATCTATGGCAATGTAAAAAAGGATGGTTTTTGATTGAACTCACAAAAAATAACTTTCCAAGAAACTATGACTACCTCTGGGAGTTTCATCAACCCTCGGTTGATCAACCACATTTTCAACAACTAATTTGTTGCTGCTTACCAATTGGATACAGTCAGAAAAATATCTGGTTGTAGAGCTTATAATTAATAGTAAACAGAAATTCGAGTGTAGGTACCATTCAACAGAAAATTTCAAACTCTGTCTACCAGTCGGAACTAGCAGAGAGCAAAATGGTAGTCTGATGTTTATACAACCAAGGATGAAGCACCATGGTTACCAAAAACTTCCACAATGTACAGTAACCATTGTTTGGAAGTCCTAGTGAAACAGGTATTCCATCAACCAACAAGTACATGACTACCTGTGAGGTTTAAGTCACCAAACAAAAGGAATTTAACCACCACGAATGGCTTTGGCGCCAAACAAAGTGATGATATGATGGAGAAATTGCACTATTTATCTTAACGCAGAAATTGTTTTCACCAAGAGATTATTGGGATGTAAATGGTGGGTTTAATCATTTTGACGGATAATATCCACCAGTGTATACTGAGAAACTCCTACTTAGATTTGTTTAATTCAAAGCCACCTACTTAGAGCCAGCTTGTATTTGATAGAATCCATGTACTTACAGTATATATATATAACTTCCCACCGAACCAGTTAGCCAGTTAGTTATTAAATTGATGATATATCCATCATACACCATTAAATCCTTTTTGATGGTTCACATCAACCTATATATACATATTATGGTATCATTCATTATCATTGGATATTTTTGTAAATGGTATTACATATATACATATATACATATATATATATATGTGTGTACATCTTTTCTTGGTGATCGAAGATTTACCCTGCTTTCGCGGCAGGTCAACATCCACCCTGGCTCGGCGCCCGCGCGCTGCGCCTGATTCGCTTCCGCCTGAAGATTGCGGTGGAGGTGGCTGGGAACCCTCCACCCACGAAGCATCGTTGGGTCCGTTGGGTTGTTTGGTGAATGGGTTGTCACCAACGATTAATAAGATTTGTGATAATCAGATCTTGGTTAACCCGGTAAATGATGATGATTCAATCTATTAAATTATAACCAATTATTTGTAACATTTAATTGGAGTTACCATCTGGTTATTTAACATAGCTATGGAAATCCATTATAAATGGAGGTTTCTAGCTGGGAAAATCATCTGTAAATGGGCCATTTTCCATAGCTATGTTAAATAACCAGAGGGTAATAAAATTAAATCATCATTTAATGGGATTTTTCATGGGACTTAACCATCAATGGGCTTTACTGGCGATTTGTGGCTGTTGGAATCTTGAGAAATCTTGATTTATCCATGAAAAATAGTTGGATTGAATGGAATTTATAATGATATTTGATGGGTATATTATGTAATATATTTATTTATATGTATAATGGGGATATTTCATGTGTTCCATCCTCCGGTCATCAAGTTCATGGCTGGAATTTATCATCGAACAAACTATGGCGGATTTCATCGGATTTCCTATGTTTGATTTTGAAAATGGCCATCAAAATAGTGAGTTTTCCCAGCTATAAAATGCTGATGTTCCAGTTCCATATGTAAACGTTTACCAGGTCGGGTAATCATCAAAAAGAGTGGTTCAACCATGAAAAATATTGATTTAATCATCAAATATGGTTGTTTAGCCATAAGACATGGAATACTACACGTCAAAATAGGGCCTTAACCACGCAATATAGGCCATAGTACGGATCTCACCATTTTTTTTATAATGAATTTACTTGATTAAGGCCTTTCTCCACCGGACAGCTGCAGCCCACCGATGGTCCAATTTGGAACTCTGTGATGTCCGCGAGTAGGATGGAAGTTTTCAGAGTGTGACAGGTCTCAAGTGATCATCGTTCCTTTTGAAATAGCTAGGTCAATCTTACATGGATACTTTAATCCTTTAGTCTTTTGGTACCAATGGGAATATCTACTAACCAGCAAAGAATTTAATTTTTTGGAGGGCATCTGAGATTGGCAATGATAGATGTTCAATCTTTCAAGATGATAGGAACAGATGCCATGCAATTCGAAGTGCCAAACTGGGGCATGGTCTTCATCTGATGTTTGATTGTGATTGATTAGTTGGTGGCAATTCAATCATCAAATGGGGTCGTTTAACCATGAAAGATTGAATCTCATCCAGAAATTCTCGTTGGCTTATGATTGGAGGGAGTTCTACCTGTCTTTTGGGAAATATGATAATCATATCCACAGATCATCCATATAATTATGCTATGTTTGGATATGGTATATTCACCTAGACTTAGCCCACCCAAGTTTGAGTTACTGTACATACATCATACATCCAGATTTCAAACTGGGTGTATCCTCTGGAAGAGATTGGCAAAATGTAATATCGTCATATTTATATATATATATACATATTATATATATATTTTTTTTTCTCTCCGGCACATTGTAGCGTTCTGCTGCGGCCATCATGCTGTGCAAATTCGAAGCCTGGCTGGCTCATCCATGTGCGAAGTCAGCACCCACGTAATCGCCAAAATCCTGGCAGTTCATGTCTTTACACTGCTGCAGGAAGGCTGCGGGCACCTCATGTGCCGGGGTCTGCTTGCAAGAGTCAAATGACCGGATGAAAGCTTCAGCCATGCTTTTGCAAAATGCCGGAGCATACTCCTTGAGAATCGTGGTCTTCCAATGCCCCGACTGGTCTTTCCCAATCGCTTGAGCCTTCGGTAGCTCACGGCGGACACGATTCCTGTGCAAGTCAAGGATGAGCTCTGGCATGTTGACAACTAATAAATGTGTGGGCTTCGGTGCAAATGAGCCCATAAGCCCCTGTGCAAATCGAATTTTCTGTACATGGTCCATGGCCAGCAAAGTGCGAACCAATGGGAGGCGCCAAATGGAAGCCTTCTCAGGAGCGTCTTCTGGTTCTGCAGGATGCTCAAGAATCCCGAAGCCATCACAGAGAGCAAGCTCTGTATATATATATATGTATGCATGTATAGGAATGCACAATAGCTTAATCTAATCTGTTTGCTTTCTCGTGGCTTTCTTCAGGCATCCAATTTGAAATCTCCAAAAGGATGGGATGGGTGATTGTAAACATAGATAGATTGCTAGATAGATCTGAAATGTGAATCAATACAAATGGGATCACCTACCCTATATGGTAATTTAATTTATCATAGTTATGAACAGTTACTCTTTTTTTTGACCGGGAAATCAGCTATAAACGCGCCGTTTCCCATTGCACACCAAGAAATTACACGAGAGTATGTTAGATAGATCATATCAATGTCCATGACCAATTGATAGATATCAATCCATGTACAGTCATCGCATGGCCCCTCGAAGATATACACCTGGATGTATCTAATGTTGTCCCCTCGTGTTTGATGGCCCAGATCGAAGAACTTGTGGATCTTGCAGAGGGTGAAGGCGCCCAGCAGATGGGCGAAGGGTTGGACACCTGGAACTGTGGTGCCCCAGGTATAAATTTGTTTATGGCTTATAACCACAACTACTTATCGATATATCACGATATATCATGATAACTCCAACTAACTAGTTCGATATATCAGCTGATTGGTGGTTTGGAACGTTTTTTATTTTCCATTTCATCTATGGGATGTCATCCTTCCCATTGACTCATATTTTTCAAGATGGATAGGTCAACCACCAACCAGTTTATTATTAACCATCATTAACCATATCAAAACAATTAATATTAACCATTATGAACAATTTATAGTGGATTTTCCCATTCAAAATGGTGATTTTCCATAGTTATGTAAAGGTTTACCAGAGGGTATCTCTACCATAAACTCTGGGTATTGGAGTTATGTCTGCCGAAAGCTGGCGAGGGCACCAAGGGCACCACATCGGATCGACCCGGTGGGGACCCAGAGTCATCAATCCAATGGGATTTATCTACCTACCCATGATAGTGATTATCAGGGAAGTGAGTAGTTATATGCTGTCTCTCTCTATATATATATATACATGTATGTATACATATATATATATGTATATGTATATACATTTATATTATGTATATATCTATATATTTATGTATATACACATATGTACATATATAAATATATACATATATATATATATATATGTAGCCTAGGGTAAAGTCACAGAACGATGTGGAAAGCCAATGGATTTCCGTTCGGAAAATGATCTGCAAATTAATCTTCCACATCTATGGCAATGTTTAACAGGTAAATATCATCTATAGCGGCTATAGCATCCGGGAAATCATCCCCCAAATGGCTTCATTTCCTATGTTTAGCTTTGTAAATCGAAATTCGATTCAGCCAGATTACTTGGGTGTATCTAAAAATTGGGCATGGACCCCTAATTCAACCAATGGGTCAACCATTTCAAGAAGTAAAATATTTGGAAAAATCCCATGAGTCATGGGTAAACCTTGATCAATGATGAATGATCCGTGGATAATTGCTGAAGAATAGTGGAAGAATCGTTGATCTCCCCCAAATCCTTTTTTTTCAGGGCATCTTGGGTCACCCATGTTTGGGTTGTTGAAGTTTCTGCTCCTTACCATCTCCGAGAATGGGCTTCTGGAGTCTAAGCTGCGGAAGGGTATACAAAGAACTGGATCGCATTCTGTGTGCCGCAGTCAGGTGGGTTGAGGACGAAATGCAAACAAAAATTACATTTAGCAGTACACCGCTCCAACTGGTTGAATCCTCGACTGCACGAGGGTTCCACCAAAGGTGGACAAGCTCATGAAGGCATACCCGTCCGCCTGTAGCAGATTCACAATGCTTTTCATCTTGTGGGCGTTCAAATGCCCGCTCAAGAAAGCTATGGGGATACAACAGACTCCCTGGAATGGGTGACCTCAGCATGTGTGCATATACATCTGCATGTATATGTATGCATAGTATACACTCATTTATAACTGGTTGGTGGTTTGGAACATTTTTTATTTTTCCATATATTGGGAAGAATCATCCCAACTGACTTTCATATTTTTCAGAGGGGTAGGTCAACCACCAACCAGATAATCATTTATACATTTCTATGAAATGTTTTGTCGGTGTTTGTTTATCAGCCACATCTTGCAGTATTTCTTGCCTCATATCCTCAACATCTCAACCGCCAGGGCGACTGATGCCAGAAGATCTTGCGAATCCCGGCGTGATGGCTTCCGTGCGAGCTCGCTGGTTGGGGTGCCCAGATTTGCATCTCACCAAGTTACCGTGGTTGTAACATGTTGTAACCTTTTTTAAAAAAATAAAAAACACATTGAAAAAACATATAAAACCCATATACACTTGGGGAGATTGATTATATCCGTGGGCATTAGATGGTTATTACAGGTAATTATCACGTACTACCCACTTATGAAGTGGGATGCACAGCAATGTACCCATGAGATGGTTCAACTATGTTTAAATATGGCAAGTTCAATGGTAAATATATGTAAATATGACGATTTACAAATTGATATTGCATTTTGTTTGGAAAAGTGATGACGCAGCATGGAATGTCGTGGTTTCATATTTCGAGAGAAGCCACTTGTATCCAATTGTAAACATTGCGAATCAAATGCTGATGCATCATGAGATATTGTGGTACTAGATTTCAATCAAACCCATTTTGGCAGTTGCTTTGCCACAGCCTTGCGGAAAGCATTTCCCGTAGATGATGAGTAAATACAAATAGTACAGGTAGGGGAAACCATCTTATTATAAATGATTTCATTGGCTTCAGATTTGCACAGAAATACATCCCAGAAGAAGGGTAGTTGCGTATAGACGACTCAATTTTTGCCACTCAATGATGAGGATACATGAGTCACACTGGCTAGTTTTTTGATGATAGCTAATTTTATGTCGCCATGTTCCTTTATCAACCGCCCTCTTGATATGAAAAAATCTCATGAAATCTCCCATTGCCTGCTTCAATCAGAAGGTTCCCTGAATCAATCCTCCACTGGACAAGTGTGTATGCCATGTGTATTTCATTTCTTTGACCTGTCATGAGTTTGTCTGAAAACGACGGTGCCGTTAGTCATCATGTTCCTTTTCAACCTGGCCACAAATAAATTGGGGGCATGCCCAGGCACCCATGTGGTGGTTTATGTTCCAAGTCTTTATCTATCCCATATTGTGTTCAATCCCATATGTTCAATCCCAATATGTGACAACACGATAGATAGATAGAGATAGATAGAGAGAGATAGAGAGAGAGAGAGAGAGATATATATAGAGAGAGAGATAGTGAGAGAGAGAGATAAAAAGAGAGAGCGAGAGAGAGATAGAGAGAGAGATAGATAGATAGATAGATAGATGGATCAATAGATCCATAGATAGATCTAGATACATTTTGTCCAGGAATTCCCATCTGTTTCTTTGCCAAAAACCCTGCCTGTAGGGTCTAAGTCTATGTTTATTTTTCAAAAAATGGTAGATCTATACACCAAGTTTATCAAATTCTAGATCTAGCTAGATCTACCAAGTTTTCCACATTTTTTTGGGATATTCTAGGTACCATACACCATAGATACGGAAGCCGCCCTTCCTGAAGCCGCCAGTCCTGTGTCCTCAGGCAGCGTTTCGTGTGGCTGGACGACCTGGCCAGAATGAGTCACTTGGGAGTGAGGCTATGTATGACATATGACATATCTACATATCTACATATTTATATATACACACATATATAAATGTATAATGGTATGTGTATTTATATATATATACATGTTTATAATAAATAAATATATATATATATACATATATAAATGTATAATGGTATGTGTATATATATACATTATTATAGTAAATAAATATATATATATATATACATATATAAATGTATAATGGTATGTATGTATATTATGGTAACTATATATATATGTACCTTTTATATTTACACAGTATACACATGTACCTAATATATATATATACACATATATATATATATACACATATATATATAATGTATATAGTGGGGATATCACATGGGGATATGTTTCCCATCTACCTAAATGGAGGTTTGCTAAAATCAGGGTACCCCAAGTCACCATGGCTTTCAATACTAAAATGGTCTAATTTTGATTATTGCGGGTACCCCTATTTTCGGATATATATATATATATGGTCATCCTCAAAAAAATAGAAAAGTACATCCCCTTTAAAATTGTCAAAATTCATTGTGACAGATAAGACCAACTGAAGTCGCTCGCTAAACTTTACTCACATCCGGGATTCTAAAAAAAAAGGTAACCTCCAAACCCACGGGTTCATCCATTCAAGTGCTGGCTTTGATCGGAGCGCATGATCTTGCACTGCTCTCCCTCATTTTCGAGGCAAAGTCTCATAGTTCCCAAATCAGGTAAAGCCTTCCTGGGATAATGTTTCCCCATCCAAGCAATATGTATGCTGGGGTGGTTTCAAGGTTCACCATTTTTTCGCGGAGTTTGTTCTCCCACATCTTTTGCCAGATTTGTCTCTCCATGACATGACTAAGTTTGGATTGGTCACAAAAATGCCAGTTGAACATGTGAAACGCAACATATTTAATTACTATATTGATAATTAGATGAGTATATTCTATATTCATAGATTGATTTTACTATCATGCTATCAACATCTATAAACATATTTTATATCTATAGATTATATAACTGTAGCAAAACCAATGAAAAAAATCCATCCCGGAAATCCGGATGGTCGCTATGTTTACCATCCCCAAATGGCACTTGTTTCTTATTGAAAAGTGCCACATTAGTGGATATGTAATCTATATATTAATATGTATCCCCATTATGTTAGTATATGAATATTTATCACCATATATTTGTATCCCTATAATCTATTAATATATATATATATAGTATTAATCACAACTATATATTATTGATCATCTATAGATAATATTCTCAATACAGTTGTATAACTATACTATGTTATCTATCACCGTTATTTATCTATTACTCTCCAGTAAATTAACATAGACCCTGCCAGATAGGGGTTGGAAGATTAGTTTCCATGAAAAATTAGCAATTTTCAGGGTCTACGTTAATTTACCAGAGGGCATCTATTATGGTGTTATATTAATCAGTACTCTACAATGTGAGGCCCCCAAGATAGCTAAGTTGGTTTATGGTACTTATAACTATAGTTACTGGGGCTTATAAACCAACTTATAGCTGGGGGGCCTCACATTGTAGCGATAATCCCAACTGACACCATGGCGACCTCCCCCCCAACCCGCCGCAGGTGATGTGCTCTTTCGCGGACCCATTGACGCGCGCCATGCGGATGAGGCGCGACAGCCAAACAGAGTGGGCTGAACTTCATCTCCGGTAAAGCCGATGGGAAACCGTTGGGTGAAAAATGATATACCCTGTGGTAAATTTACAAAAAACGATGGAAAGATCCACCATTTTCAATGGGAAAACTCACTATAATTAAATGGTCATTTTCAATAGCTATGTTAAATTACCAGAGGATAAATGTGCAACCCCCAGCCCAAAATACAAAAGTAAACCGTTTATCACTACCTTAGCGGGATTTTACTTTTCTAATTTAAAGTGATAAATGGGCTTACTAAGTAACTATGATGATTATCACATGACGATTTTACTGTTCTTTGTTTTTGGGTGAGTGCTCTAATTTAAAGCTTGTGCGGATGCACTTTTTGAAGCCTTGCATCCTGGCAGGACGTCAAGTTTATCACTCATCAAATCAAGGATAAAGTTGTCGTAGTTCATTATGACATTCAAGATTGATAATTGCATACAAGAGATTGGAAAATTATTGATAATATTGGACATTCAACATTGATACCCTCTGGTAATTTAACATAGCCTTTGAAAACTGCCATTTATAGTGGATTTACCCATTAAAAATGGTGATTTTTCATAGTTACGTTAGTTTACCAGAGGGTAATATGCCAATATGATTCGGAGATCCAACATGGCATACAAGATTGATTCTGTCATGGTTCTAGCTCACGTGACTGAACATCTACGATGATTTCAATCAAGCCCAGACAGTTCAACATGGGACGCCACTCGAGAACCAAGTGGAAGAAAGTCCTTGGAGAAATCCGTCTAGTGCTATGATTTGATATACATATATTTATGTGGATATATATATATATATACATGTATTATATCCTATGTATATATATAAATTATGTACATATATATATAATAATATATGTATATACATGTGGTGTTCCCCCCACTTTCGCAGTGACCAGGGGCATCACATCACATTGGCTCGTCAGATGGATCTGCGTCTCGCCCAAGCGTGGCGCATCTTGCGGTTTCAGTGGGGGAGCCTGGGTCGCCTGGGTCGCCTGGTGCATGTTGATAAGATTTACCCGGAGGCGCTGTCATCAAACGACCTGACTGCGACCGAACCCTGGAATCATGGTTTATGGTGACTTAATGGGGTTTTATGGTGACTAAATGGGATTTAATGGGATTTACTGGTAATTTAATGGGATATACCCTCTGGTAAACGTTTACAGTTTGCGAACTGAAAAATGGCCCATTTTAGTGGACCTACCTATTAAAAATTGTGATTTTCCATAGTTAGGTTAGTTTACCAGAGGGTAAGGGAAATCATCCCGAAATGGCCTTAGTTCATTCTTAATTCAGGTTAGTGAAATATTATAATTTACCCAGATAACTAGCTGCAAGGTGTTGCCCCCGTTCGATAGCTAAGTTGGTGCAAATAACTCCAATAACTATGGTTCATAGGTGGTATATCGAACTAATTAATGGGCTTATCAATTTATAACTGAGGGGGGGCACCACCTTGTGGGTATACTATTAAGGGGATATCAAGTAGGGATATGATAGGGATGTGGATACAAGGGGAATGATAGGGATAGGGATATCATTTATATAACAGGATCACACCTCCATTTCAGCGGTTGATGATTCTAGTCGTTTCATAGGGCTAACCATCCTTTTTAAGAGGTTTTGTATGAATTTAATGATCCCAAAGCTAGGGATTGACACATGATGGTTGCTCGATGATTATATGCCAACCAAAAAAAATTGGGGAATATCACTAAATCCGGTTTCACGGTTTTCCCCCTATCCGTTCTTATATACTGATTTTCCACCGTTTTGTGTATCTCACATGCTCCATGTATAGTATATATACCTACAAAACTGGGTGATTTTGTTCGGGCAAATGTTGGTGTGCATCTTCCAGCACCATGGTGAGCTAATTTGGGAAATTTACGAAGCAGGTTCGCATGGATGATCAGAAACCAGATTTCACCGAGATGATGATGGAAAAAAAATATTTTACTTCGTGTGATCCCCACCATGACATTTATACATTTTCTTACTGGCAAATCTTCTGGCATTCTATCTGACATATCTTCTGACATTCTATTTGACATTCTATCTGGCATATCTTCTGGCATGTGATCTGGCATATCTTCTGGCATATCTTCTGGCATTCTATCTGGCAAATCTTCTGGCATTCTATCTGGCATTCTTCTGACATATCTTCTGGCATTCTATCTGGCATTCTATCTGACATATCTTCTGGCATTCTATCTGGCATATCTTCTGGCATATATTCTGACATATCTTCTGGCATTCTATCTGACATATCTTCTGGCATATATTCTGACATATCTTCTGGCCTATCTTCTGGCATATCTTCTGGCATATCTTCTGACATATCTATCTGGCATATCTTCTGGCATATTTTCTGGCATTCTATCTGGCAAATCTTCTGGCATTCTCTCTGGCATATCTTCTGGCATATTATCTGGCATTCTATCTGGCATATCTTCTGGCATATCTTCTGACATTCTTTCTGACATTCTTTCTAACTTTCTTCTGCACATTCTTTGTCCCATATCTTCCTACATGAGGTCCGGCAGGGAACACTTGGCGTGGATACTCGCGGTTGAGGTCCGGCAGGGAACACTGGGCGTGGATGGTCGTGGTTGAGGTCCGGCAGGGAACACTGGGCGTGGATACTCGCGGTTGAGGTCCGGCAGGGAACACTGGGCGTGGATGGTCGTGGTTGAGGTCCGGCAGGGAACACTGGGCGTGGATGGTCGTGGTTGAGGTCCGGCAGGAAACACTGTGGATCGCGGGTCGCAGTTGAGCAAGGACGACGAGGACGACGAGGAGGACGAGGAGGAGGAGGAGAGGAGGACGAGGCAGGAGGAGGCGGAGGAGGAGGAGGAGAAGGAGGAGGAGGAGGAGAAGGAGGAGAAGGAGGAGGAGGAGGCAACTGACATAAAATCTAACAACCCTCACCTGGCAGGTGGGGAACAACCCAGATTATGAAACCATCTGACCTCATCTAGAAACCCAGGTCTAAAAAAATGTTGGTTATACTCTCATTGCAATGGATTATCCCATCATAGATTCCATGAATTCCATTATGAATATGGAGCTTTCCTGACATGGGGGACCCTTTTTCATCATCCAAGGGATTGGTTTCAATGGGAGAAGCAAATGCTTTGGGGTATCCATATTTTTGGAATCCCCGATATGCTGGGCCCAAGATTGGGATGAGATTAACCAATCTATACTGGACTTGAATGGCTTCAGCATTCAACCATCAGTGGATGTTACCAACAAAGATTGCGGACGTGAACCAATACAAATCGTGTTTTCTTCAGCCAACATAATTTGTGTGACCACTTAGGTTCAATCAGTGCCGCAGATGATAAAATGCCTCATTGTTGTTGCTTGATGCCCCATGCTGGTTTTGTCATAGCAACATATTAGTAAATATTGTATAGTCAAAAAAACATGTGTTTAGTCACGGTGTTGGTTTGTTTAATCATCTCAATTTCAGTTTCAAGAAACAATTCTGATTGGGCATATCCACTTTCACCACGTCAATCCAGTTCAATCATCATTCTTGGAATGGTGAAAGTTTTCATTCCCAGTGTTTTTTATGTCAATCCAGCATGTTAATCCCATGAATTCTTCCCCACTTAAATTCATACCCCAAGAAAAATGATGCAGCTATACCGGCTATACCCCTTTTCAGACATTTTCAGAGAGCAGCTATGGGATGTGAGAGCAACCAAATGGCTGTTTCGAAGTGGGAAAAAATGGGAATGGTATACCCCAACAATCATTTTCCCTAAAGCAGCCATTTTGAGAGCAGCTTGAGAGCAGCTATACCCTTTTCAGACACATTTGCAACCAAATGGTCAGCCATTTGTGGGTCTGAGCTCCTTCAATCACCGCGGCTTCATCGCGTGGCGGAGACCGTGCAACTTTCAGGAACGGAATAGGAAAGCGACTGACACAGAGCTGACATTTGATTGACCTTCGGATCTCCCATTTAATTGTTGGTATCCCATTTAATTGTTGGTGATTATTAAATATTTCATGCTGTTTCATGATTTGGATTTTACCTCCCGTCAGATACCTTTAGGGTTCATTGCAACATGACCCAACTATACGCCCAGGATGGTTTATAGTCTTCAACCCCATTAGCTATAGATCTGTCTACCCAAAACCATAGAACTTCGCCCCGCTGGTTCAACCAACTCAGCTATTGTTTGTTAAGGATAAAAAGAATTGATATCTACCTTTGTGTTCCCACTGTGTCCACATGTTCATTGATGGTTTTACCCCTCGATGTTCCCATGAAATAACTATTTGGGAGGTCACCGAAACGGGGGAAGATGGGCCTTTATCACCCATGAACTTTGCTACTTCATGTCAGCCGTTCTTCAACCCTTTGAAACCGTGAACTTAGCTTTCATAAATCAATCAATTCTTGATACTTGGATCCCCAGAATCATGTAAGATTATAAGCCTATGAGGTACTAACTCCCATAATTCTACAAAACGGGGCCCACAATAACCCCTCCCTTCAAATTCACACGAAACATGCCTCGATTTCTTGAATTATTTTGCAATTGTAGTGTTGTCCCAAATCCTGCTATCCCATGATTTTAGCTATAGTCTTCATGTTTGGCAATGTTCTTATTGCTTAACAGTCTTCATGTTTGTTGCTTTCCAATGACTAAAAGCTATTGAAGTCCCAAGATTATTTCGCCGAGGATCCCAAACCTCGTGGACTTCGCCGCCGCCACGCAGAGCTTTCGGATCTCTGCCGTCAAGGCGGAACAGCGCAGTTTGCCGCGCAGTTTTCGAGCGCAACGTAGAGCCAAGTTATATTGTGATTTTATGGTGATTTATGGTGATTTAATGGGATTTAATGGGATTTTAATGGGATTTTATAGTGACTTAATGGGATTTATGGGATTTTATTGGATTTTATGGTGACTTAAAGGGAATTTAATGGGATCTTATGGTGACTTAATGGGATTTAATGGGAGTTTATGGCGACTTAATGGGTATTTAATGGAAATTATGGTCACTTTTCATGGGATCTTTCATGGGATATACTGGGATATAGCCTCTAATTTGTGACAGTTTGCGAACTGGAAAATGGGTGATTTATAGGTTATTTACCCATTAAACATGGTGAGTTTCCATAGTTTTCTGTATGTTTACCAGAGGGGTATCCCTCCAAAATGTCCTGATCCCATGGGAATATCAATGGATACATCTGATAAGTCATGGTTGGTGATTTCATAAGCATTGGTTAACCATCAACCAGAGGATTTTTTCAGATTTCATGGGGAAGATTTAACCAACCAATGATCATTTTATGTCTCAAAACCCTGTTGGTGGATGATTTTTGGGGGCAGTCGTGGGGGTTGGCAGACGCGTTAACTATAATTTGGGATTTTGAACCTCTCGAAATTGGGACTCTACTTGATATTGGTTTGTTGATGATAAGTTCGGGGATTATACTAAGCAATATATTAGGGAAACTCACAATCCATTAGGGGGATCCCTATCAGGCCAGGTTGTTTCGTGTTTCAAAGGGACGACACCACATGGTCGTTTAACAAAGCCAACTAATGATTTTCATGGGATTGAATGATTGCATGGGGATATTATACTCTGTATTTGTTGAATGAAATTGAACCATCAAGTATCAGGGTTTGATGGGGGTTGAAGTATCAGACATCTTATTGAAATATAATGGACACATGGGATTTAACGAACATTTTTTTCTTGAATAAAGAATAAATACGATCCAGAATGTTTGTTTAATTGGTTCTTTTTAAGGGGTTATTCTAGCCGGTTTATTAGAAACTAGTTTAATATATAGTGCCATAGTCTGGATACCTCTTAAGCAACCCATTTTTTAGCTCTGTTTTATCCTCACTAAATACCTACTACCCTCTGGTAATTTAACATAGCTATTGAAACTCACCATATTTAATAGGTATATCGGCTGTGAATGGCAATTTTCAATAGCAAACTGCTAGTTTACCAGAGGGTAAACCACCATTAAAAACCGTGTGTGTTGATCACTGTCTCAGCCCCACGCCTGTCCCATCCACCAGATGGCCATGATGTTGGAAACTGGGAGGTGCAACGGTGGAGGGATGGCTTCTGAAGCCAAGTAAATTCCCAATTCCTCAAAGATTCAAGGACTTGGTGCCGGGTTTTATGCAGAAATTTACGAAGTGTCTTATTAAAAGCAGCACTTCCAATCCCTCATTGGTCCACAGGGTGTTGGAGTTGGTCCCCATGTCATCGTTTTTTTTTCCGATTTCAGTGTTTTTTTTAAACGATCTTTTGGGAGGTAAAAACCATCTACCAGGTATGGTTGTGGACTCCTGGGAGCGGCTTCCGCAGATCTGCTGTCAGATCCCCCCAAAAAATGGTTGGTTTCACACCAAAAGTGACGACCTTCTTGTGGGTCAGTTGATGAATACCCGATTTTCGACCAAGGCCTGATGTTTTTTTGAAGTCATGAAGAACGGATCAACCCTTGTTCCCCATCTTGAAGGAATGCTAGAAACGCGTTGGAACCAAAAATGTTCATCCAGAGTTAAATCATGTTAAATCAAATTGGTTCTAGGGTCATGGAGCCAGATTGGTCAACACCCTCGTTTAGTAAGTCAACTAAGTGATGGTGTCCCAAGCATTCATAATTGGTTGAAACTACTTTTTAGTTTGATATCGTCGGTTGAGATTATAACCATGACACCTACGATATACCAATCATCGGCGACCTGTGTCCCCAGGGACCGAAGACTCGCGTTGCCTCACTGGTGAAGCTGAAAGAGAGTTTAACCTAGGTCAATCTTAGATGGATACAAACTAATCCTAACTAGTCTTTTGGTATGGGAATATCTACGTTCCCAGCGCCTACACCTGCGCCATGCCGCGGCGCGGAAAAACCAAGCGCGTGGCAAAAGCTCGTCCCATTCCAGGTCAGATAGTAGTCTCGCCAACTGACGGACCTCGTCTTCATGACCGAATCTTGCAGATGAAAGATCCTTGGCTCGACGAAATCCTATTTCAAGGCAAAACGGTCGAGGTTCGTGGGCAGCCAACGAAGCTTTGTGGCTTGTGGCTTGGCAGACATGGCGAAGTCCATGGGTTCGCCTATGTGAGCAAGGTCGAAAAGATCCATTGCATGGACGCGTTCAACACGTTGAATCACCACATCACTTGTTCCAAGTTGCCCTATAGCAAGACATATGCGTAGCATTTGGAGCAAGTACAGCCCGTTGAATGCTTTCAATATGCAATTAAGCAAGGCCCAGTAGCCTGGGCCAAATACGCTCCCGTTTGAAACTCTTCTATTCGCCGTGAGGTTGGATTATACCTCCCGTCAGATACCTTTAGGGTTCATTGAAAATTATTCCAACTATATCCCATAGCATATCCGATACCCCCATGAAATCACCATGAAAAAACCACCCTTCGAATCACGTCCTTTTTTTTCGCCCCAGCTGGTTCATCATGTTTCACCCATTTTTCTACAATAAATTGGTGATGACATATTATAACATATTATAACATATTATAACATATTATTTTCAATGCAGTAATTACTAGCAAAGTTCTCTACGGCCTAGAAACCTTGGAACCAACTGAGTCAGCTGGACGTCTTCTTAACACGTTCCAGCTCAAGGGCTTACGAAAGATTCTGAAATTACACACAACATACATACAACGCCACAACACCAATGAATACGTATACCGAAGGGCAAATGAAACCCTTAACGCGCCGACTACAGGTTTCGATCGAAAAATCAAACCTCTGACCGAAATTTTGGAGGAAAGAAAACTCAAATTACTCGGACACATCCTCAGGAGAGACAGAAACCACCCTCTTCACCAAGCAACTTTTTCAACAACATCCGCTCTCCCGAGAGAAACTGAAATGCGAAGAGTCGGAAGACCCAGACAGTTTTGGACCAGTAACAATATGCAAAAAGCATGGGAAGTGATAAGAAACACAGACCCATCGGCACCCCAAATCCCATTCGACAGATATAACAGAGAGATACGGGAACGAATCATCGAACAAGCCCATCTTTACCAGCCCCCTTTTCACAAAGGAAACGGTTGAAGACTACACAGCTCAAACTCAGTGTGAATGACTCTCAGTGTGAACTATTCTCAATGTGAAGCTCTCCAGTGTGAGACACTTTCAGTGTGAACTACTCTCAATGTGAAATATCATCAATGTGAAGGCTCTTAGCAATAATTGGAAACTTGTTCTCTATACTTTCACAAGTGAGCGTGGCCTTAGGAGTGTATATCTTTTAATTCAAAGCTAGTTAGTGCCTACGACCTTTAAGCGTTGACCAAGCTGGAGGTTTTGGCAAAAAAAAATATAACATATTATAACATATACAATCCATATAACCATTATTGATGGTTATATTAGTTATATCCTATATTTTTGTGAACTATCACCATACACATACTATTCATATTATTATGTAATGATGGTTTCTCCATTAAATCATTATTAAACCACCCATTTTGTAAGATTATTATTCTGATAATTGTTCACCATTATGATTTAAATGATAAGTGATCATTGTTTGATGTAAGATTTGTATGATAAATGGTCAAAAAGGAAATCATACAGAATATGGCCTCAAAAATGGTACTAACGTACCTCCATTTTAGGATCCTTTTTTATTCCCATTGATTAAGTGGTGTTATAATAAACCATCCACCAAATCACCACAAATTACCATAAATAGTTGGTATAAACCATTCCCAAATGGTTGTTTTTTATTGTTTTACCCACATTAACCCAGCAACTAGATGGTTAATGCATGTGAATACTAATCATACACTAACATGTGGTCCCCTGGATCTGAAATTATGACTACCCGATTTCTAATTCACTCGGTGTGTCTGAACATAGGGTACTGTATATTAATGCATGTTAATTCCCTTTGAATATACAATAAATGTTCCACTGGTGATACCATTATTAGTAACCAGATGGTTATACCATTATTATTAACCAGATGGTTATACTATTATTATTAGTTATTATACGCTAAGATGTTGTCCTATTAACCACTATTAACCAGGATTAACCATTAATGAATGGAAATTCCCATTGAAAAAAAAACGCGAAGCGCGCGTCAGGCCCCTCGAGGCCGCTGCCTTCGATGCGCAGTTTCAGCTGCCAGATGCCAGGCACAAAAATGTGGGATTCAACGGGGAAACATGGCGATTTGCCAGAATCGATGGGATCAATGTGGATGGAAAATGTGGTTGAATAGGATTTAATAGGATTTTGTAGCCAGAATCTATACAATCTATGGGTTTCTGTGTTTTTTTTTTGAGTTGCTAACTATAAGTTACTGGAACATTTTGGAACCATGAATTTTTGAATGACTTTCCATATATTTTGGGAATGGAAAATCACCCCAACTGACGAAGTCCATCATTTTTCAGAGGGGTAGGTCAACCACCAACCAGGGATTTAATAGAGTTTGCATAATTAGATTAGTACGGTTTAATGGATATACTTGTTGTGCCTGAAAATGGTGCATACTGTATGCCCTTAGATTGCAATTTCATATGATGGGAAATGATGATAAACCATGGGAACTGGGGGGGTACCCTATTTTAACACAAACCGCAAAATGATGTAACTAACCAACGTGGGTACCAACCATGGCCTTTACTCAACGTATGCATGAGGCTTTTACCAGGATTGAAGAGATCCTTGATATGGCCGAAGAATAAGGATTGTCGCAACAAAGATGCCGGACTTAGGCTTGAAGAAATGATAGTAAGAAATAGTAAAAACACATGGAATGTGTTAGCTCGGGTATGTACACACCAACAATTGACACACATGGCCGGTACTGGAGATTGCGGAGACTCCCAGATCGAACCGAGACCTTCAACTTTGACTGATAGATCCTGGATTAAAGAACCAGGGGGAACACATTTTATCTTCTGCTTACTTAACAAGTTGCTATGGAAGCCATGGCCCAATTATAGATGATTCATGGTGACTTACCCAGTAATTTCATGGTGATTTTCCGCTATGTTGGATTACCAAAGGGTATATATGCTTAGGTTCACCATCACAAAAAATGCTATCATAACTCCCATTTGATCCCAGAAAATATGTCTAGATTTCACCAGCAATGCAGACATAGCTGATAGAACTGGGTAAACCAATTCGATGGTGTTTTTGTACTTTCTATAATCTTCTGCTAGAAATGAGGTAATGTTTCTACTGACCTGCTATTCTTGTTTGCAGGGCTCATCTAAGATTTGCCATGTCGTGGTGAACGATGGTTTATACTGAGAAACAGTGATTTTCGCCATTGAAACATCGTCAAAAGATTTGAAAAGTGTTTGCGCATTGAAAAAACAACCATATTCTGGTTGGTGGTTTGGAATATTTTTTATTGCCCATGATATATATGGGATAATCCTTTCCATTGACTTTCATATTTTTCAAGATGGTTAAAACCATCAACCAGCATTATGGTCAAGACTTCCAACCTGGAGGATGATGTTGCCATAAGATGTTGCCATGTGGGTTTGTCCAAAAAATATTGCCATTTTACATGGCTGAACATATTTTCTCAACCATCAGTTTGTGTGTGTGTGTGTTTCTCATCATTGTAAGCAATTCCAAAACCTACATGGGTACCATCTGGTTATTCAACAGTTCGCCATGGAAAGATCCACCATTTTTGAGTTCGGCAAACCATCTATTTCGTTTAGGGCCATCTATACCATGGCGAACTGTTAGTCATAACCAGAGGGTAAATGGTTTCAACAATAAATGGTTTCCACTGGTGATTTCAACAGCTAAAAATGGTGATTTCAACTGGTGATTTATATCTCAGTGTTGGGCGCCAAACTCCAATGATTTTTTTTGTTCATTTTTCCTATTGAAATGGCCCACAATATTGGGTTTTTGGTCTCGTACAAATCCAGATGAATCCAAACTATAATTCTGGGTAGCCTCTGGTAAACAAACAGTTTGCGAACTGGAGAATAGCCATAGAAATGTAGTGGATTTACCCAGCTACAAAATGGTGGATCTTTCCATAGTTATGTAAACGTTTACCAGAGGGTATTTTTAGCATTATGACGCTATTTTTGTGTGTAATCAGATCGAATCACCGTAAGACCCACCGTATCAGAATCCCACAAGGTACACCAGCGTTTTCGGATGTGTCAGACGTGATTTCGCAGCCCGAGCTGGCCTTGTTGATGAGTTATTGCAGCTTGTATCATACATGTCCTTTTCCCATTGGTTGGTTGATTAATAGAGGAGTTTGTTTACCCCTTTAACAACATGGTAAATGATGATAGATGATATACCACAAGGACATTATTGGCGGGTTTCACTACTTGGATCTACTTGGTGAGTTGTGGATTAGTATGCTACAAAATTTAGGAAGCCTGTTCTCAATCAACCAGGGATGACGCAATGCAGCTTCGATGTGCAAGGCAACTCGCAACTGCGAAACTTGATGATTCATCATACAGGCAACCAATAGTAATGGTATAACCAGTGGAACCATTGGATCCATTTGAATTAACCAACAAAAATGGTGATTTAATGGAATATCATTGGCTATATAACTGATACAACTGGCAACATGATAGTCGGGTGTGTCTAAAGATTGGATATACCCGCTTCAATCGCCGTTCAATGGGGAAAATGATGATTACTTAACCAGCTGATTTATAGCAACCCCCAGATGCCCAAAAGTGAGAAACCTGGAAATATTACGAAAATATCAGCGAACTAGCGTCCTGGTGGCACACTTTTCAGCATCTTTTTTACGCTTGATGTACCAAACTGGCACCCTATGTTCAGACACACCGAATGAAATAGAAATCGGGTAGTCATAATTTCAGATCCAGGGGACCACATGTTAGTGTATGATTAGTATTAACATGCATTAACCATCTAGTTACTGGGGTACTGTGGGTAAAACAATAAACAACCACACATTTCGGAAAAAATTATACCAACTATTGATGGTGATTTGGGGGATGGTTCATTATTACCACCATTTAATCAATGGGAAATTCAGGATCCTAAAGTGGAGTTGCTGTACCATATAAGGCCATATTTTGTAGCAATAGCCCCTGAAATTTAGCCCTTACATAGGTCTTATATATGGTAGGTAGCTCGATTTTAGGTTCCTGAAACGGCCATTGATTTAAGGTGATAGACGGTGATAGATTTGCTCATCGTCTTCTATTCCAAGCCCTGCGTCAGGACACTCTCGTGCTTGCTCTCTTTACGCTGTGATAAGGATGATCCGGAGGAGCTTGCGCCATGGTTGGGGATCGATGGCTACTGTAAACAGATATTAATGATTATATGATATATATTGTTTCTATATATATACAACTATATGTATATCAATATCTCATACATGAATACATGTATGTATATACATGTGTTTATATATGAAATGCATGGTTGTTTGTTTCTTTGTTTCTACTGGGTTGATCTCTAGTGTTTTGACAGAGGTAAAAAAACAAAAACAAAAACAAAAAATATTTCTTCAGTTACACGTCATCACAAATTAAGATCATCAATTGTGCGTTTGCGGTTCGTCAATTTGACGACTTGGTCTTGGAAGTATTCTGTCACACCTCACTTTAGACTTTGGGCAGAATTATGGTAAAATGTGGTTGAATGTGTGCACCATGCATTTCAAAATTCAATTGTTTGGCTCGGAAAGGTTTGGCACATTCCCCAGATGATGATATGATCAGTTACGGAGCTCGGAATCCCCAAGTTCAATCCACATGGTACGAAGGGTTCAGGGTTCGAAATGGAAACATGGGATTGGTAAAACTTTGAAGCTTTCCAAACAACCAAAATTAGTCCCAAATGTGAATCTTGTTCAACACTGGTTGGTGGTTTGGAACATGTTTTATATTTCCATATATTGGGAATAATCATCCCAACTGACGAGCATATTTTTCCACCAACCAGAACATGTATGTTTCCTTCTTATCAATCATACAGATGAGATGTGAATAGTATTCTGTTGTCATATGTTGTCATAAGTCCAAATTAGCTACCCCAAGATTAGGGATGGTTAATACTAAATCCCATTTGGACTGTATTAACCATCCCTAATTTTGGGGTAGCTAATAAGATAAGACTAATTTCCATCTGTGGTCCCTAGGTCTCGGTCTCGGTCCATATCATTTTGACCCACATCCATCACCTCATCACCTCATCTGATCCAGGAGTTGTTGGAGCTGTATCGCTTGGTGTGTTCAAAGCTGCAGGTGCCAGGGTTTTTTTGCCATTCAACCATCAATGATTCACCATCAATTACAGAGGTTTTATGGAGTTTCTAAGTATCAAAGATATGGAATACAGCTCAAAAAATAGACCTTGTTGACTGACTATTGATTGGAATTTAGATTGGATATACCGGACTTAACTATCACTAATGGGGGTTTATTAGGGCGTTAACTAACAGATAGGGATATCATTGATAAATGATGATTGATTGATTATTAATTGGTTGTAGGGGCTATACCCTCTGGTGATGGAGGTTTAACCATGAACAAATAGGGAAATCTGTGGGATTTTGTATGTAACAACCATCAGGTTCAGCCAGCTGGATCCATCTATACTCTGGGAAAACTATGGAGATTTAGCCGACAAACATGGCATGGTAGTATAAAGGGGATAAAAAAGGGGATATCATGCTGATATTTGGAATATCTGAATTAGCCGACTAGGTGTCATCAAACTAAAGTGAGTAGAATAGGGGTATACCCTTTGGTAATGGAGGTTTTACCATCAACTTTCAAGGGATTCATGGGATTTCATGGGATTTCATGGGATTTCATGGGATTATAAAAGGAATACTCAACCATCGCTGGGAAATCCCTGAACTAAATTGGCATGGGAATTTGCGACAGCGAAACAAAAAAACATGTGCATCTCGGGTCATCGAAGTTGACGCAGCTACTGCCGCTGCATTGGCACGATAGCCTTGAAGCCCTTGGCTGTTATAACATCAGAGGAACTTCCTCCGATGGCGCGTTGCGAAGATCTTTTGAAACTGTTGGCTCCCTGGAGACCTCCGGCAGGGGCACCACATTTTCTGATCGCCCTGTGCCGGGCACCTTGGCTATTGCCATGGCTCGGCAGAATATGAGGGATTTAAGCGACAAACGGGGCACTACAATGATAATGGTAAAGTAACATTCTGGCATATCCATAGTTACATATTGATATATATATATATACAGATAGATTATAATACGTATTTATGGGTTGACAACTATATAATCAAACATCCAGTTGTATAACACACATATGTATATATACTGGGTACATACAACCGGATGTCTGAAAGCTTGGTTATATAGTTGTTGATGATGTATGTAAATTATATATATATATACACACACACATTTCCCCGTTGAGTTATACCTGAGATCAATTCGTGGAATACCTCAAGCTGGACATATGTGTTATTTTAATGGGTTGCTAATCATTTACTAGATGGTGATGGTAATTCGGTTGGTTCACCCCTAACATAATGAGCCATGTGGATGATTTGCAATCCAAGTATGATCACAGTGCTATGGAAAATCACCAGATTTAATAGGTAAACCATCTACAAATGGTCCGTTTTCAATAGCAAGCTGTCAGTTTACGGGACGGTGCCCTGGCCCGTCTAAGTGGGTTGGCTTGAAAAAAAACTGATTTTGGGGCATCAAACGTGTCGCCCTGTAGATGATGGTTGATTTTGGCACAAATTGTCTGTGTGGCCTTCAAGAATGAGTCAAGATGATTTTGTTCTGTGGGTCAATTGACTGTGGTAGACAGTGAAAAATCGCCCACAACGACCAATAGTCACGAGGATAATTCAGTTGACCGGTCAGTCAACTTCCAATCCCTGCAACTTGGTTTGAAGACCCCACCATCCTACAGATCACCACCCTGAACACTTTATACTCGTCATTTAGACACACATCCAATTTTGAGACATGCCCAATATTCACTATTCATGGGTTAAATCATGTTATTTAAATCATCCCTATTTCTCATGCTTAAATCCCCGTTTTCTGTGAAATCAGCCCTGTAATTCTTGCTTTGGCTTCCCCCAAAGTATTTCTGAGCAAGCCTTTCTCCAGGGCACGTCGTGCTCCCATTGCCACGAAGCTTTTCACGAAGGTTGCCGAAACTCAGATCCTAAAAATGGCCTGATTTCAACTACTTTCAGGTTTGCAAATTATTACAATTCAGCCAGAATATATGTAGAAGTAAGGTTTATAGCAGATTAATGGGGGTTATAAACCAACAAACATAAGTGAGGGGCCTTCCCTTACGTGTACAGCCATCCTGGAGTAGATAAGCGTCCCTCACTAAGATGGGAATATGTTTGAACTTGTCGTATTATATTTTCTTCAGGATGAATGTGTGTGCGCACACAACTACATATAAGATCACATAAAATAATGCTACTGGTATATATATATGTATGTGTGTGTGATACAGACATGTAGTATATGCTCTATATAACCAAGATAGCATATGTGTGACTTTTATGTATGATGCTTATCACATGTATATATATATATATATTTACATACATACATACATAAAGTGACATTGTTTTGTGTATATATATAATATGTACATCATACGTACATGTCTTGTCATGTCTTGTCACTCTCATGAGTATGTGTATCGTATTTTCATGATTTGAATATATATATATATATATATATGTATATACATATATATACATATATATACCTAGAGCCTAAATGTCCTTCGTTTTTGAAGGTCATTTTTTTTAATTCATCCCTTGGTGCAAAAGACGTCTTTTGGCCTCAGGGGCGTATTTTGGAAAGGGCCTTGTTTTGAAACAACAAGATCTGAATTGATGATTTCTAGGGTTAGTGACATCCAAAATTTAATCTGACCAGCAAAATATGATTAATACACCATAGAATTATCTCTTATCACCCCATACTTTGCCATTTTGGGTTGCCAGGCCCGTCCGGCCTCAAGGTGGCTCAACTGGAAGAGTCACATGATCGTAAGTACTCACAGGAAATTGGCCCAACAGAACCAAAAAACATATGATCAAATCATATCAAATCAGTGATTTGTTTTATGGGCAAACAATGGCAAACATATCTGAACTAATCCATTTGAACGAGCCGATTTGAACCAATGGAAAGGATTACATCTTGCTTTCCTGCACACACACACCCAAGATTTTCCCATTGGTTTGATCTGCATCCGTCCAAGTGAACCAGCAGGGGTCCTCAGCATGCAGTGGGTCATGGATGGCCGTGGATTCGGTTTGGCATGAGGTAACCCCTAAGGAGTTGATCACAATACCACTTTTACATGTGATATCATTTCCCATTTGAACATCTTTCAAATTCTTGTGATCTAGGAATCCAATCAGAAATTTTCAGAATATTGAATGACATTCCTCTTGGAAAATCCAAAATATATTGTTTTTCGAATTGTACCTCTGGTCAGGATGGATATGTGATTGTGTTTTTGTTGAGTAGCGGGGAAATGTCTATAGGTGTCTGGCTTCAGAAAAGTATCATGTTGTCATGTCTTTATTGATCTTCTTGGGATTTCCTGGTACCAGCCCTTTTTTGATCAAAACCAGGGCATACTCAATCGGACCTGTTTGCTCTCTGGGATGGCTTCGCTAGATAGCATGGTGGATGATTGGGATGCAATTCCTGAAGTCCGTACTAGGATGAGACAGCAGCGAACACTCTTTGTCAAGGAGGATGGCAAGGAAAAGCCGGAAGCAACCATCTCATGTGGTGAGCTGAATTTCCATGTCCTCAAGCCCCTGGTTGAAAAACTGGAGGAATCCCCAGGGGTTCTGGGGATGCATTCAGTACCGCATCTTCAGAAGCAGATCCTAGATTGATATTACATAAATTATGTTGTTTGCAAGATTGATTGCCCCATTTATTTCCAAGTGGCATTTGTTTGAGAATCTTTCATGCTATCCACCAAGTGATGTTATAAGCCTTCTTTGGTCCTCATCCAGCTTAAGGATCAAGTTACTCTACCGGAAGTTCGAGGTCCCCATCAACAAGCCAACTTTGAAGTCTTCTGCAAAGTTGGCCAAGAAGTTCATGGTACTAGTCAAGCGTAAGCTCCAGCGTGACCAAGTATGCCGGAGCGTCCTCTTTAGGAAGCTGCTAGCCCTAGCATTTGCTTCCACCCGTGCCAATGCTGAGGACCTGGTTGTAATTCAAAATGGATTCCAATGGTTTCATGGATATTTGCAGCAACACTAGCTTCAAACATGTTAGGCATTGATTTTAAATCAAAGTGTGAATACATTTTGAAGCCAATATTTATGTTGGGTGATTGCACATGTATCTAGTGGATCCACAGGGTGTCATTACCTTTACACTCATCACCCACTCGCTCAATCCAAGCGGCTTGTGCCCCGTCCCAATCGCAACAGGAACCCAATGATGCTTCAGACCTCGAGCAGGTGTCTGAGAATGAGGAGGCGCCGGGTTCTGATGATGATGATGAGGATGCTGGGAGTGACAGTGTTGAGGAAGACCAAGACCAACCTCCCATAGAAGACTCCCAAGGTCCCTCAGATGAACCAACCTGTGATGCCGTGGATTCCTTTGACTATGCTGGAGCTTGGGATGATGCACCTGATGAGTCCCCTTCTGACAACAATGGGGAGTTGGTGGGGGAAGTGGGGGATGTTCCGTTGAGCCAGCCGTCTCCTGATGAAGGTGAGCTACATGATCATGATGTTGTGACAATTGAGGAAAGCCCCATGAAGAGTGTTGAGGACATGCAGGCCCAAAGAGCGGAGATTGAAGCCAAAATCAGTGAACTGTCTGCCCAGCTGTCCACTGCTCGTAAGATGGCTACAGCACGGACTTTAGTCTTATTTGAGTGGGGTTATCAACAATTGTTGGGAAACAGTCTGGTGGGTGGATGACATAAGAGTTTATAAACATGTAGAATGCAGTCATACAGTCATACATTATTTTTAGATAAATCATTCTTGGGTCATGATTTTCAATAATTATAGGGGCTGACACTTGTTAAACTAAGGAAAGCCCAAGCGTTGGCGGATGGCACGGAGAAGGCCTCTGGTTCCAGTTCGTCTTCGGCTACCCCGACTTTGGTACTAGACAGCTTGCCATTTGGGTCTGATGACAGGGACACCCTCGAAATGCATTCTACTGAGATGGACCTTTTGGCGCAGAACCTCAAAGACATGCCCATAGGTGACAAGACCACCTTTGTTCCTGATGCCCCAACTGTTCCTTGTTTCTGCTATTCAAAAAATCAAATACTTGTTATTGAAAGGCATAGGGCGGACCATTTTCAAGGCATTGGGTGGATGACTTTAGGTCCTGACCTAAAAAAGGGGATATGTTCAAAATAGTAAATCATACCTTTCAACATCTAGCAAACTTTGCATTTTTTTACATATATATTTCTGTGGCATGTGGATGAACAAGATTCGGTAATGGATATTGAAATCATTGATCTACATTATAATATATTGATTGGTGTCCTTGCCCATTACCTCCCTATCCTGTAGAACCTCAGGTCTTGCGACGATCCCAGCTTGCACTTCGCTCAGCTGAAGGGGATGATGATGGTGAGGCCCCCGGCAGCAAGGTGAAGGGAAAGGGGAAAGGTAGAGGCAAGGGAAGGGGGAGGCCAAAGGCAAAAGGCAAGAGCAAGGCTGCAGCAAAAAGCAGGGGAAGGCCGGCAAAGGGGAAATCCAAGACCACTACGCCGCTGGAACAAGATGAAGAAGGGCATCCTACTTCAGGAGATGGAGGCGAGATCGAAGTGGAGGAGGGCAAGGACCAAGATGACCTCATGAATCATGAGCAGGACCCCAGTGCTGGCACCAACGATGCTGAGGGAGGGGATGTGAAGAAGCCTACCCAAAAAAGGAAGAAGATGACCAAGCAGGATGCAGATCCCAAGAATGAGAAGACTCCGGCCAAGCCACCCAAGGAATCCAAATCTTCCAAGCGAAGTGTGGAGACTGAAGAGCCCAAAGAGCCCAAAGAGCGACCTCCCAAGAAGCCCCGGTCTAAAGATGGAGGAATGGCAGCTACATTTGCACGAAGGGTGGAGCCAAGCTCAGAGCATGGGAAGGCAAAGTGGCATGCAATCCGTGAGGCTTTCGTTCAACTCATTCGACCCAATCTCATCAAGTACAGCAAGGCTGAGGACTCCATTGATGGTTGGGGGGGTTCCAAATTGTTTTTTCCCCATTTCTAGGACACAACAAAAAAACACATGTGTTGATTTCAAAACGGGAATGCTGGAGTCATTTGGAATGATGGGATATTATGGAGATGGGCTACATATCAAATCTATGTCCTATCGCCACCGTAATGAGTTTCACAACCCGACCCAGACATGTTATAGTGTGAACTATATATCATTTATGTTTTGAATGTGTTGGGTTTATTTGGGGTTTATACATGCACCCCATGAAGAAAAGGAACACTTGTACCCAAATTAATTTGGAAAAGGTGATCTGGAAGTTTGGTGGGGTAACATTCATTCATCCCTAGTTGTCCCAACCAACCACTGTGCTTCAGGACTGTTTCTGGCACTTTGTGATGAAGAAGTGGGGAGAGCAGGATGTCGCCCCCCAGGACATGCCAATGGCTGCTCAATCGCTTGCCCCTGAGTGGCTGGCAACATCTGAGGCCAAGGAGTTCATGTAATAGCCAGGTTTCTTCCGACCTTGGAAGACATTGGGGGTTTGCGTTGCGCTGCACGGCTGATCCATCATCTGTTTGGCCACCCCGTGAAATTTCAATAACAACATCGACTCCACAGAATATGAGACATTAAGAATGCACAAATCTTTTTGGGAAGTTGGCTAGCAGCAACTTGCAACGCATCATATGTTGTCTTTCAGTGGTTCAATCCTCGTAGATGTCAAGATTTGGCAAATAGCCAACTGGGTTTCAAGATTCTCTCTAGTGGCGCTTCTCATAGCGATAGGGCCCATACTGACTGAAGTGATGGTCACAATAACCATTTGGATCCTGGTTACTGTAGTTTTTTCATTGGAAAAAATGTGAAAGTTCTATGTTGTATTCGGTTTGGTGGCAGGTTGATTGTGACCACATTGATGATGTGCCACCGCTGTTGCTATCGCCAGCTGACCAAAAAGGTGGAGATCGGACATGTGTCACATACTCCTCACAAATTAGTAACAAAATCATATGCGCAAAACTGTAAAACCTATCAATCAATGGACCTGTGGAAATATTTTCTCAGTTTATGAATGCAAAGTTATGAGTGTAAATGTTCAACAAATAGCTTCCATGCATTTAGGGGTTTTAGGACCAGACTAGCCAATGATGATGATCGGTTCATGGCTACTGTAGTGACCAGATAGTATAAGGAAACACACATAGATTTAGAACGATTTAGACTGTGTTTGTGACTAACCTAGCTCAACCAGCTCAACCCGGGTCAACTCATATATTTCAATGAACACCCACACGTTGATTGAGGCCATGGACGAGCAACATGCTCTGGGCATCAATGACCTCCGCATTGCTGGCATGAATTGGTCAACCTCATGGTGTGGGCAGCGGGTGGTGGCTGTCCTATCGGTTTTTGGGTTGGGCATGGGTCCAATGGTAACCTGTTTTTTTTACCGTAGATGAACATGCGTCCAAATACTTCATATGTGATTGCCCTTATTTTCAAATTGGTGAATTCTTCATATTTTGAACCCAAGCATCCCAATATTGTTGTGGTCCCAAATAGGCCTCATACATAACTCATAACATATGTTGTGGGGTAAATAAGGGGCGCTTTGGTGACCATGCCGCAATTTCACTGTGAAAGCCATTTGGCTTTGAAGGGATAAAACATATCCAACCATTGGTCCTTCGCTCTTTGGGCCATGGAGTTCCTAGATGTGGTGAAGCGAGATAAGCTCAATCTGGTTTTGCAGAGGCTGTACTTGCTGGGGGCTCCAAAGGTAACCTGGTGATAAATGGGGTTGGGATGAAGTTGATGTGGATTTGAATTGGTGTAAGATGGGGGCTGATATCATGAGGTCTTCTACAGATGGTGAATTTATAGTAAATAAACTCAGGGTAATCATAGCATGTCAAGGTCTGACTCGGAGCACATCATATGGCTTGCCCACAATGGCCTGAAATGGCCTAGTCTTCCCATGGCCATGCTGATGCCAAAGCATTGATTGCACCACAGTCCACTCGTATCTACCCAGGGCTTCAATCGTTTCTGATACTCCCAAGATGTTGGGGACCTGCCCAAAGGTATTATCGGCCTGCGTGCTACTCCTTGCCCTGAATTCGGAGTTCGCTGTCTTCACAGAGGCCATGTCTTGCTATACACTTGGTCCCAGTGAAAGTCTAGTTGAATTAAAGCATATATTGGAATACCAACTTCCAGAAGCTATAGATTAAGAATTTCACATAAGCCAAGTCTTACAAATCATTTTTGGGGCCATATCTTTTCTCATTGGGATGGAGCTTATGGCATTGAAACCATTAAGCACATGACATTGTATTGCATCATCGCTACTTCCATTCACACAGGGTGATGGCTAGGTATGATATTGATCAACATATGCATGCTGGCAAACAAGGTAAAGCACCTGTCTTATCATATGCGGCAATGCCATGGGATGTGATTGATTTAGCCCAGAGCCATTCTAGTTACCAAAACCCTCTTAGTAGCCCAGGTGGAAATTACCCTAATCACATGCATCATATACTGGATCTACCCATCAAAGAAACAGCCTGCCCTAACACAACTTGATTTCCGATCTCCAGGCCTACGGATTCCTCGAACTCTTCTCGGGGCGGGGCTGGGCAAGTAAAATCATGAAAGCAAATGGTATTCCCTCAGCATCATTTGATATCCTTCTTGGGGAACCAATTGAAGGAAAGCAGGATGCTATGAATATCTTGTCGGATGCTGGATTTGCGTTTTTGGCCTGAATTTAGGAATCAAAACTTTCGTATCAATGTGGTTTTTGAAGTTTTAGATGATATAGAATGTTTTGTTATGTTTTTTGGTGTTTTGGGGTTAATATGGTGTAATATTTTGGGTATCTAAGATAATATATAATTATAATTCGGTATTATTTAAGATATATATAATTAGGGATTTGTGATGTTATTGGTAAACACCACCCAGGCTGATATTGCTTGCCGTACTGAACGCAAAGTTCGATTCCTTCTTCTGTCTTATTGGGCTGGTATGTTCGTCATTTGTGGCGATATCGCAAGGCACCCACTACCGTGCACCATGGGACCCTCTAGGACGGGATGAGATCCCTTTTGTTTCTCAAGGAAACGAAATGTGTTCGAGGAACCTCGTCGCCACCATTTCATTATCCTACTGGTTTTTAGTTTTTTCTGCTTGAAATCTTTTGAGGGGAGCCACACACAATGCAACATCAGAGAATATATCTGTTAAATTGATACTATCAGGTTATAGTGGACCCCAAAATAGCGGGATACCCTTTTAGTAGAGATATAGCTCCAACTCTCTTTCAAAAAAGGAACCGTCCATCAAATTCAAAAATAATTCTTATACCCATCCATGGCATCGGATTAATCCAAACGCCCAGCTGGGCTAACCCACATGCCGCTCAGGACAGCTTTGCTGATCCTCGCAGTGACAGCGATGGGAGGAACTTGGTTATTAGAACAACCAAGTACTTCGCAGGTGTTGTGGCACCCTCGGATTCGTCTTCTCTGGCGTTTGTTGCCGGAGGTGTTGGGAAATGCTGGGAAGGTTTCAAAAAGGTTAAAATCTTGTTTGGGGTACCCGCAATGTTTCAATTTTTTTAGATTAAACAATAGCTTCAGGCACCCCTATTTGAAACATTCCCAAATTGAGATTAGTAACTCCAAACGTTCCAGTTTATCGTCAATCTCGGCCATTTTCAATTTGTTCTATCTGGGTGCTTAAGGGTAAGGAACATTTTAGCCCCAAAAATATTTTGATATATCTACATAAAATGTGTTTTAAGGATTTGCTCTGTAGAACCCCCATGCAGGTGTTTGAAGCGAAGTGGTATGCTGGAATGTATGGTGGACCCACATGCAAGCCGCACATTGGGTGGTCCAACAGTCGGACAATTGAGTGTCTCAATTTGGGGAAGATGACCAAGCATATCAGGGCAATAATTTCCAGTCGAGGAGTGAAGTCAACCATTGTCTATCGAAACTCCAAGGGCAAAAAAGCCTTTTGTGGATCAAAACACCTCAAGCTTACTGGGAATCTTGATCACTAAACTGGCAACCATTGTTCTATTAAAGCAAACTTTTGATTTTTCCAAGGCAACATTGATCAACATGTGAGCTGATAGTTGGTCTAAAGAGCCCCAAGAATTTGCATCAATTCAAATAACATATTCTTGTTCTTTTGGGGTTTCCCTATTCCCTCCACTCATACATGTGCATGTGTGTGTGCTACTGAGGGTATATCCTCCACAGTTCGCTATGCGCTTGATGCATCTTTATCCACGTTTCTGCCGGAACCGAACGACATGGTTTGGCTCACCTCTTCAACATGATGATCACACTTTGGGGGCCTACCTCTTCTCTACTCTCCCTTGGGAAGATACTGATTGGTGGAATGATGCAAACATCAAATCGGCTTTTAAATATTTAAGGGGTGCCCATGGCCTTTGGCTTGGAAACATGCGGCCCTTGTTCCCAACAGAGCTGTGACTTATTTAGAATGCATGCGTGTAAATCAGGCATGCTTTATGCACCTGAAGTAATAGCTTTGCATTGCACTAGCTGAACTAGCTTGGACCTGCTAGGGGTGGCTTTTCCCAATGTCTCCACTTTCCCAGCAATTGCACTATTGGCTAGTATGATCACTTACCTGTTGTTGTATATAAAAGCCTTTGTTAGTTAGTGTTCAGTGGAGATGTTGGTGTCACTCACCTAGGAGCGCATTGAGACCGCAAACAGATGTAAAATTGGTTTCTTCTTATGCTGAATCCTGAGTCATTGTTTTCCAACTTGTTTCCAAGTTTCTACCTGTGATTTTTTGATAATTTTTGTCCGAAAAAAACATCATTTCTAGTGTTTTTGATGGGTTCTGGAGAATACGTATTTTCCACGTATAAAATACGTATTGAAACCCGTATCAAACCCGTACCCGTAAAAGGGACGTATTTTTGCGTAAAAGGTACGTATTTTTCCGTACGGAAATACGTATTTTTTCCGTAATTGCAGCATTTTTCCCATGTTCTGTTTTGACTGGTTTCAAGCTGCAATTTTGACCATTTGGCTTGTTTTGAGTCCAGCTTTATGCATTTTGATCCCGAAAGGCTTTTGGTTCAACACCCAAGTGACAGCAATGGCTCCCAAAGCTGACAAAAAAGAGAAGGTTCCCTCTAGGCAATGGTCATGCTCAGAGCTGACTGATGGTCAATCGAAGCTATTGGCTGTAAAGCGTGAAAGCTTAAGTCCAGAGGAGTTGCAGAAACAAATCAAGGAATCTTGTCTAATTGATTTTGGATGGTGGGGTATCTTAACAAAGTTGTTGTCTGAAACATTGATACACATTGTTGGTTCCAGAATGGACTACTTGCTTAGCTTAAGCCACCCTGTACAAAACCAACAAGGGTCTTGCCACTACTCAGGACTACGAATGCCAGCTTGCATCTTTGAAGAAGGGCCTCCAGGACTCTATCAGTGAGCCTTGTCCATGTAGCTTTCAACGGGTGGGTTGGGGTGTTGTGGAATCAACGATCTTTCTAAGTCACATGTTGATGCCAAGGAAGCTGAGACCCAACCAGACCCTCAGCTAAGTTTCATGGTCTATTTTTATTTTCTGTGTCATATTTTCAATTTGCGTATGTTGTGCATGTGGGTTCACACGATTTTTGACATGCATCAATGATGTAGGGTGTTTTCACTTCAGGCATCAGAAGATCAAATCAGAGAAGCCAAGAAGACTTCAGCCAAATCGAAAGCCAAACCCACAGTTGTGCCACCCACTTCGCTGAAGAAGTCAGGGGAGAAGCATGTCCGGTCGCCCCAGAAACCGGATCAGGTATCTCCCAACCCTGGTGCCGCCAAGCGACTTAGAGGTAAACAGGAAAACCCAGACCAGTCCCAGCAGATTGAAGAGCTTCAGGAGGCTTGTGTTGACTTCTTCTCTCTTTCTCTCTCTCTCTCTCCATCGTTTATCTTGTGGAATCTTCTGATAGTTTCTGATGTGTTTGGACATGCTTTAACCTATCAATCTCGTTCATACTTTTCTGTTGTTTGTTCACCCTTATACCCTTCATTTTGCCATCTTGGTAGGCCAACCGGCGCATGATGGAAGAGTTAGCAAAGCTGAAGAAAGAGCCGGCTGTTGACCGGGCTACGAAGAAGAATGCTTTTAAGACACCACCACCAAAAATCAGTGCACCGTCGCCCAAACAGAAGTCCAAGGTATCTCCAGAATCACCTCCCCGCCCAATGTCCTCCAGAGGTCCAGGTGCTACCCAAAGTGAACCTGCAACGGAAGCAGCTCGCTTGGCACGTCTCCGACGTGTTTGTGAGATCAAACCATCAGGTCGTTGCCATGTTCCCAAGGACATACATGAACGATGGCTGAAAGGAACAAACCAAGAGAGGTTAGCAATGGCTGATGAGCTAGAGGCTTCAGGTTGGGCAAAGGACCGGTCAAATATGATCAAGTACTACCTTGTTGATTGCATTTTTCTTGCCACTCTACTTATCCCATCTTTAGTGCAAAATATCCCTTGTTATATCATACTATATCAGTTGATCATGGTGGAAAACTGCAGGACATGTTTGTGAGCCGCATCACCAAGACCCTCGCCAAGACCAACAAGCTCTCCAGGCGAAAGAAACGTGGATGGTACACCAAGGAAGCCATGTCGAAGGATTTGGGATGGAGCACGTCCCTAGTCTTCAAGTAGCTATGCATCCTACATCCTAGAATGGACAATCCAGATTAACCCAACATCTTGTTAATAAATATTATAGAAAATATATAATTTACTATAAAATCCTACGGTTCCATTCCCATCCATTCCCCAGGGGTATCATTTGATCTACATATGTTTCCAATTCCTGACCTTTCTGACCCAGCCATATCCAGCCTTGATCCTTTTGGGTTGCATCTATCTGCTGCTGAGGTCCTACATCAAGTGCGTGATCGAGTACTGCGAGAAGCCCAACAATGTCCAGCGTATGACCAAGAACCTTTTATGCACCTGGAGGTCTTGAGGATTTTTGCATAAACAACTTGTTTGTCCACAATCCACTTGTCCAATGCTACCATTCATGTGCAGTGGTGTGAATATGTAGAACACTAAATCAACTCCATCTGGTTTCAAAGGAAGGATCGCTACAACAAGAAGTTGAAGAAGTACTTGGTGACTTACGAGGAAGGTGATGAGGAGCTGTCCGAAGATGAGGAACGTCATGTGCGTGAAGATGAGGAAGCCCCTCAACAGCTTATTTTTTTCACACGTCCCAATGATCTAATGTTTGGTTAAGATCCATGGAATCAATTATATTGGATGAGACCTAGTCACAATACCCAATCCCATGACTTCCCAATGTCCTGGTGGTAAGTAATATCTCCCACATCTGTCTGTCTGGCCTCAGGTTGCAGACGAGATGGTGCAGCACACGCGGCTTGGGGCTGCCCGTGCTGAATCTGAGTCTGATGAGGATGATGAAAGTGAACAGGAGTCAAAGGCCAAACAGGTGAACACCTACCAAAAGGACTGGTACATTTGTTTGATTCTCTTGCTGCATGTTTATATTTAAATCATTCACCAAACAATGTATACAACTCTAAAAAGTACCTACCTGTACCTAGCATGCTCATGCAGGAGTATGAGAAGTTTGCCCGATTCACAGACAGCCTCCTTTCCAGATCTTCGAAACTCACGGAACTTATTTCTGGGTTGGAAGCGGCGTTTGCTGAAACTGGGAAATCCGATACCTGTTCGGAGGGCATCCGAGTCAAGAAGCTCTAGACCTAGTTTTTTTGTCAAGACAACCTCTGCTTGGTTTCATGGAAACGGTCCATCCTCAAACCATCACAAACCCATCCCAGCCAGTCTCATCTGAGGTGCTTGGCCAATCTCGAGGCAGCTAATGAGATCCTGGAGGAGCAGTACGAGGCGTGTGAGGTGGTGAAGTTGGACACCGTTGCCTTGAAGAATGACAAGACCCTCTCTGACATGGCCAAGCAAGAGCCCCTTATGCTGCAAAGTCCACAATCCTTCTCATCTCAAAACCATCCGAAATCCAAAGTAAAACTAGAACATTAGCAGCACATTCTCTATGTGTTAATTACAGTGTTTAATCAAGTGAAGTTGGAACAGGTTGTCCGTTGTTCTTCTAATTCACCCCTTTTGTTTTCCAGCCAAGGCTTCAGAAGAAAATCGATGCCCAGATCCGAACCACCACATCGAAGCGCCTGGTCTGAACAGAATAGGGCTGCTTGCCGCAAGTGCTTGCCTTTCACCTGTCGAGCCGGGTGATTGGGTTGTCGGTCAACATCAGGTGCAGTAAAGTTACTACATCGGAAGTTGCTGCCAAGATCTTTGGCTGCATCTGGTTGACATGTCAGTCCAAGGGTCGACCCTGGTCCATTCATTGACTTTGGAATGTTTACAATATTTTACAATACTTGTAGATATTCCTGTCCGAACTCATATATATAATTTCTTAGAGTATTATAATATATAATTTTATTGATATGCACAAATGGTGTTACACACTTAAAATGGTAATATGTACACTTACAACATCGACATACATGTATTCTGGGCCTTGCTTGATGTCATTGGCGCTCAGGAACCTGAAGAAGGCTTTTGTCAAGCCATGAGGACTGAGAAGTGGAAGCTGCCGAGTGTTTGAGTTTTGGGGCCCATAGGGTTGGAAGAAACCAGGGGTCCACCTGTTTTTGGGGTGATCAATGCAGTGCTGAAAGTAACTGCAAGACCCAAACATGTGATAACACGTGGGGGGTCGGTACAATGTGGCTTGGATTCAACCGCGACACTTGGCGAGCAGAACTTCAAATGGGAAAAAAGGCCTCTAGAGAGTCATGGTGTTGTGATCTCAATGTCCAAATCAAATCATCAAAAGTTTTGGTTTGCTAGCCCTATGTTAATTGGAACCTTGGTAACCTCAGTGAATCCAGTAAAGATATATATTTATGTAAATTTCAATGTCAAAGGGCTTATCAACTTTATCACATATATAGTAAGATTCCAAATCTGGCCCCCAGAGTTTCACAGACTCCAAAACGTGCCAACCCCAACTGTTGCCAGGTGGCCCGAACTTTGATGAAGTGCTTCGCCACTGTGCTCGCCTGATCGCCAATGGCGTCGGGCACCCAGCAGCCGCAACCAGGTTGCTTCAGATTTGATTCCACCCATGTGCGAATGAATGACCAACTTTTAGAGGCAGTGCGATGATCAAATCTGCATTGTACATTACTTTTTTGTGTCTGTAGTATTTGGAACCAAATACATTCAAAACGTTTATCAAACCATCACCAACATCATTTGATATCATATGGAAATAGATGGAACATTATGGATATTATGGGACCAACATCAGATAACTCAGAAATATATATAACTTATGTTTTTGTTTGCACAGTTCATCGCATGCCAGCGGTAGTGCCCAACCATGGCCGATGATGATGACATGCTACTTGACTTGCTGACGTACACTTGCCCTTATAGCGGAAGGAAACGCACAGCTGGATCTGTAGATTTGGAAGATGACCCTCAGAAGTTCCTTGGCTACTTTCAAGAAAACAAACAGCAAACTATGAGAGAAAATGGCAATTACTATTTTTTACTTTTTAGGGTATGGATGGTTTCTCCATGTCCAATCTCAAGGCTAATGGGGACTTCACCATCTGCAATCGATATGGAACCAGAAAATGCAGAACAAGTTGAATTTCAACTCAATCATGTTGGAGTTCCCAGTGACTTTGTCCACTCTGACCGGCCTTGTTCGACGTCGAGGGGTGCAGCGGCCATGAAGGATGCATCTCAGTGGCGATTGGTATATTACCATGCGCCCCATTTAGGTTGTCTCTACTTTTTTTGACATATATTAGTCCACCTTATATACATTAGCCCTCATTATATTACATCATATATAAGTCTCTTTTATATATTTATTATATTAGTTCCCCTTATACATTAGCCCTCCTTATACATTAGTCCTCCTTTATATAAATTACTTCGTATATAAATATATATGCATTAGTCTCCCTTATATATATTAGTTCCCCTTATATAAACAAATGAGTCCTCCTTATACATTAGTCCTCCTTTACATACATTAGTTCCACTTAAATATGCATACACCGTTATCATACACTAGCCTCACTTGTACATAAATATATATGCATAGCCCCCAATTTGTACACATTAGTCCCACTTACATATTCACCATCACCCTTATATAGAGTACTGTAGTTTCACCTAGCTATATGGGCACCCTTTCATAATATCACCATCATCTTTTTTTTTATGGATATACCACTTTGCCCCTGAAACCTAAAAGGGATGGGATACACACCCTCAATAAAAATGTCTATGGCCTAGTCTCCCCCTGCAACATCTAAGGACTTGGATCGAAGGTCCATTCAAAAAGTTCATGACCAAGTGGACTGCTCCATAGTGAAAACAGGCCCAACCCCGACGTGTGGCCGAGTGCTACAGTACTGCAAGGAAAAGGTGATCCAGTTCAGGGAAAAAATGAGTATCCGACTTTGTGTTTTCAAAGTTGGCGTCACAGCTGACCCAACGGCGCGATATAGATTTTACATTAAGGAAAAAAATTCACGGCTATGTGGCTCATAGCCACTTCAAATTCTGTTGATTTGGTGCATATGCTGGAAGCGGCGCTGGTATCAGAATTCCACAAACACGTGGGATGTAGAAACCGAGAAGGTAGTGGTGGTGAGGGGGCATTGAATAGAGAACCTGTTGCCCTGCCACCCTACTATGTGTATATTGTTGGGGGGCGGGCCGATCAGCCCCGGTCTGTGGGATAAAAGAATGTTTGCAAACGCAGATGGGGAAAAAAAGAAAAGGGTGCTTGCTGGTGGTTGTATCTTGAGAATTGTGGGAACCCAAAGAAATACCCCTTATATAAATAGAAAGAGTTATTTCAATGGAGTTATACACAAAGGTCAGTTGTATCCAACATTGGTCGGCATCAGAGCTAGCATGCCAGCACGACAAATAGATTGATGCTGTTTCTCACATGTTTGTTCACCAGTGTGGGTCACCGCTCAGCCGGCCGAGGCCCATTGCAAGCATTTGGTGGAGCTTGCGCAGGCAGAGGTAGCTGCCAACCCTCAAGCTAGTGAGACCATGCGTGTTTTTGCACGCATCCGCACAGCTGATGCTGAAGTTGGTGTCCACAAGCTTTTTAGAGAAAAAGGGTATTCATGCCCGGTGCGTGTAGATGATGTAAATCTTGGGCCTGGGAAACTTGAAAAGTTTCCAGTCATCAAGATTACCACTTGGTTCCAGCACCTGCTGGATACCAACAGGTTGGCCCGTCAGTTGGTAGGTGTTAGCAGCATAGCCAAGATGAAACCAGTGCTCAAAGAGTTTTGGGAACGACAGCGGGCAATCAGGCCCGACCATGGGATCTTTGAGCTTGCTGAGAATGGATCCCTGGTTCTGGAATCCTGCATTCCATACTTCTCACACTCCGACGAAGGCAGAAGCTACAAGCATATGCCTCTTTTTGTTCTGTCAAGCCATGGGGCTCTTGGAAGAGGCACAAACGCCTATGTGAGAGCTAGAAAGCACCGAGCCCCTTTGCGTCGGAATGGCATGGGGATGAACTTCTTGGGAAAGACCTGGTCAACCAACTTCATCTTTGCAGCTGTCTTGAAGACGGTCTCCATGGCCTACCCAGAGTCCTTTGATAAGCTGATCACCGAGTATGCTGCTGATGCTCACCGGCTTTTGACTGAGGGCTTGTTTGCCCAGAATGGTGAGCGCCTATGGTTTATCCATTGGGGTACAAAAGGTGACCTGCCAGCTCTCCAGAAGCTCGGTGGCTTCAAGCGCAGCTTCAACAACGTTCCGAAGGCGGCTTCTTCGAAGAAAGCTTGCAAAGGAGTTTGTTTCCTTTGCAGTGCCGGTCAGGAGGCAGATGCTTCGACTGGTGCCTCTGCCATCCCCTTTGAGAATGTTTCTCCTTCCGCAGAATGGGTCGCAACATGTTCGGTGGAGCCGGCTTGGGAGTTGCAGCCTTCAATTTTGAATGATCTACCACTCAACACAAAGCAGCAGATTGAGTTCTTCCGCACAGACTTGTGGCACAATGCGCACCTTGGGCTTTTGAAACACTTCACTGCCAGTGCGTTTGTGTGCATTGTGGAGAGTGACCTTGCCTGTTTGCCTCGAGGATCTATTGAAGTCAAGTTTTCCTGGCTGACGATGATCTACAGAGCTTACTTCAGGACACCGCCTTATGTGTCGGAAATTTCCAGGGACACGCTCAACTTCCCAGCCAGCACTGCCAATCCTATTGGAAAGTGGAGCAAAGGAGCAGCATCAACGGAGATGATGCACTTTCTTGGCCATTTTGGCAAAAACTACATCCTGGGAAAGACCACTGATCCTCTTCTCCTCGCCATTGCTCCTCGTCTCTCCATCAAATAAAACTTTTGTTGCCCATGTTTTTGACATGTTTCTATTTTTAGGTTGTTCCGGAAGAGTCGGCTTGAAACCAATTTTTTCCCAGTTTGCAATCACCTGCTGACAGGCTGGTGCAACGAACACCTTCAATGTGGCCATGGGTTTCCTCTATGGATCTGGCTTTTGGGTTCCCAAAGAACAAGGTCAGAATCTGGCCAGCTTGTTCTTCAAGTTCTTGGCCTTGTATGCCCAGGGTGCAGCCATCACTCTGGCGCAAGGGAAGCGTCGATTCCCAATGGTGCCAAAAGTGCACATGATTGCGCATGCAGCGCATCAGCTGCTCACCCAAACCAGGCTTGGGTCATGGGTTGAAAACCCCTTGGCCACAACCAACCAAGCTCAAGAGGACTACATAGGTAGGCCCAGCAGGATCAGCAGGAGGGTCAACATCCGATCGATCCACAGAAGCTTGCTGATGAGATCCTTGATAGTTTACCAGGAAAGTTTGTTGTTGGCGGATGCCGACCAACGAGGCATGGATGGATACTCTGACCTTTGATACAAATATTGATACTTTAACCATAATACACTTTAGAAATCTTTAGAATATGTTAAAATATGTGAAATCTTAAAACCCCTTTGGTGCCACAGAGTCCACCATGATCCTCGGAAACTTGGAGCCCCAGCGCTGCTGCTGGAAATGATGCAGTTGGGCAACTTTTCGGCTGATAAACAGTGGCGGGCTGGGCAGGTTGCAAGCACTTACCATCAAATCCACCAATGGTCTCAAAACCCCAAATTGCAAAAGGTACCTATTTTTAACAAAGGGGCGTATTTTGGGTTTCCCTGAAAAACACCATCATAAGCATACCCGTATCTATATACTTAGGTTCAAAACAGAGGTCAAACCGGTTCCAGGTATATACACATACTAATATATATATAATATATATATATACTAATATATAATATATATATACTAATATATATACTATATATATATGTACTAAGATATATATATATATATACTAATATATATATATACATTTGTATTTGTATATATATATATATATACGTATCTATATAGTATCGTGACGGAACCCCTATCAGCGAACCACGGATTGATGGAACAAAATGACACTTTTGACCTCATCCAAAAAATAGGGTTTCCCACGGTATCAACCGTTGGATCTCTTGTTTTTTTTGGATGACTGGTTGATGACTGGTTGGGTGGTTTTTCATGTCCATCCAGTCCATCGGTAGGTGATGCACTCTTCACTGTCTACGCATGTCAAGCGCTACAAACCTTGGCGCGAGCAGATGCGGAGGAAGACGGCCCTTGGGCAGCAGAAACCGCAGGCGGTGGCAAGGTTGTTTTGTTTGTTTTCGAGGCGCCAGAGTCTTTAGTTTCAGAGAGATTCAAAACATAATCTATACAGAATCTATATATATATATATGAATTGTTGATTTTCCATTGCCAGATTCCGATTGCTAGAGGCTTTTTTTTGACCTCAAAAGTGACATGGAACCAGAAAACTTGGCGGGCGGTTGGTATCCAAGATTTGCCGTACGTGGTCGTGTTCAATATGAATGTGTGTGGAAATATGTGGAAATAGTCCCATGAATATCCATGAATCACATTTATATAATTTATATATTTCTTAGTTGATTTAGTTGGCTGTGTGTCATTCGTATGTAGTTGTTGATGTTGAGCCACTTATGATCACATGTATAATATGGCCTCCCTTGAAGCTAAAGAGCCACGTACCTACAGAGTGAAAATCACTCAGTAGCTGGACATGCTTCGCTTCAAAAACGGTTTGTGAACTGGCTGAGCTCACCCTTTGAACCCATAATTAGTCCCAGTGGACTAGGGCGTTGAAAATAAGTCACAATGTACTCATCCCATCAAGTAAATGTTCAACACCCCCTTGCATAAATGGTCCCAAATAATTATGTGTAAATCCCTTACTAAAGGGCGGGTAATATGTAGATTATTAATGAGAGGGGATAACATGTTCCGCATGTTCGTCTATGCTTGAGGATTTCCACGTGTTCATCCACCACTTGATGGATTGACGAAAGGGGTTACCCTCCGGTGCCAACGTGACTGGCTGGAAAATCTCTGAAAATGGAGGTGTTAATTGGACATTCATCTATACATGGTGCATATTTTCCATTTTCCAGCAAGCCATGTTTGATTAGCAGAGGGTATACTAAGTGGTTTTACTGGGGATTATGAACCATTCACAGGAAAGCTATTTACCAATGATTCTGGTGATGGAGGTAAGGAACCTGATAAAAATCGGGGATGGTTAGGACTGATAAGAAAAACCGGATACTTATCAACCTAGCAGTATTTTGTGGGATGGTTTCAATGAACACTTACAATTTTTACAACGGAAAATACTCCCAGACTCCCAGAGATACAGTAGATAATACCCTCTGGTTATGACTCACAGTTAGCCATGGAAAATCACCGTTTTTTTATAGGTAAACCATCTATAAATGGGCCATGTTCCATGGCTATGTTAAATAACCAGAGGGTACATGATAATAACATGTAATAAACTTATCCCATGGATTCCCATGGTTTTCTCAGTATGCCATAAAAAAAGAAGGGATTTATACGGACCCCGATCTAGTGACGTTGGGGCTTTTCTACTACCTAGATTGGGGATTGTGAACTGAAAAACCATAGCAGGGATAGCTCTCAAGCAGTATTTCATGGGATGGCGTCATTGAAATTTACCATCTATGGGATACCCTCTGGTAATTTAACATAGCTATTGAAAATGACCATGTATAGTGGATTTTCCCATGAAAAATGGTGATTTTCCATAGCTATGTTAGTTTACCAGAGGGTATGGGATAATCAAATTCTCCAAAAGGCAGATTCGTGACAATGCCACTAAAATGTTCGGTGATATTTCATACAAGTTACTGTTCGATAATACATCTTTTCTGGTGGCATCAATTATAGATAATGAATGACATATATTATCCTATAGATAATGCAATAAATAAACCATTTCATTGGATAGTACCACATAGATACTATATAATGCCACCGTATAGATAATGATAACAATACATTATAGTATAGAACAGATACCACGGATCATAAATGATACTAATAAACCATAATAAATCACTTCATGGGTAGTAATAAATAGTAAATGATCATAAACCATGAAAGAACACATACGGATAATAATAAAGCATCATAAATAATGATGAAAACAATTAATGATAGTTGTTGGATCCTCGCGACTACTTTTGTGGTCCAAGGGCGCACCCGACTTCTGCACGGTCTTTGGCTTGGGCTGCCATTGTGCCTTGCTGGGCTTGGGAGATTTCACTATGGATCAACGATGGTTCAAAAATGGAATAATGTGGATTTAGATGGATTTATTTAGCTTTATATATATATATAGATATGAATATGGATGGATAATATAGATATAATATGGATTGTCTGTGGATTTTTTTAATGGAATATGGATTATTTAATATATGATCCTCATACTCCCCCATTCTTTAGTCACCAGATAGGGGTATCATATGAACATAATATGGATATGATATACTATGATAGAGTATGGATGGGATGGAAATTACCAATATTATGTTCGAAAATTGGTGTGTCTGAAAATAGTGGATTTACCCACTATGTGTTTTGTTTAACATGGAACATGATTTTCCAATCCAGGGTAAGTGTTCATATCATGCTCTTAGACAACCCCGAAAATTATCACTGGAGGTGAGAATGACAGGAGGTGAGCGGCCGATTCAAAGTGCTCGGACAAACCATCATCATTGCTTTTTGATTTCAAGCGTGGCTTTGTTTGAAAATTAGGGGAAAACCCCGTTCCATCTTCCCTTGTACAACATCAATTTCCCCTAATCTTCAGACAAAAGCACCATGAATTTCTCCTGGTGTTGTCAAAACATATGTCTGAAAATCAATGAACATCATCCATTTCCCCAGCAGTAAGAAACCACCAGTTTTCGCTGGGATCACCCTTTCGCCCTTTGGGATCAACCGTTAAAATGGTTTTTCAGTGGTTCCAGCAACGTATAATAACTGGTTGGTGGTTCGGAACATGTTTTTTTCCATATATTGGGAAGAATCATCCCAACTGACTATATACTATTTTTCAGAGGGGTAGGTCAACCACCAACCAGATATGGTTAGAAACCAATGAGATGATTGAACCAGCTGGAGATTTTTGTTTGTATATCAGCTGTAACAGTTCATATCACCTAGCTAAAAATATACGAATGTAAGGCATCCCGTATGTTTACATAATCCCTGGGGTAAATGAACGATGTGGAAAACACACCATTCATTCGTAGATCATGTTCCAAACGGGTTTCCCCATGGCTTTTCTAAACGTTTCACCTAGGGTATATATACATGTTATGGCCCTTTATATACCAGTTATAAATACTAAGTCTTTAAGTCACCCCATTTATAGAATGTACTATCTCATAGAAATCACCAGTTATAACTTTTCAAAGCCATGGCCATAACTACAGAGTTTTCCATTGGGGCGACGCGTTAGTTTTGGGACTGCGAGGCTGAGCAAGTTGTCCTTAGCGGCCTGCACCAATACAGCGGCCCTGGACTTGTTGCTCGAATCAAATCGCAGCCGAGTGATGCGTAGTTCGTGGAGTTTTTGTGCTGGGGATGAACATATCGGTTTGTTATTACTGTTAATTTATTCCCAATCTATGGAACAAGGACCCTCCTAACCCTGAACTTTGCATTCTTTAACCCCGAAGTAGAAGTTTCTTAACCCCGAATAGAACTCTTTCTTAACCACGGACTATTTCTTCGCCACGAAGTTCGACTTTCACAGTGGCTTCTTCTCTATGGAGACGTTCATCTGCTTCGGGGTTAAGAGCGTGTCTCTCTATGGAAAGTCATAAGATTCATTATGCGGTTCGATCTTTTTTGGGTATAACCATGGTGAGAGAATTTTCTGTTAGTTGGGATATCACATGGTTATTGGCCTTTTTTTTTACACATAAAATGTGTATATGAAATATAGATCCAGTTGTAAGTGGAACATATTTTGGGAAAACCATTCCAAACATGGGTTTGTTTGGGAAGAAAACGTGTGTGTATATAAGTATATATATTATATATATATATATATATACATATTATAGACATAAAGGGGAAAAAAAAACATGTTTTTCACGAAGCTAGCTGAAGTCCCTCTTGCTTTAGCAAGGTATTGGGGGGCATGGAACCACCAATCGCGAGAAACTTCTCAGTTACTGTAACTACCCCCCCTTCCCCCTCCTTTCACAAGCAGTTTGGTCGTGGGCTCAACCCCTCCCGGGACACGGTCAGTAACAGCACCGGCACGATCACTGGTATCCACCTTCTACACTTCGCACTCTGAAGTCCATACTTTGCATGCTGAACTTTACACTCCGCATCTTGCACGTTACACTCCACACTCGACATGTTGCACTTACCTGTTAGCGCACTTTACACTCCACACTTCACACGCTAAACGTTACACTCCACACCTTACACGTTACACTCCACATTCGACATGTTACACTCAACTGTTAACGCACTTTACACTCCACACTTTGCACGCTAAACTTTACACTCCATACTTTACACTCTAAACTTTATGCTTCACACTTTAGACTTCGCACTCCGTCCGCAGTCCACACTGTACACCCACACTGTACACTTGGCACTCCACACACTACTTTTAAACGTGACACTCACACTTTAATCTGTGCGCTTTCGCACTTTACACTACACTTCACGTTAGACCCCCACAACTTTGCCTTTTTCACACTTGACACTGTATGGAACCTTGGCCTAGCTCCATTATCATGTTGCGTGCGCACATCTACCTGTCGTCTTGAACTTTCGCCGCTCGCTGCATTATTTCTTCCCACGCTTCCAAAGGTCCACTCCGGTGCCGACGGTGGACCTTTGAATTTTCCCCGACACTGTGCACTCTGCACTCCGCATTTTACACTCCACACTTTATACTCTAAACTTACACGCCACACTTTACACGCCACACTCCGCACTCGACAGTTTACACTTTACTCTTGGCGTACTTTACACGCCACAGTTAACACTCTAAACTTTACACTCCACACTTTACACTCCAAATTTTGTCTCACTTTACACCCCACACTCCACACTATACTATCTTTACACTTCACATTCTACACTTGGCACTCCGCACTCTACTTTTTACACGTGGCACTCACACTTTAAGGTTTACGCTTTCACACTTTCCACTGTACACTTGACTTTAGACCCTGACAACTTTGCCCTTTTCACACTTGACGCTGTATGGAACCTTGGCCTTGCTCCATTTTCATGTTGTGTGCACACATCTACCTGTCGTCGTAAACTGTCGCCTTGCACTGCGTTATTTCTTCCCACGCTTCCAAAGGTCCACTCCGGTGCCGACGGTGGACCTTTGAATTTTCCCGACTCAGTTGTCGTGATCTTGTCTGTGCTGAATCTCTTCATTTGCTTCGTACAACAGTAGGCAACAATCATATATTCTCATCCTTGTCCCCTCCAACATACATGACTTCTCTCTTAACTACCCTCCCCCGTCCCCCGTCTGCGGGCTGGTTCGCAAGCAGTTTGGTCGCGAGTTCAATCCCTGCCTGGGGATACCAGTAACATGAGCAACCATCTCATTCAGCATGTGTGTGAGAGCTGCCGAAGCCTGCATTGCTCTGCTTCTCTTTGAACATGACCCTCAACATCGCCCAAAAGAGACCGCCGCTGCGCTACCTTCTGTGTTTCATGCCCACCCTGCCAAGCTAGCTTTCGTCCCTTACCCCTTGCCCTCAAGTATGTGGGGAGATCAGCACCGATTCCAGATGTGGCCTTAGTTCATCATTCCAAAAATGGTTCTACGTGGATCATCCCAGACGCACGAATATTGGGTCAACATTGCCGGAGGTATCGGAGTTTCAAAGCTGGTTCAGGGTTTCCAATTATGGATGGTTTCTTAAAATGGGAGATCCCCAACCATAGGTTTCGATGTTTCAATAATTTTCAATATGTTTCAATACTGGTCTAATGACTTGGATGAATTGGGAGTACCTCCATGACTTAGGACACCTCCGACTTTTATTGTGTGTCAACCATGCCAGAGGGATGATTGGTTGAGATGACCATCATTTTTCTTGGGATTGTTTTCTTTCATCACCTGCCAGAAAGGTTTAGGGTCATGTTTCAAGCATCCACTTCATGTGACTTTCATGACTTATATGTCTGATTTGTTTTTATCCCCTGAAGATTGGAAAAATATATATGACTGTTTTAAGGCAGGTTTTTGCAGCCTGTTTCATGTTTTGGCCATATCTCCCATGATTCATGTTCCATCAGATCTCCATGATTGAATCCTCAAGTCTTGTTGGTAAAATATCCCCAGTTATATCGCATTATATATATATACCCATATGCTCCATGTATGGAATATTTACCAACATTTGCCCTAAAAATCACCCCAATGTAGGTTAATATACCATACATGGAGCATATGGGATATATATATATATTCTCTTGGTGTTGTTTGATACCGATTTTTGCTGGTGATGTTTCACGGTATATTATGAGTGTTTCTTCTCCCCATTGTGGTTAGTTTTATCCTGGAAATCTTAGTTTCTATCCCAATGATCGTTATCCCATTCTCCCACTATATATGCGTGTATACGAATATATTCCTGCACTCAAAAAAGCACATCTTATTGGTATATCCCATGATATTCCCATATGATATTCCAATTAAACCTGTATTAATGTATTTTATATATATATATACCATGATATTCCGTGGTGAAACATAGGATAACCCCCCATGTTTCACCGCCCTTTCCACCAGCCAACATGAGTTTGTCTGAAAATAGGGTACCCCCAAATCTAGCGGCTCATCATTTTCCAGACTAAATCATGATGGCATAGAATCATACCTATCTCGTGGTGAATCATCATCAAGTGGTACCATTTTCATGGCTATACCGTACTACCAGACAAACAACATTTCATCATTAAATATTCCCGTGGATGCATCCATTCAACCACTATAACCTTAGAATATCATTTCTATGGATTAATGTTTAGGGGGAAGGCTTATAGAGTGAACATTGGTCACCAATTAACCCATTGATTTATGGTAAAAAAAAATGTAAAAACCCATTGAATCAGCCGTGGTGCCCTCCTTGGTGACCCATACCCACAGCTCTGGCCCTTTATATACCAGTTATGTCCGTACTAAGTCACCCCAGTTATAGAATGTATCGTCCCATGAAAATCACCAGTTATGGCCCTTATAACTAATGGCCATAAATGCATGGTGAATAAAATATCTAGGTCAATCTTGGATGGGTACCAACTAATCCTTTAGTCTTTTGGTATGGGATTATCTACGTTCACCAGCTGAGGAGTATTTTTTTTTGCAGGGTATCTAAGATTGGCCGTGGTGAAGAATAAAATGGTGAATCTGCAAATGGTTATGGATGGAAATATCATACCATTTTCTATCATGGTTGAATCACAGCCATGGCCATTGGCCATGAACATGTATAGTATAGAATGTATAAGTGCATTTATAGAATGTATAATCCCATAGAAATAACCAGTAGTTTTAACTATAATTATTAAACATGAATTTCCCATTTATAGACATTTATAGATTTTTTCTAACCCCATAGAAATAACCATTTTAACCATAGTTATCAACCAGTTATCCACCAGTAGTTATAACTTGAAACAAAATCTCCCAGAGGAGCCGTTCGCCCAGGTTGCACTGCCTGCTGGAGGCCAGCGAGGCCACGGCGCGCAACGGCGTGCGCGCGGCCGTGCGCTCGCTGGCCTACGCCCTGGCGGAGAGCAAGGCACTTTCGCCGGTGATTTCGCCATAGAAATCCACTGAAATCAAGGGAAACCACCATAGAAGTTGATTGAAATCAATGAACATACCATAGAATCGAATCCATCGTTCTTTGCTGCTCCAAATCCCAATTTGTTGCTCGTTTTTTGCGCAGAGTTTTTTTTGGGCTGACCCGGTCGATGTGTTATCCAAGCCTTGAATTTTGCGGGTGAAATTTAATTTTTGTCTTTGGCTAAAATCAAGTTCCCAATTGTTATTAAAACCAAAGACAAAATATGGGACTGATTCCTGAATTTTTGGGACAATTGTGATTAAAAGAGCGGAGATTGGGAATTATCAAAATATTGGGGTTCAGGAACAAAATATGGCACTTCATCGGCAGAAATACGGGTAGATTCACTGGTGGATGGTTCTTTATGCAGAGGAATCTTTGGTGTTCATTTGATTGCCGATATCCATGCTGAAGTAGGTACTTGGGTATGCTAGACTCATTTTTTCCAGCTCTCAGTGTGATGATCGGAAATCATCCGCTTTTTTTCAGCATCTAAGGATGAGAATCTTTCAGCGAAAACATGGGGATTTCCATGATGTGATCATGTTATTCATTGTTAGTCTATGCCTACTTTAAAGAAATGAAGATTACGGACTATACAGAAAATAATGAGAAATCAATTAACCAACTATATGCATTATATGCCGGTTTTTCGGGACGTGTTTTTTTGTTTTTTATCAATGAATTCGCCAGGCAGCTAGACAGCCATACAGCCATGTTTTTACACAGCTACGTATATCCCCGTGAATCCCCAACTCTGGCAACCTGACCACTCCTTAAAGTGGGGTCATTACCAACAAAAAGGCGTTGATGCAAGCGATATAGCCAAGCAAAAACGAAGATTGAAATATCGAATATTGGACTCATCAGCAACAATTGCGACAAACAACTGATGTAGTCACAACAAAAGAAGTGATATACTCGCATAATTGATATAATCACTACAGTGATTGATATATGTTTCCCATGTGTGGCAAGGCAGCTATGCAATGATATGTGTATATATATAGATATATAGATATAACATGATATAACTATAAATAATTATATACATACCCTCTCATTGCCTGTACCAAACAAACGATGTCCCTGCAAAATGTGCTTAGTCAACATCTTTCGTTGACCTTAGAACTGGAAATGTTGTTTTGGCCGATCTCCGTGACAGAAAAGAAACCTTAGGCACTTTTCAGAAACAATGGACGTATAACAAGCTTAAGTGCATACCCATAGGATCCATGTATGCCATATATGGTAACATTTGCCATCAATATACCCCAGTCATGTTAGCATAGATGCCAGCACCATGGATCCTATGGGATATGTATTTAACCCCCCAGAGTTGAATGTGCTAATTCCTTACAAGGGCCCACCTGCCGTTACTTAAGTTGATTCATAACCCCCATTGCACACTGTGACGTCACTGGAACGATGGCTGGTAAGGGGAATCATCCCCAAGTGGCCTTACTGTACTTCAGCTATTTTCAGCCAGGTTTTATGCTCGAGCTTCCACGTAGCAAACCTGGGAGGTACTGACTAACCTTCGAATCGAGCCATGTCAGAACAATGGAGGGATGTTCTTCAGTCAATGGATTTCTGGAACAGTGACGGTTGCTCCTTTCAAAGAAATGGCATTTTGGTGGCTGATTCTTTTGAGTTGATTGGGGGTTCTATCTACGAGGCTGTTGCTTGGTCTCCTGAAGGCATCAGTTCCTCATGTGCTCTCAGGGATTTTCTGAAGTTTCAGGGAGATTGCAAGCCACAGCAGATCAAACTGATCTGGGATGCTTCTAGGCCTGAGCCTTTGCCAGATGTCAAGTACATCCTGTATCAGGTGGACACGATGCCAGCTAATCCCACAGTCGACTTTGAAGTGTTGGATCACACACACACATGTCTTGCCATTGCTCAAATCCGATGATGAAACCATCAGGGTTGTTGAAATGTTTGCTGGAGGTGTAGGAGGTTGGAAAGATGCTTGCACTTACCTTCAAAACGCACATGACCTGAAATTCTCCACACTTGCCCTGGAAATTGACCGTGATGCTGCCTTGGCATATTCGATTGCGCACAATGTGCCCATTGTGAACGGCATGAAGCATGTTGATCCAGCTATTGCAAGTGAGTTCAGAGATTTGATTGTACTCACTGACATTGCTGGAGATACTTGGCTTGAAATTTGCAGTGCTTGGCAACCAGACATAGTGGTAATCTCAGCCCCATGCCCACCATGGAGCCAGGCGGGAAATGCATCCGGTTTGCATTCGGATCAAGGCCAATTGATCCTTAGAGCCATCGCCACATGCAAATTGCTCAGGCCTAGAGCAATAGCACTGGAGCAAGTCAGTGCCTTTGCTTCGCATGAGCATTATAAGTACGTGATGCAAACTTTGAGATGGGCGGGGTATGTCATCCACCATTCTCAGATCATTGAAGCATCAGACATCTTGCCAATTGCCAGAGCCCGGTGGCTTGCCTATGCACTTCGTGTACAGGATGCAACCAATCATCCGATGCCTTTTCAAATGTGGAAGCCAGAAAAATCCCAGGTTCCCAACACCTGGAATGCCATGCTGCCAGAACACATGCTGAGTGATGACAAGCTTTTTCCTTCACAACATGTTTTGTAGATCTCATCCAGGCACGACCTTTTGCCTCCCACGAAGAAACGCTTGGTGAACAAGAACCATGTCCTCAAATCCAGATGCACATCCGGCAGTGAGAAGCTTCAGACACTTGTAGCTTCGTATGGATCCCAGCACTGTTTTTCAGAGGCCTGGTTGTCCGAAAGGGGATTGCTGAATCACTTTGTTCTCCATCCAAACAGAGGTCCTAGGTATTGGCACCCAATTGAATTGTGGCTGATGCATGGCACACAGGTTCAGTTTTTCATCCACGACAAATGGGAAATTGCCTACCGACACTTGGGAAATCAGATTTGCACTCCACATGCACTGCTCACCATCGCCAACATGCTTAACTGCCTAGGTAAAGTTGACAAGACCATTGCTGTGACTGATGTGATCGCCAATTTCATCAACCAGCGAAACACGGTTGAAAATTTGCACTTGCAGCACACCAGCATTGGCACATTGGTAGCCGGCAAAGCCATGCATCTCTCTGATCAACAGATCAAAAACATTGAAGGATTTCATCAGGGACTGGTTGATGGTCACGTGCCTTTTGATCACGCATGGTCAATTGATGGTTTTCAAATGCTGGGTACTCAGTGTCCAATTCCAAAAGACAGCCGTCATGACTGGGGTGTTTCTCCAACGTTGCCCTTTGTCCCTTTCGAGAAATTGCAGATTTGCGTGAGCGGTGAAATCTTGGAAGCCTGGGTGCACTCAGAAGTTCCCAGGGACATGCTTCTCAAGGTATGGAAAGGTGCTTTTGTGTACTTGCAGGATTGTCCCGAAGCTCAGACTAGCAATGTCCTTGTCCCAAATGATGCTGAACCTGAAGATGAAGTCACTAACCATGGGTTAGTACTGGCAGTATTTCAGCGTGAGCTTTACATTGCCAAACCCAGTCCAGAGGTGCTCCAATGGCGCAATGAAATTGGAAAAGGCAAAGTTGAAGATGTCTATGGACACATTGCCAATGTCACTCCAAACAGAGAAATTGTCACATGCGGGTTCGCTCTTTCCAAGCATGGCCCATCGAGGTTTTCTTTTGCCAAGTACATTCATGCCTTGAATCAATGCCAGATCAGCGTTCAGAGCAAGGCCATGACAGGCCAGGTGCAAATGTTTGTCCAGGGTTCTGCGGCAGCTCAGCAGACGATCATTGGATTTTGGTCCCAGATCCTTTCCCCAGAAGACTTGGCCAACATGAACATTCAGTTGAACGTTGAAATGAGAGGCCAACCAGCTTGCCTGACATGGACCGCTGCTCCCAAATGTCCCATTCCCATCCATGCCATGAAACACATGCTCATGACACGAGCATTCAGCCGAGCATTGGATTTGCTACAGGACGGGCTGGGATGTAGGACCAGAATCAAAATCTTTGCCAGTGTTGTTTGGGTAGGTAAATTGCCCCTCAATTTGACTACATCGACTTTGAAGCAATGCCTGCATGCAGTCTCTTGGATTCTTGTCGATGAATGCCAATTCCGAGTCATTTGCCAAGGGCGTCAACCAGATCAGAACCTCCATTTCCATGAATTGCACATTGCCAAACAGGAAAAACCACTCACATTTCACTTTGTGCTGCAGATGAAAGGGGGAGGTTATAATGGCACCAAGCAAGGTCACAAAACCCAGGTCAAGAACGCCTTTGCAGCTGCCATGTTGGATGAAGGACATGATCTCACTTGGACTTCCAAAGCTGTTGAACAGGTCATGACCGCAATAGGTATGAAGGAATTGTCCAAGATCTTCCATACTGATCATGCCAACCGCTTTCGATTTGCCTGCGGTTTTTTGGTACAGTGTGGAATTGACATACCCAAGATCAATCCCAGCAAGACCTCACAAGCCGCATATGCCATCAAGAAGAAGAGAATGGAGGTCATGCCAAACCCAGAAAATTATCGGGCAGTCGAAGGTGTTTTGGTGAATGAGAATGGTCAGCACACAGCTCACATACCCAAATTTGGCGGTCACCTGAATGGATATCACATGTGCACTTCACATGATGCTGCCCCATGGTTGCGCCAAGGTGAAGTGCTTTCCAAGGACGAACTTGCTCTGATCATATTTGGAGAAGTGCCAGTTCAGACGCAACTTGCATACGAACAGGTCACAATTCCATGCACTGATGAACAGGGCCGAAATGTCTTGGTTGCATGTTTCCTTGTTCAATGCGGTGAAAAGAAGGTCAAACTCCAAACTGGAGATGGTCACAAGATCGACACAGATGGAACCATCCTGACAGCTATCACTTGGAGGAAAGAAGATTGGCCAGAGCAATGGCAGGAAATCTGTCAGAATCCATATAAAGCGTTGAGGGCTTTCCCAGGGGCCAATGAATTGCTTGTATCAGTTTGGGGAAAATCCTACAGGAACAAGAAAGCCACTGCCACTGCAAACTCAGCCGATTCTGTTCAGGTGCACTGCTTGCTGCGTGAAGACAATTTCAGTACATTTTTGAAACTCAGCGGATTCAACAAGTTATGGTTAGCCCCGAAGTCAAAGGAAGGAAAACCACACCAGGCATGGAAAGTGATCTGGTTAGATCCAACAACCGATCTCCAGGCTGCTACAGTTTTGGCCACCAAAATCCCAGACTCTGCAGGACTTGTATGCCAAAATGCCAGACTTGCTTTGCGCGTGCCAAAAGCCTCATATGAACAAGCATGGACCAAGTTGTTTCCAAATGTCCCAGTGCCAGCTGATATCGAAACATCCCGAATTTTTAAGATTGAGAGTCTTCCTTTTGGAGTCACGAACAAAATGCTCAATGAGTGGGCAGTTCACAACGCATGGAAACTGCGGCCTTTGCGAGCAGTTGGACCAAGATCATGGCTAGTTGGAACGGGGGATAACCCACCAGCTGGCACCTTGCACTTTAACGGTGCTCCGCTCTTGGTGAGGGAACTCCATGGACGCCATCAATCCTGGCACAACCCAATAGTAGCGGGTCCGAAACCAACTCAGTCTAGAGTCCAGCAGCCTTCCAATTATGTCAATGGTTTTTTCCAGCAAGACCCTTGGGCCTCATGGAATGGCACCAAGCCCAGCAACAACCAGAACGCTGTGCCAAGTGTCCCAGCGCAGCCAGCGGTGGTAGGGCCTACTGAAAAGCAGTTTTCTCAACAAGCAGATCGCCTTTCCAAACTGGAAGAAGCCGTCAAACAGATTCAAGTTGGAGCATCGCAGCAGGCTGAAGCCTTTGACAAACTGCAGTTGGAGAACAAAAGACGAGATGCAGACAACAAAGCCCATCTTGAAGGAAGATTGAGCGCAATTAAGAAAGAACTGGATGGCTCACTTGCAGCCGCTCTGCAACAACAGGCCAGTCAATTTTCTGCCAATTTTGACGAGATCAAGAACCTCTTGCGTGCCAAACCCAAGCGCAAGACCCAAGCAGGTGGAGAAGATGCTGACATGTCTGACTCTTGACTAGATCATGATACCGCAGCAGTCCCCTACAGTGCCAGTTCCGTTTTTTGCAATTTTGCTTGTCTTGCCATGTTTTGTCATTGTCTTTGTGCAGTGTTAGTTCGACTGATAGGTGCCTGCTTGCCACGGGGCCACAAAGCTCCACAGCATCGACCGGGTGTTGGTCGATATAGTAGAGCCAAGATGACAATCCGTCCAATCCAACTGTTCATGTTTTTTCTTTTGAGTTGCCATGTCACCATTTGCAGTGGCCTGCCTGCTCCTGACATAGCAGGTGCCAAGGTTGCAATATCAGCCTGGCGGCCAGAGCTGAGTGTCTCGTGTAGACAAGGTGAAGCCATAAATCCAGGTCCCTTGAAGCCGGAGGTTAACTTGGGTCTCCGTAGGGATATGTGCACTTCAATTAGTTTTTGCATCACAAATCCGACATGTATTTCCAATAAGTCGGACACCTACAAGGACCTTTTCCAACAGACCAATGCCCAAGTCATCACTGCCTCAGAAACAGCTGCCACTGAGTCAGTCCAGAAAACTTTTGCCAGTTTGATGAAATCCAATGCGTGCAAAATGCAGTGGTGCCCGCCAGTGCAACCACTGTCACAATCAGACTCTGGCCAAGCCAAGAACAGAGGTAAAGCTTCAGGCGTTGCCATTGCCTCGAAGTTGCCGATACGGCCTTCTCGTTTGGAGATGCCAGATCCATGGGTTGGCTCCACCAGGTTTTTGCACTCTGTGATCCAGCTTGGCCAGTCTCACATTCAACTTGTGGTTTTATATGGTAGGCCGACATGTCATTCAGGTGCCGTGGATTTTAATAGTGAACTTCTTGCTTTGGCCATCCAACAAATTGACCGTATTCCGCTTCCTTTCATAATTCTTGGTGACTTTAATATGAGAGTTGAAGATTTTCATGCTTGGTCCTTCCTTGAATCCAGAGGTTGCAGATCACTAGATCAAATCCACCAGCGTATCTATGCCACTGACATGCCGATGACATGCAAAGATGCCACAAGACCTGACAATGCGATCCTGTCAGCACAGTTGGTTCCCTTCGTAACCAAAGTTGATGTCCTTGAAGAAACATGGCTGGCAACTCACCGCCCAGTGTTTTTCCAGGTAACCATCCCGGGCCACACAATTTTTGCCAGCCGACTCAAATTTCCCAAGTCCTTTGTTGAGCTTGACATTGATGACAAAGATTGGGAAAACATGCAAGATGAAAATGGTGAAATTGCCAGTGCCACTACCATTCCAACCTGGGGCCAAGCAGTTGAAAACAATGTGCATGCCGCTTTGCAAAAAGGAGTTGGTAGTGTAGACCGACTTAACAAAGCTTTCAGAGGCCGATGCCAGCCGGTACGTTTTGTCAAGTGCCCTATCATGTCCCCAATTAAGAAAGCTTGTAATGGTAGTTTTGAACCCTGCACTGAAGTTCTCACGATCTCCACCCGCCGTAAAGTGACCCAAGTGCGTAGGCTTGAATCCCTTGTCAGACGTCTCCAAAAAGTTGAAAAAGAAAGCGCTCTCTCGGAAAAAACTTGCAGTGAATTGAAAAAAGAATGGCATGCCATTTCAAGATCACACTGCTTTGGTGCTCCCTTCCTGCACTGGCTCATGCGTTGGCCAGGTACATGTTGGCCTGATTGGCCCTTGCCCACAGCAGACTGGACGTATCATGCCCTGCAGGTGACAAGATATCATACGGAGATTGCGCTCAAGCAAGATGCCACGATCCAGCAACGTAAAGCAGAATTTGCCAGAGCCTTGGACAAAACTTCCAATTCCAAAAAGGCATATGCCACAGTGCGAGGCCCTGGGCTACCTAGGGTAACTGAGATTGGCCGCAAAGTTTCCCTACAAGCCATGATTGTGCCTGAGAATACCGGCATGCAACACACAGCTTTTGCAGATCACGTTGAACTAGCGGATATTGAAATGCAGTACCCACTTGCTGTCGGTAAATTTTCATGCAAACTCTTGGAGATCCATGAGGATTATGTAGTTTTCCAGAGTCATGAGCCTGTGCATGAATGGGAAGAAAATACCACCTTGTGCCAACATCAATTCATCATCTCCCCTGCTGAACTTGCGCAGCAATTGGATGGATTTTGGAAACCGATTTGGCAAAGGGATGATGACAATTTTGACTTTGTTCGCCAGACCCCAGAAATGCTTGGTTTCCAACACCTACTTGCCAATATACCACCACATCCGGAGATTCAAATCCAACCTGACGACAAAGACTCTTGGCAAAAGGCCATCAAGAAATTGAAGGCAAATTCAGCAAGAGGGACTGACCTGATCAGTGCTCAGGAACTCAAGATGTTGCCTTGGGTTTTTATCCAACGCCTTGCCACCATCCTTGCTTCCTACCCTGAAGGTTTTCCGAAGGACTTCATGCATGGGCTGGTTTGTCCATTGTCAAAAACAGAAGAAATACCCATGCCTAATCAAACACGGCCAATCACACTGCTGCCGCAACTTTACAGATTATGGGCAGCTGTCATGACGGAGCAAGCCACTAGAATCCTTTGTCAATGGATCCCTTTGGATGTCACTGGACTGTTACCAGGCCGTGGGGCAAATGCAACTGCCTATGCAACTCAATTTGCCATTGAGCAGGCACGCCACAAACATGCCAAAGTTTCTGGAGTGACACTGGACTTAATCAAGTGCTTCAACTGCATCAGATGGGACTTTGGGTTCCATGCCCTGTGCGCCCTTGGATTTCCAAAAAAGGTATTGTTGATTTGGATTGGATCGCTCCGTGCCTTGACCAGACATTGGCTCCTGCAGAATCAAACCTTTGAGGCTGGACCAGGTACAACAGGTTTTCCAGAAGGAGATCAATTTAGCGTCCTTGTCATGGTCTCTGTGGCAACTGCTTGGTGCACATATGCACGAGGCCAACTGATTGCACAGCACTCGACCACCATTTCCGCCTATGCAGACAATTGGAGCTGGACATTGGACCTTGTGGATAATCATTTGCCCATGATTAAGGCCACCCTGGAAATTACCCAAAGCGCCGGTGTTGCCATTGACTGGCACAAAACCTGGAGTTGGGCTACCTGCAAGTCCACTGCTGCAGCAATCCAAGAGTACGTGCAACAATGCCTGCCTGGCCAAAAAATCCAGCACAAAGCCTCAGCAGCTGACCTTGGATTCCAGTTGCAATATAGTGGAAGAAACACTCTTGGCATCATGACTTCCAGAATGCAAAAAGGATTCAAAAGACTTGAGCGTTTGCAAGCCATGCCGCATCAACTAACAGTTAAGGAGATAATGCTACGCACAAGCATTTATCCTGCCACGTTGCACGGCAGTGAAATCAAACCTCCCTCGGGAGAGCACTTGCAGACACTCCGCTCCAAAGCCGCCCATGCCTTGTTTGGTAGCTGCAATAGCTTGTCACCTGCCATTGCCCTTGCCTGCACTAACAAGACCATTCTTGACCCGGAGTATTGGTTGATATTCAAGTCTTTGATTACTGCCAGAAGTTTCTTGCTGTATCAAAAACCCAACAGTGCCATGGCCTTTTTCAAAATTTGCTCCCAGTTCAGAGGATCACTACAACAAGTACATGGCCCTGCGGCGGCCCTTGCTTATATGTTGGATCACATAAACTGGAAACTTGACAGCCAGGGCAAACTTCAGGTCACGGCCTTTTTGGCATTTCCACTGCTGCATATATGAGTGTCAATCGCATTGCACGTTTTTTGCAGGATGCTTGGATGGATAAGTTGGTGATCATGCATTCAGCTCGAACCAAATGGTACCACTTTCCTGACATTGCCTGCACTGAGACCGTGAATGTACTTGCCAAATTTCCAGACCCAAAAAGATGGCTCCTCATCCGTGAAATTGCAGGTGCCTATCAAACTGCGGCCCAAAAGAAGCGATGGCTTTCTACAGCCACGGGAATGTGTGAACATTGTCAGCAAGAAGACAGCAGGATTCACAGACTGCTGGAATGTCCAATAGGTTCTGATGCCAGAGCCCAGTATCAATCAGTCATCAACCAATGGCAAGAAGATGAATCCTTGATGCCAGCCTTTCCGGTAGTAACCGTTCATCCAGACTTGGAAGCCATGCAACTCGTGCTTTTTCACCAGGCTCCACCGATTTGGGGTCAAGCCATCTTAGAACTTGTGGAAAACATGCAACAGGATGAGACTCAGATGCATTGGTTCACGGACGGTTCATGTAGCCACCCATCAGACCCACATGCAAGGCATGCCGCATTTGCAATTGCGCTTGACCTTTGCACAACAGATGAACAGAGATGCCTAATTGCGGAGCAGACACATGATGATCATGCCACTCCTTCCTTTCAGGTTGCTTGCGTTGCTAGATGCCAGGGTGAACAAGACATCCTTCGAGCAGAAACCGCAGCCATCATTTGCATTGCAGAAAAGATAGGTCAAGGAATTATTCACTCAGATAGCCAGGTTGCCATTTCCAATATCCAGAGGACGCTTCAAGCTGCCACGGTGAAGGATTTCCTGATGTGTGAACATTTCGACCTGTTATTTCATTTGTGGTGCATTAGGGATAGAGTGAACATTACCCTTCGCAAAGTCAAGTCACACCAAAACATCAAAAATATCCATGACCCTTTGTTGAAGTACTGGTCCATTGGCAATAACTACGTCGATCGTGTTGCACAACATGCTTGCCTTCACATGGAGTCGGATTTTGTCAGTAAAATGGATCAAATACACAGGGATAATGAGAAAGACAAAGCAGATCTGGAGAATATTTTTCATTTGCACTTGGAGCTTCAGGATGTGCGTGCGCGTGCCAGTGCCAATAAAGATTCTGGTGATAAGGTGACTCGTCATGATTACCGTTCACTTCAAAATGCTTACAGTAGCTGGCTGGTGATTGACACCCCCTACAGTTTTCAGGAAGCAGATCTTCAATTTCTCCAGCATTCCTCCTTTGGTGAAGCAATGGCGACTTTAACCTACAACTGGTTGCGACAATTGGTGTGGCCGGCAACGGACAATGGCCCTCTCAACTGCAAAACCGGTATCACATGGGTTGAACTCAGCCTTTCATGGATGTTTTATAACAAACAGTTTGTGCCGTGCTTGCGCAAGGATCATTTGGGTATCATGCGACTTTGCTTTGTTTCTGGTTATCAAGCTGCTAAGGAACGAGGTATGTCGTTTACTGAATGTGGTACAATGATACAGAAGATGATTGACAACACCTGTGCATTACTGCCACAACAAATTATCCCTGCGAACCTTGTGCGTGGTAAGGTCAGTTCTCTCTACAGGTTGGGATCAAACAGATGGCACCAGGGATTTTCCGTTAGACCCCAGATGCCATGTCAAGACAAGGTTGTTCAACTTCTGGCAAATACTTTTTCTGGATGTATGCAAGGACTGAATGGCACACCCGAAGTGCCGGTGGAACTTGGTAGTGATTCTGTTGGAAAGGGAACTTGGGCTCATCGTGTTTCACTCGCTAAGACGGCAATGGTAAAAACCAGGAAAAGCCGCTTGGCACTTAATTGACCTTCGGATCTCGTGCGATTGTGTGCTCTCTTGGCCCGTCGGCAGGGAGGGTGCACACTGGGAGCAAGTGAACAGCAACAGCTATTTTCAGCCTAGTGTTTTTTGTAATTCAGCCAGATATATATGATGTACAATGATATAATTTCATATACTTATATAATTATATACCATAAACCCTTATTAGTTGTAGTTACAAACCAATTTATCACGAATCAGCTGGACCTCCGATTCCGGACCGCCAGGACCCCGACCCCGAGCCGGCAGCGGACACGGGCGCGCCGGCGACTCCGGCGCCGGAGCCAGTGCCGGCCTTTCCGATGCCCTTCGAGATGAATGCGGAGATGTTGCCTGAGATGGAAGGACACCATGATCATGACATGGAGGTTTCTTGACATGGGGGTACCCCAATAGCTGGATGGTTTATCATGAAAAATCATGAAAAATCATGGAAAATCCCAATCTAAAATGGATGACTGGGGGTACCCCCTGACTTCGGAAACCTTCATATCATCATGCCGTCATGCGGCGTTGGCGAACCTTTTTGGATGGGGATATATGAGGTGGGTTTGTTTGAAAATATGGGGATCCAGAGGGAGATCTTGTGGGAAAATTGTGGATATATATATATATGGATAGGTAACCAATAGTACATTTCATGTGGTTATTTCTGGACATACCATGCCAAATAGTATGTTTGGATTTGTCCATAGGGATTGAACCAAGAAATATGGAGAGAAGTGATGACGGTTATAATGGTGTGTGTAGGAATGGGGATTTAACCCCCAATGTATGGCCAGATGAAATAGGGAAAATTATGATTAAAAGTAGATGGAATGGGGTACCCTATTTTCAGACAAACCTAGGTAAATTCATGGAGATTTTGGGATAAATATGGAAGAACTCCGGGATAATCATAGCTTTTCTTGTCTCAAAATTGCGATCTGATTGGGGAAATTGTTTGGGAAATTGTATTTACCCAGATGTGGATTTAACTTGCAATGAGGCAAACCTAAAAAAACAACGGGATAATGATGGTTTCATTATGAGATAAGTTCTATGGATCTATGAGAAATATGGTTGACTATATGTCATGTTCTGATTCTGGGATAGTAAGAATTAACCCATTAAATAAACAGGTTATGACTTTTTTGGTATAACTCTACTAAGGGGATGCTGAGGAACTCCAACTGGTTGATTGGTTGGGGGATGCGAACCTGCCTTTTCTAGATTAAATCGAAGCGGGAACCCCAACGAACCAACCAGTCTGAGATTTTCCAATCGGTCTTGACACGGCTCAAGTATTTTTTAGAATTTGACCACTAAAAATTATTATGAATGTAACCAACATATAGGTTATAGGATGTTTGACCACCATGTTTAACCATCATGTTTTCGTGGAATTTTCTGTTCACAAAAAGCGTGCTTTTCTTGACCAAACTTTGGGATGCTCAAACACACGATTGGGATTTTGAGCCGAAAGTGATGATGTTTAACCTATATATTTTTTGGGAATTGTGCTTGATTTGTGACCAACAGAAATGGGGATTGTTTGGCAAGCAAATTTGTGACCAGCAAACAACTAATAGTATACTTTTACTAAGTTGTTCTTGTTTTTTGATAAACCCTATTTATCTTAGCACACCAACTGGGTTTTAAGCAGCAAAATGAAATCGTTTCTAGCGCTGGATGTTTGACATATGTTGTGCAGGAACTCAACCAACATCATGTTATTTGGGGAACACCTCTTCTTCATCATAATGTTGGCAAAGCAATAATAAACCACCCATATTTTGATGGTTTACAGCACCCATTTATGGTAAGCTTGGGGATGGTTACTGCTCTACGAACATCATTTATTCATGTTCTTTGGGGATTTAAGAGAGAGAACATGTAATTTTAAGCCGCAGCATGTGGGGTTGAAGCAACAGAACAGAACTAATCCGGCCATTCATCAACAACACATGCAATGGATCAACAAACAAGGAGATGGAGGTTTCCGTTTCGTCATGGGGGTACCCCCAGTCATAAACATCATCCATTTAGTGAGATTTTCCGAAACCATCCAGCTATTGAGGTAACCCCTCAATTATAGACACCCCATATTTTGTTTGGAGAGGTGTACAATCTGCAAGGATGGGAAGTATTTTGACCTGTAAGTATTTGACACAATGGAATAGCTACGAACAGGGGAAATTGAAGTGCCAATTTATGCGAATGTCATGAAGATACGTACATACATATGTGTACATATATACATGCATGGAGTAGTCATGACATGTCATGTCATGTCATGACACATCATGAAACATACACTGCCAATGGCCAAGTACCGCAGTGAAATTATCTAGTGTAAGTGTTTGACAAAACGGCAAGGGGCATCAGTCATCAGTCCACGCAAAGTTGTTGCATTGAATGTATCTATGTGTGAATCAATGTATATATTTATATACATATTAGACTCATGTATATACACATGATGAAATACATCTATTAGAGTCTATGCATGTATACATGTACAGTATGTACATACAATATACATACTGTAAGTACAATTTTATTGTGATATGTACAGTAACTATATATACACAAGTTCATGATTATACATGTACATAGATATATCATATGCATACTTCCACTTGAACAAAGGGCATGGGCATTGTTACATGGCGGGCCTGTTGCAGGAATGGCCAACAACTTATTGATGGCGCATGAGGATGAACTGGTGCCATCATGGGCCGAGTTTCACCATGAGTTGTTTCAGGAGCTTGTCCCTAGGCTTGACTACTTGGTCAGTAGATTGACCCATCATAAAATGAGATCTGATTCCATAGATACCCTAGGGTTTTAGCGTTTACGCGTGGAATTTTTTGGCTGCTTTGAACATCATCGAATCATTGGTGGACCGGATTCTGGTGGATGATCAATGATGATCCCTTTTTGATGGAAAATCTGGGTCCAAATCACCATGGGCCGTGACTTAGCAGTTAAGGCGAGCCCAACGAGATGAAGAATAGATGGTATATGGAAAACCAACAGTTTGCTATGGAAAATGGCCCATGAAAATAGATGGTTTACCTATTAAAAATGATGATTTTCTATAGCTATGTTAGTCATTACCAGAGGGTATATTATAAACATATACTGTATCAAGCAACTATATCATGGGAATGCAATCGTCTATCCATGGGAATAGTCCATTGAATCACCATGGATTTCCACTTCGCAGGTGGAAATCTCTGCAGGGTGACTGGCTATATTTTGGATGATTTTGGGGTACCCCCATGACTTAGGAAATCCTCATAGAATCAGTTCATACTTTGGATAAGTTTACTTTGGACATGGATGGATACTGATGGATATATATCTATACATATATGTACATAATTGCTGCTTTAAATGAGGATGGATAATGACCAGCTAGAAAAAAAAGTTTTTCCCCACATTGACGTGTGGGGTTTTTGTTTTTAGTTCTGTATCCGCCGCCTCCGTCCGCCCGCCCGCCGCCCGCCCGTCCTCCTCCTCACTCACACTCACTCACTCACTCACTCACTCACTCACATCACTCACACTCACTCACTCTCACTCACTCACTCACTCACTCACTCACTCACTCACACTCACTCACACTCACACTCACACTCACACTCACACTCACACTCACACTCACACTCACACTCACACTCACACTCACACTCACACTCACTCCCTCACTCACTCACAGACTCACTCACTCACCTCACACACACTCACTCACTCACCTCACACACACTCACTCACTCACACACACTCACTCACTCACACACACTCACTCACTCACTCACCTCACACACACACACTCACTCACTCACTCACACTCACTCACACTCACTCACACACTCACTCACTCGCCTCACACTCACACTCACTCACTCACTCACTCCCGCCTCCCGTCCCCTCACTCACACTCACTCAATCACTCACACACTTATACACTCACTCACTCAATCACTCACTCACTCACTCAATCACTCACTCACTCACTCACTACACTCACTCACTCACTCACCAACTCACTCCCTCACTCTCACTCACTCACTCACTCCCTCACTCACTCACTCACTCACTCACTCACTCCGCGTCTTTTGCGTGGCAGGCGTGGGACAATGTGCACTGCCAAGGGGTCGGATGTACGCCCCGGGGTTCCGCTGGCGTCCCTGGGTCTCCGCATCTTTTGCGTGGCAGGCGTGGGACAATGTGCACTGTCAAGGGGTCGGATGTACGCCCCGGGGTTCCGCTGGCGTCCCTGGGTCTCCGCCTCTTTTGCGTGGCAGGCGTGGGACAATGTGCACTGCCAGGGGGTCGGATGTACGCCCCGGGGTTCCGCGCCCCTGGGGGTTCCGCTGGGCGTGCTCCTGGGTCTCCGCCGCTTTTGCGTGGCAGGCGTGGGACAATGTGCACTGCCAAGGGGTCGGATGTACGCCCCGGGGTTCCGCTGGCGTCCCTGGGTCTCCGCCTCTTTTGCGTGGCAGGCGTGGGACAATGTGCACTGCCAAGGGGTCGGATGTACGCCCCGGGGTTCCGCTGGCGTCCCTGGGTCTCCGCCTCTTTTGCGTGGCAGGCGTGGGACAATGGCACTGCCAACAATGCGGACTGCCCCAACGCCCCGGGGTTTCCGCTGGCGTCCCTGGGTCTCTGCCGCTTTTGCGTGGCAGGCGTGGGACAATGTGCACTGCCAAGGGGTCGGATGTACGCCCCGGGGTTCCGCTGGCGTCCCTGGGTCTCCGCCTCTTTTGCGTGTCAGGCGTGCGGACAATGTGCACTGCCAAGGGGTCGGATGTACGCCCCGGGGTTCCGCTGGCGTCCCTGGGTCTCCGCCTCTTTTGCGTGGCAGGCGTGGGACAATTGGCCAAGGGGTTGGATGTACGCCCTCACTCACTGACTGACTGACTCACTCACTCACTCACTCACTCACTGACTCACTGACTCACTGACTCACTCACTCACTGACTGACTGACCGACTGACTCACTGACACACTCACTCACACTCACTCACATTCACTCACACTCACTCACACTCACTCACACTCACTCACATTCACTCACATTCACTCACTCACTCACTCACCTACCTCACCTATCTCACCTACCTCACCTACCTCACCTACCTCACCTACCTCACCTACCTCACCACCTACCTCACCTACCTCACCTACCGCACTCACTCATTCACCCACTCACTTCACTTCACTTCACTTCACTTCACTTCACTTCACTTCACTTCACTTCACTTCACTCACTTCACTCACTTCACTCACTCTCACATCCCTCACTCACACACACCACACTCGCATCACTCACTCACACTCTCACTCACTCACTGTACATGAACATACATACATACACACAAACTCACCCACCATCACCGCTCCATCACTCTTATACTTCCTCTTCCCTTCTTGCTCTTCTATGGTCAGTCTAAGTCTAAAGAAGTTGGTAACATGTGGGGTTATCCGGTCCTTTATTTTTTTTTGCAGAGTATCTTTTCGGATGTCCACCCGCCCATTTGTCATGGGAACGGGATCCCATCTGTTCATTAACGGTGGGGATTTCAGCAGATCGAGGAACTACAGACTACTGGATTTTGCTGTTTTGACTCTTCTAACCATAGAAAAACATCTGGTTGGTTATAAATGGTTAGTAATGGTATGGGAATATCATTGGAATATTATGGGAATATTAATGGTTATATTCTGGTTGGTTAAAACCACCAACTAGAACATGATTGAAAAAAAACAACGTTTGCTGCTCCGTATGCTTGCTGGTCCATTGAAAGATATTGAAAGTATGGTTCGGTAGCATCACAAGAAATCTGGTGGTTTGAAGTATCTGGTTTCAGCAATAGAAATTGGAAGATTATCCCCATTGACTATATCATATTTCTCAGAGTTGAAACCTCCTAGCACTTAGCAGATATTTTTTAATGACAATTCTGTCCCCATTGTGACTGGTTATCCCATTTTTTCCCATCAAATATATCATTGACTATTCCATTAAGTCACAGTTGCATCCCATAGCCTGGATTTACTGGGTCAATACGTTGTTATATTGCCAATGTCCACTAGAAATGGGGAATCTTTGTAGGTAAGAGTTGTTGTTTTTGGGTGGTTCCTCAAAGCAAATCCAAGATAGAATTCATTTCGTAATAAGTGGGTCAACCTTGGTTAGATACGAACTAGCACTTTAATCTTTTGCTATCAATGGTAAAATGTATATTCACAAGCTAAAAACGATTTTTTTTGGCAGGTATCTAAGATTCATCATGATTCAAGCATTGAAACAAACTTAATCACCATTAAATCAGCAAAAAAGAACAACATCACCAGCCAGAAAAGATTGTACGCCCCACTTCATGGCTACATCTCCGCCCAGGCATGTCCAAGCCTGGGGGATGGTTCTGCACCGGATTTGGCCGCTGGGCATTTGAAAAATCACGGGAGAACATTGGACATTCACCAAGAACATTTGATTGTTGGAAAAACACAACGAACTTGCTGGATGTTCAAAACGCCATGTTTGATTGCTGGTAAAACTTACTTAAGTTTGATAACACTCCAGGGAGAGAATTGAGTTGCGAGCAAAGCCATGATATGTAAATGATGCTCATTATACCCTCTGGTAATTTAACATAGCTATTGAAAATTGCCCGTTTATAGTTGATTTACCTATTAAAGACGGTGATTTTCCATAGCAAACTGTGAATGTTTACCAGAGGGTAAATGTTCCCTCCGTTGTATCTGGGGTGTTGGGAGCAACCCTGAACATCACAAATTGGGATCCCAATTTATCGATCAATATTTCCAGGTAGAAATGTCAGTTCGGGGATTTTCCATTGCCACGTTTGGTGACACCAGAGGGTGGCAGTAAAGCATAATCACTGCCATTTACCATCCTTTTTAAACTAATTAACATAGATGTGGAAAATCACCATTGTCTTATAACTAAATTAACTATAAATGGGCAAATTCATTCATGTTGCACCTCTTATGTTAGTTTACCCCAGGTTTTTCCAACGAAAAATCCGCCAAGCCGAGTTCCGCTGCAGGTGACTTTGGCCAACTTTGAGAGCAAGGCCAATCTGCTGGCTGAGAACGCCGCAGTGCACACCCTCGACGCTACGAGGCTGTCTTAGGGGGGTTCTTAAGTCATGGAGGATCCCCAAGTCACCATAGGTGTCAATACTAAAATCAGGGTTGCTCCAACCCATTGTAGGTAAAGTGATAGCCGCAAGGGTGGTAAAGGATCATTGTACCTTCAACATTTCCCCAATTTACTCCCCTTGTACCTGAAAATTGTCTAATGACTTGGATGATTTGGGGGTACAACCAGGTTAGGAAACCTCATGAAACCTCTGTATCATTTCTCTGTGGACGTTATTCCGTTAATGAATAGAAACCTATGGAGACTCTCGGGGTGCAAAAATCAGTTCATTGGATGGGAGAATCCCAAAAGAACATTCGGATGAGACATGAGGATTTGGGAGTACCCCCATGACTTGTTGGAAACCTCGATGTGAAACCTAAGCAGTGTGTGTATATCTCTAAAATTCTACAGATATCATTAGATAATATTCGATATCTATAGTCAAAAGATGTCAAAAGGGTTTGTATAGCCACCTTACAAGCGGTGGGAGGGCAGCACCTTGTAACCAACGGTCTCTTTTCCATTCGCAGGCCGGGCGAGACACACTTCACATGCTCTGCGATTCCGGCTGCGTGGAATCGTAACATGATCAACGAGCCTGAACATCCACCACCACCAGCAATGGACAAGGTTCCGGCGTTTGGGACACCGTTTCTGAGCCATGAAAGTTTTCATAAAGGGTAGGGATTTAGCCATAAAAAAAAATTGAGGTGGCTTAATCTAAATAGATTTCAATAGATGGGAACATTATAACATGAGTTGTTTAACAATAGTAATTCTACAACAGGAGACCAGTTTGACCAGTGAAAAATCGGTGCACAGCGGTGATGGGAGATCCGCGAGACGGAGTTTGGTCGACCCAAATCCCTTGATTTTTCATGGGGGAAATCTGGAAATCCCAGTGGAACGTATACTAAGTAGATGTTATTTTTGGGAGGGATCCCTTACCCTCTGGTAAACTAACATAGCTATGGAAAATAACCATTTTTAATGGGAAAATCCACTATAAATGGTGATTTTCAATAGCTATGTTAAATTACCAGAGGGTAAGAAAATCCGTTTTCTCAGCATTGCTGGAAATTGAGATTGTTTTTGAAAGATCTTGAAAGATTGTTGCTCCTTTATCTGGAAATCCACGATTGCTGCTTGGTCATGACAGGACAGCCCTTGGCAAACCGTGTCCTCCTGCAGATTGCCTATCTTTTTCGAGGAGCCGAGCGAGCTGAGGGCGCTGTTTCAAGTGGCGGCCGGGGCCAAGCCTGGTGACAGCCTCAAATCTCATATCCAAAAAAGAGATCTGGGTCAACATGTTTTGCCATAAATGGGGATGTATATATATAATACACTTGCATACAGTATGTACATATAGGTTTATAACATCTTATAACCCCAGGGTTCTTTACAGGGTAGCTCAGACTGTCCACTGCGTAAGGAGAATGCCTTGGTGGGCGCAGATGAATACATCTCCGACCCACGGCAACTGGGCTTGGTTGAGGACATAGCGGCTTGTCCTTTTCCCACAACGGTCGGTTGATAAAGATGCTTCCACCCATGAAAAACTACCGATTTAGGTGTCTATATATATCATGTATATACATATTTATTGTATATATATAATATCATATACATATATATATAATTATATATATATGTATGTACCCCAATAAATAATATACCAAACCGATCCTCTATTTGTCCTAAAAAGAAAAAGATACTTGTTAAGGATGTTTGTATCAAAGTTTTTTTGCAGCATGCATGCATGCATGCATGCATGCATGCATGCATACATACATACACATACATACACATACATACACATACATACACATACATACATACATACATACATACATACAGACATACAGACATACAGACATACAGACATACAGACATACACACATACACACATACACACATACACACATACACACATACCCACATACCCACATATTTTGTATATATATATGCACATATTATATACATATTATATACATATTATATTTATTTATATTACATAATTATATATGTATATACATCTTGGAATTTCGGAAAGATTGACTCACCAGCTCAAGATTGCGTCTCTTTGGGTATCTAAGGTTAGCCACAGTTGTCCCCGTGATGATTGAAAGAACATCTCAAATGGCTGCAGATGGAACACTTTATTTTCATCCCCTGCCAGAAGATGGACTCCTCTTTTTTTGGTACGGACCACACATTTCGGAATCCGCATGTTTGAGGTATCCCAAGTTTGAAGCATTGAGCTTGGCTCAATCAGCAACCACAATTGCAAGTGGTTGTTTCATATTTCACATCCCCTTAAAGTGTTTCATGATGTCTCGGTATCCCAGATTTCAGTGATCTGAACCTTGAGATACCCTCTGGTAAACTTTCACATAACTATGGAAAGATCCACCATCTTTCAATGGGTAAATCCACTATTTCTATGGCCATTTTACCATTTTCAATGGGTAAATCCACTATTTCTATGGCCATTTTTTACAATTTTCAATGGGTAAATCCACTATTTCTATGGCCATGTTACCATGTTCACTGGGTAAATCCACTATTTCTATGGCCATGTTCAATAGCAAACTGTTACAGGGTGGTGCCCCAAGGTAGCTAAGTTGGTTTATAAGTCTAATAACTATGGTTTATAGGTGATATATCTATAGTTACTGGGATTATAACCCATTTATAACTGGGGGGGCACCACCTTGTAGTTTAACCTTGAGATATCACCACTAAAAACCTCCACGAAACTGCCAAGGAAGAAGGGCAGGGCGGTGTTGATGTCCCGCAGATCCATCCGCTCCTCCTCCAAGGCACGATTTGTCGACACCCCCAAGGGATGTTTAACCACCAATGGGGGTACCCCAAATGGATGGTTTATAATCCCAGATGCTCCAGGTATGGTATATTTACCTGCATTTGGGTAATTTTTAGGGCAAATGTTGGTAAATATTCCATATATGGAGCATATGGGAATGGGAAAACCCACTAAAATGGATGATTTGGGGGTACCCCTGTTTCAGGAAACCTCCATTTGGGTACTGAAAACTCTTAACTTAAGACCAAGCCCTGTAGTTTCCTTTCGTCGAAATCACTGATAGCGATTCTTTCTTTTTCAGAAAACAAGATGTTCCAAGCAAGCTGCCCCGTGGAAATTTCCTGGAACCATACCTTTCCCAACTTTCAGATGCTTTGTGAGGGCTCTTCCAAAACAGTATCCAGGAGATATCTTTAACCACAACTTCCATCCTTTGTTCATCTTTTTTTGCTTCAAAAACATGTGTATAGTTTTTCATATACATACATCAACGGTTTCCAAAATTGTATTTATATGGTTGAGTCGTTGCTGTTTTCATACTTCAACCATGCAGGCTAAACTCCACCTCAGATCTTTCCAAACGGGCTTTTCCATCAATGGGGGATCCCCAATAGCTGGATGGTTTATGAGGGAAAATCCTATCAAAATGGATGATTTGGGGGTAGCCCTATTTCAGGAAACTTCCAAATATGTTTTAACTTCACACTTTCCAACACCCCAAATCGTCCTAAATGTTTCTCCGAAAACACCCAACCAAAACAAAATCTCAACCTTTTTTCAACAGCCCCAAATTTTCCAAAATCACCAATTGTCCCAGCATTTTTCCAGTCCAAGATGTTTCTGTCTTTTCCCAGCTTTTCCAACATCCATTTTTCCCATTCCCAGCATGTTTTTCCATTTGTTCACCATTTTTTGCCACATTTCTCAGCAGTTTCCTGGCATTTTCCCAGGATTTCTGCCATTTTACTCCTGGGTTTCCCACGTTTTTTCGGCCGCCGGCTGCGAGGTGCACAACTGGGCGCAGGCCGTGAGCTCGGCTGAGCAGGCGGGCGCCAGTGCGGTGCTGGTCTTCAACGACTTGGACGTGCAGGACGTGGGACGTGGGATGGAGCTATGGTTTAATGATGTTTAATGGTTATATCATGTTAGATAGATGGATGGATGGATGGATGGATAGATAGAGAGAGAGAGATTGATGGATGGATTGATGGATTGATTTATATATACATATGTATCATGTGTATATACACCAAGAAAATGTGGGTAAGATTAAGATCAAAATATGGTGACAGTTTTAACGACTGTTTAATGATATCTTATGGTTTTATGGTTATGTTCACCATGTATAGTGGCTATCTAATGGGATGGTATGTGGTTTCTTTATATGGTTTAATGATGTTGAATGGTTCAATATTTATGAAATTTATGGAAGCTTATAGTGAATATAATGGTTATATCATATCTATATATATAGAGAGAGATAGATTCAAACAAAATGGATAAAATTTACATGAACATATGATGGGGGCTTATTTATTGTGGTTATATAGTGGCTAGGTGTGGTTTGATCGTGTTGAATATCAATGGTTAAATACAATGGGTTTAATTGTTAGATATGGTTAGATTGATATCAAAAAATGGGAACATGAACATGAAAATGATGGGGGGTTATAGTGGTTACATAGTTACTAGTACTATGTATGGTTTGATGATGTTTAATGGTTTAATATAATATATGTATGAAAGTTGTCGGGACTTCTGTGGATTATGTTCCTTCCACAAGATCCTGCCAAAACAATCACTTAACAATTGATCTACCCTCCCAGTCACCGTAAACTAAGAAAAAGCGATGGAAAATCCACGAGCAAATCGGTGTTTTTCCCTTGATTCTCCTATGTTTTCCCAATGATTTGTTGCTATCAACGGTATTTTTTGTAGAGTCAGCAGCTAAAAAGGAGACGTGTTTGGACAGGTATCCAAGATTCACCATGTATAGTGGCGATATAATGGGATGGTATATGGATGTATATCGTATATGGATGTATATGGTTTAATCGTGTTTAATATCAATGGTTTAATACAATTGGATAATGGTTTTACTGGTTATACAGTTGTATAGTGGGATAATGGGGTTTTACTATAGTTTATGGATGCTTATGATTGAATAGTGTTTAATATGTTGGGATATGACTAACAAACAGTATATGTATGTAATGGCTATGTGAAATGGCATATATAATGAGAATATTGTGAGAATATTAATAGTTTAATCATGTTTAATATGGCTATACGTATAGTCGTGGAGGGAGATGTGGATGAGGATGGGGGTATGGTGTATAAAGTGGACCATCAATATACATGGAATATAAATGGACCATAAAATTAACTATTTTATATAACAATAATTATATATATATTAATACTTAAATTGATTTGGAATATAAATGGTATGTTCCATATAAAACGGAACATGTATATAATGTCTTTATGATGAGGGGATGGGAATACAATGGGAATATCATTGTTTAATACTGTTTAATACTGTTTGATATGGCAAAAACAACATAACTAATGGGATTTAATGGGATAGAGTGTCTATCTAATGGTTATTCAATTATCATAGAGCATGAAAATAGCCGGTTTGCAGCAGAAACTAATCCTCCCCCTATTTACAGGATCTATGTGACTTTGAAATGGATAAGCATCATGTCTTATGGAAAAATCATCCTTTTGAATAGGTAGATCATCTATAAATTGCCCATTTTCCATAGCTATGTTAAAATTACTGGCAGGATACATCGTTTAATATGACTATATAATGGTTATATACTGGGAACTGATAAAATCTAGTGGGATGGAATGGGAGATAACTCACCAACACTATGCATTGGGTTAAAAAAGATACAAGTTGATATATATATATATATACATATAATTATATATATAGTGGCTATTTGATGGCTACTTATATATATACCCACTATATACCCACTATATATATATATACCCACTATATATGGCTATATAATTTGATACAATACCCACTATATATATATATATTACTTATGTAGTGGGTATTTGATGGTTACACAATGGCTGTTTTTCATGATGGCCTTTTTTTCGGGCAGGAACCCTTCCGGATGGGCCTTTTTGGGGAGAAGTTGCCGAAGATTCCGGCCTTCATGGTCAGTGGCAAGGAGAGCCGGTAGCCATCGGTAGCCGGGGTCGAAGTTTTACCATCCAAGTATCTGGATGATCTGGATGTGGGAGAAAAACAGGCAAGAATTGGGATGTTTTTTGGACACAAGAATTGGGATTTTTCACCTATGATAGAGGTATCATCTATGGATATCTTGGGGTATAATTCGGTATGATATACCCTCTGGTTATGACTAACATAGCCATGGAAAATTGCCATTTATAGTTGATTTGCCCATTAAAACCTCCATTTATAAGGGATTTTCCATGGCTATGTTAAATAGCCAGATGGTAACCAACAACATGATATGGGTCAAGAGTGTTTCGACATGTTTGGCCCTTGGTCTACCTGTGGATCTTCCATCATTTGTCAAGAGGGGTCCCTGGGTCACTCGCATCATTTGGGGCAAGGACCGGGGGGTCACTTAGATTCCGTACGATTTGGAGCCTCCAACATGACGTCAAGTCAGTCAATAAATATACCCTTAAACATGTGAACTAAACGGAAACTCCCTTTTTCGGGCCTTGAGCATGCTGTTCTAATGAAATGAGAGTTTTTCTTTTTCCCATCCTCTTCCAACATTTATTGTCTGGACATGATAGCATTACCCTCCAGTAAAAATACAAAAATATATGGAAAATCCACCACTTGGAGATCATTTTCAAGGGGAAAACCATCAATTTCTATAGTTTTTTTTGTGTCTTTACTGGAGGACATGTTCATCCCTGAAAGCGTCGTCAGCCAGGATGGAGCAGCGCTGTGTGCAGCCAAAGATTGTGACCTCCTGATCGTGAGGTTCGGGCACTTGATGTGGGTTGGTTGCAACTTGATGGTAACTTACTTTTCTACTTGGACAAGGGGTATGAAATCACCAATATAAAATCCAGTTACTGAGATAGACAAGGAATTCGTTTATGTATACTTTATGGTTCTTGCTGTGAATGGGGATACATGATTCATACTCCGCTTATGTGGTGAAGAATTCAACGGGATATGATGCAGCCAGACTGTGATGGCCCTCCTGGCCACTTGGGTTGTCTGGTTTCGTTGCCGTTTTCAGCCTCTTCAAGACTCTTCAACTGTAGAGAGCTTCAACGAGGGCATGATTCATTTGATGGTGTGGTAAGATAATAATTAATGATATACCACATTTCAGATTCGTATATGGTTCATATATGGTTCGTATGATACTGTGAGCATATGTTAAACAGCCAGTGCTGTTGTTGCAGGGTATCTAACTCAGTTTGGGGGATGCGGGATGGCCGGGATGGCCCAGTGAACAAAATACCCTGGTTAATTGATTGTTATAGGATGATTATATATGATTATACTACCTGGTTTACTGGGGATTATGATAACCCGTGATGGGAAACCGTTTTCAACCAACTAGTAGTTCATGAGATGGGATGGGGGTATTTTAATGGCTCAATTGACAACAATAGACTTGGCACAGAAGTCTTTAGCCACAATTGTAGAACTACTGGGGTGATCCCTGAAATTAGGATGGGTTGGCAGCTGGTACTAAATAGAATCTCCATGAAATAAAGTATATATAGGTGAGGGTTGGAGTATAACCTCCTTTTCCAAGCGATTGATCAATTTTAGATTATATATCAGGCAAACTAGATCAAGCAGATGTTTTGCACTTGTTGGGGGAGCACTTGTTGGGGGACATTACAGGAGCAGATCCCTGTCAATTCTATCTATATCCATTATGAAAGCCTCATAAATCCAGATCATGGTTCCCAAGCCCTGGGTATTGAGTTTCACAAACTACCAAGTAATGTGACTGGGGTATCCACGAAGTCTTGGGCCAAGAGCACTACAGGTGCACGAGCGCCGTGCGCAATGCTGCGGAGGAAACAGTGTATGGGGCACTTCACGGAGAGCCTCTTCGTCACCGTCGAATACCTCTCCTCAAAGCGGACGGAGTCCAACGAACCTCAAGCCGCTTCTGATGAAATCACAAGCAAAAAGGATTCCCAGTTGCCGTCCACAGAGGACTACGGACGGGTCGTGTTGAGATGAATGGTTATGGCCCCACGTTACAAAGCCAAAGCATGGTTGCATGGGCTTACGCCTGAACCTTTCAATCGTCAGAAGAAGGTCATCAATTGCATGGGTTGCATGGATTTCATTGGGCGAAGGTCATCAGAAGGTGAAATAGGTCTACTTTTGGATGATTTAGGGATTACCACCTTTTTAGGAAACCTCGAAATCATTCGAAATCCATACAGGTCCATCAAATCCACATAAGTCCGCCCATAATTCATTCTCCGTAGAAGTCAACATGCACATCAATCAGTCTATCAAATCCTTGACAAATCTGGGATCTCTCCAAGATTCCCCCCACATGTCCCACAATCTCAACATGATTTCTCATAAACAACATAGAATCTCATAAAATCCAGCATTCCTCAAAATATGTGCATAGTTCCGAGTTTCTACAGTTATGGCTATGGCCTGAAATACTGTACCAGTCAAAAAGGTTAGTAAGTCACCCCATGATGGAATGATAATCCCATTTCATCCCCAACCGACTGGATAGGTTTAATCTTTGAGTGTCTTTTATGCCATAAATGGAACATGACCGTAACCAGCCAAAGATGATGTTTTGTGGACTAGCAATTTGATACAGATTGACCATGATTTATCACCATAGAATCACTGGTTTCTGGGGCATCAAGTCACTGTGGCCAGGTCTGTGTTAGCCTCCTCTCAAGCCACTCCGCCCTGGCCCTTGGCTGGGGGACGCCTTGCGGATTTGGCGCAGGTCCCGCCGCCCTGGGACCAACTTGAGACAGCCCAAGTCCAAGAAATGTTGCATTTGGTGCAGCATGACTATGTACCCTCTGGTGAACTAACATAGCAATGGAAAAATTGCTATTTATAGTGGATTTTCCCATTAAGAATGGTGATTTTCCATTGCTATGTTAGTTCACCAGAGGGTAAACATCATGAGATGGCTCAGGGGATTCCGGAAATTGTGATCTGAGGGGAACCATCACCGGGAAGGAAAAAATGGTGGATTTGGGCGGTGAAAAAACTGGGGAAACATGGTGCATAAACCAAGAAAATGGGAAACAAACCAAGATCCAACAAGAATAAAATGCCGCACACATGACATCATGAGGAAGATATCAACAGAAATGTCCTACACATGTGGGTTGATCCAATTTTAAGCAGCAAAAATGGTTGTGTCGTGGGGGGTTCACCAATCATAGGGATTAAACCTACCCAAAATGGTAACTAAGTAGGCAACACATGGAGTAAATGAATGTGTTGACCAAGGAACATTGTGGATATAGCTCTAATTTTCAGGAATATGATTGTTATATGTGGATTTTTTTTGTTAGACAGCATATATTCTAGTTAGTAGACATTGTATCATTTATGTAATTAGTATATATATATTATATTATATATACTTGAGTCAAAATTGGAAGAGTTGTATTTGTACCATGTTTGATATTACTTGTCACTATGATTTGACTAAAAAGCAAGGACAAACATGGTGGATATATCTACATTTTCCGTGAAGATTTTCACCCACAGACATAACTAGGGCTTGGGGCACCACACATAGAATTTAGTGTTTAACCACTGTATATTAACCACTGTATATAATTGGTTAACTGATTAGTGTTTGGAATCAGTGTGGATGTGACCACTTGGATGCTTCGATGGGATGGTAGCAAACTGGTGATTCAACCAACGACAACGGTGGTTGCTGATTATATACATATTATACACAGAGTTTCATATATACTTGGAATATATATATATATACACACATATATATACATACATATATATTATATATACATCATATACACATACATAATCTCATGATGTTATCATAGCCAGAATTTCTCCCTTGGATCCCCGTGGAAGCATTTCGGTGTCCGTGGGTCAGGCCTGGAGTCTGCTGGAAGCCTTGTCAGCACATGAACCCGAAGAACTGGACGAACTTCTCCAAAGGATGAGTGTTCCGGAGATGCCCGGCGAGCAGAGCTAGCGGAGCTGAGCTCACCAGCCGGGTAGCCTCTGTTAATAGTGGTTAATGATGGTTAGTAGTGGTGGTTAATAGTGGTTAATGATGGTTAGTAGTGGTTAATGATGGTTAGTAGTGGTTAATGGTTGTGATTGTGATGGTTAGTAGTGGTGAATCATGGCTTATTGATGGGTAGCCTCTGGTTTTTACAAGAAACTGATGGGAAAGATCCACCATTTTGAATGGGAAAACTCACGAAAAAAAATGGCCATGTTCAATAAGCTATGTAACAAATTACCATCTGGGCCAATTTGATCACGACCTCACTGTTCGAGAAGCATCACTGGGAATTATGATCATTTAACCACCATGAGGAGCTGGTCAAATCAGTTTTTTTCGGTGAGGAAAAGTCACTGATTGAGAAATTCATTGATATCTATTGAGAAGCTATTTGAGTGATCCCCAGTTACGCCATGGCACATGTAGCCCTCAAAATTCGTCGGATGAGGGTTATCGTAGACCATCCCAGAGGAACAATGGAACAATGGCCCAATGGCCATCGGAAGAGCATGGCCAGGGTTCGCCCAGTTAAGCAGTCTTCAAAAAGCCTTGTGGTTGATGATTAGTTCGGGGGCTATACCATATATCCTTTGTAATCCTTTATAATCTTGGATAGAATTATTGGTGATTATCAACGATGATCACAATCCAACTGGGAAATCCGTTCCCAAGCAACCAAGAATCTATAACAGCAGGATATCACCAAGGTTTTCGAACACCGCTCAGTTGTGTCCTGAACTGATGGCATGACCCTTTAAGTTCCAGGTAAAGAAGGTGCAGCCTGTGGGATTTGTTGGAAACCCATACAATTTACGGTGTGCCACTAGTGCCATTTGAAAAGTTCCACAGAATTTAGATTTTTAGAAAGCATCTTTAAACATCTTTAAACATGTTATACCCAGTGGTAAACTAACATAGATGTGGAAAATCCATGTTTTTATTGTTTGATAGTTGGTCCTCCACATGTTTCATTGACCAGAGGGTAACATGTTATACTTATAGCTGCTCATTTCCGTTCCCGTCTTTGTATACATCTATATACATCTATATACATATACATATATATATACATACATACATACATACATACATACATGTACAAATATGTAGGGCAAATCCAAAGGGTGTGGCACCAAGATCTCTAGCTGTAGCTGTTGGGCCTGAGGAAGCGGGTCTGGCTGACGCGTCGCCTCGTGAACTTGGCTTCAAAATGGAGAGCTGTAGCTGACAGGAAACACTGGAAGCTACACAGAGCTCGAATCTCTATTCAATGAATCACATATATATATAAATACATATGTATAGATAGGTGTGTATATATATATATATAGAGTTACATATTTATATACAATTCATTGAATCATAATTTCATAATATATATATACATATTATATATACATACACACTATATATATATACATACACATAATATATATATACATACATAATATATATATATATACATAATATATATACACATTATATATATATACATAATATTTATGTATTATATACGTATCGGTATATATATATATACATATATATATATATACTGTATATGTACATGTATATTATACATATACTGTACATGTGCAGATGTACATTATACATATTGCATGTTCTTCTGTGTTCAAACCATTGAGAACATCATCCCATGTTTTTCAGAAAGGATGTCTCCTCAGCTGGTACCCTAAGGTGAGACATCATCGAACGTCGCAGCAGGCGGAAGCGGCGGAGCCTCCTTTGGCCTTCGTGGAGGGGGATCGATGGCTGTCGCCGCAGAAGCAGTGCCCAGCCGAAGAACAAGGACCTCACACGAAATCTGGTGGTTTAGTATGGGATAATGATGGTTAATGATGGTTAATGATGGTTAATGATGGTTAATGATGGTTAATGATGGTTAATGCAATCACTAGTTGGTGGTTTGGAACATGGCTTTTTATTTTCCATCACATATATGGGATGTCATCCTAACCCCATTGACGAACTCCATCATTTTTCGAGATGGTTATTGCACCAACCAGAAATGGTGCCCCATAGTTCGCCACGTTGGTTTGTCTCCAGAGGGGTCCCCCAAGTCATCCAGGATCCCCCATGACTTAAGAACCCCCCATGAGTATTGGTTCCATGGCAGCACCTTGCAAAGGCTATGAAAGGGTATGAAATATGATGAAATCCCATGGTTCATCACGGTTTGAATCAGTGTTTTCTCATGTTTTCTCATTCCAACAGCAACCAAAGGAGGATTAAAGACCAGAAACCAGTTAAATTTATGTGGCTTGTATCGGTGCCCCAGGTTTTGAATCATTGCCAGATTTGGACATTGTCAAATTTCAAAACCCAAGTGATTTCAGAGTCCACACTTCTAACGTTGCAAAAAAATTGAGGTTGGAAGCCTTGCGAAAGCAGTTCTTTGGCTCAGACCGAGGGTCCTCCTGACACCCTGATCTGGGAAAAAAGGGTGGTGGTAGTGGGAAATATAATTAAATTGTATATATATATAGGAACTACTTGATCATCTAAAAAAAGCTACTGTAGTATCATCTAGTATCACCTAAGTGATATTCTTATATGATATCACTTTTTAATATCAGAAAAACGATGTCATGGCGACCAAATAAGGGCGTGACATCGGCAAAACCAGAAAGAAATAAAGAAGGAGTTGGAAAGGAAGGACAAGCTATCACCGCTGGGCTCATCTTGGGGCTTACATCCCCATCTGCACTCCTTGGCATCTATATGTACATGTATGTACTTCCCTGCCGCCCAGCAGATTGAAAATCCGCCCACCAGGCACAACTCGTTTAAGTCATGGCGAACTCGGCGGTAAATGAAGGTGAGTACGAGGAATTACTCTGGGTAATTCAAGATAGCTATAGAAAATAATCATGGATGGATAAGATGGATAGTAAATCATTTATAAATGGCCCATGTGCATCATTTGTTCATAGCTAACTGTTCACTAACTATGTTAAATTACCGAAAGGTATCCTGAGTCGTTAAACAATTGCCATTGTCCTAACTAACCGTGCAATATAATTAAATGATCCCATGATATTCCACGGGCGTACTACAGTTTTAGTGGTGCTTATTTCCAGGTTTGGCAGTGTTGGTGTTCCGTGGTCGTTTTCCATTTTGGCATTATGAATTGGGATCCATACGGGATATCGTTTTTGTGTCGAAGATATGGACTCAGTCAGAAATGGCGATGAGAGTGCTCGGTAATGGTTCTCATAAATGTTGCTCTGATAAAACTTCAATACGAAACTCGCCCAAGATGGTTCTGATAAGGCAGAAAAGCCCACCATACTAGTAGCATTGAATACCCCAATATATCAGAAATAATTGTCCAAGACAAGATCCATCATCTGTGCTTTGGGGTAGCCTTGGATGTTTTTGTACTGATCTTCTGCTACAAATGGGGATGTATACCAATATAGAAACTCAAAATCCATGTTTTTGCAGGGTCTCCAAGATTGAGCACCAGAACAGCAGTTTCTGACAGCTGCAGGTACTGTGAAGGCACTGGCATTGGCAGTCCTGACATTTGTGGAGAATTCGAGGTACGATTTCGCAGCTTGACTTACTTTGATGCATCGCAGTTACAGGTGGAGCCACTTGTGAAATCCAATGGGGGATTTGACATGATTTGACCAAGAAAAATTGGAGGTAAAAGCAACAGTAGTGGGGATATGATGGGGACATCTATAATGGGATAAATGATAAACAATATACTAGGATATTTCATGTAACATGTCGCAGGTTATTGTTTTATGAAGAAAGCAACCAGCAAAGCAAAGTGTGGATTTAATCAAATATAACAATCCAATGATAAGTCTGTCTGAAAATGAATGTGTGTACCCCAAAAAAACAAAATGTGTCCATTGAACAATGCGGGACATGAGGTTTTGAAACAGTGGATTCTGGGGTATTTTTGAAGAAACCCAAGCGGGTAATAACCACAATCACCCAGTTCCATTGTGGGATATATCGCAGCGTCATGAATATGACCCTCAGGCCACTGAACAGTTTGCGAAAATGACCCATTTAGTTCGATGATTTATCCATTCAAGATGGTGATTTTCCATAGCTCTGTTAAGTTACCAGAGGGTAATCCCCATCTCCATTATTGCTCTGTATATCCATCCCCATTACATCCCATCAGAGTCCATAAAAGTCCCCTTTGTGTTTCATTAAATTCCATTAAATCCCATGAAATCTCATTAGATTCCAAGTATGGGCATGGGTCAAAACCTATGATTAGGTCAAAACCTGTCAAATTACATCAAATTACCATATTCCGGGACATAGATATTAACTAGATTCCATTCATTATATAAATCCAACGAAGTCCCATGAAATCTAAAAAAGAAAGAACAAAATCGAGGTGTCCCTGGTGCCGAGTTGCCCCTTTCGCAAAGCTCAGGTGGTGAACAAGGCGTTGGCAGCGCCGTGGTCCGTGAATGGATGGAACCTTGGTTGGTCCGTGAGGTGTGTTGAATGGATTCCTGTGATGTGGAGGATTCACAGGATTTAATAGGATTGAATGGTATGTATATAGATGTAATTATTTAGTATTTAGTATGATTTCGTGGGATTTCATGTGATTTAAATATATGTAAATTGAGTTCAATGCAGTTTTAATGTAAATTAATGTGATCTAATGGGATTTAATATGACTTTATTTATAGTTAGTCCTATTTAGTCCTATGGAGAATCCCCGAATGTCCACAGACATGCGGTTTAATCAAAGTCCCTGTCCATGTCATGTATCGACTGGCCCCGGCTGATGTCATCCAGCGGCGTTCAGATATTTACAGAGGTTTCGTCCCAAGAGTGTGTTGTATTTGTTCTAAGGTTGTCCAAGCAATAAACCAATGAATAAATGAATCAAAACATAATATGATTCAAATGATTGTGAATTGAGAACGTTAATCTATACGTAGGTTAAATGTTGTTCATTTTATCGATTGTGGTCTTTGGATCATCCGGTCCCACCAACGTATGCTCTGGAAGCCGACACGTTGGATTTGATGGTGTGCCCATCAAAGAAATGATCTAATGTGGTAATGATCAAATGTCCCAAAATATACTACAATATATATATATATATATATGTATATATATATATATTATGGTAAGCCAGAGATTAACTTTTGATTATATATGAACTCATACATATATATATATATATATGCATATATTGCATGATTAAGAATTAACATCTTAGTTTTACTCTTTCGGTAAACACAACAACCATGAGGTTTTGTTGTGCTTCCATTCCCGTAATGATTTGCAGTGTCCTCCAGCCATGGGGTTGTGCCCAGAAATGCTTGGACCATATTTAAAAAAAAAACATCCCCGGTATATGAGAAACACGTCGCAAATATGTCTACATCCCCATCCACAAGTCAGTTTCTAGGGGGTGTAACAATGGGTCAAGACGACCAAACCTCCATCAACTGCCGACCGGGATGATACTTCGCACCGTGAGAGATGCACAGCTGCGCGCACATCCTATATGCTCATCCTAATTAATCTCAGCATACAAGTATATATATATATGTACATGTATAATATTTTAATACATATATATATAATATGTACTTATTTATCTGGAGTCTATCTACACACTTACTTACATTTGCCATTGAGTCGGTTAACTGATTAGTTTGCACTCAGGATTTATCCCTTGTACAATGGGTTATAACCCATTTGCTAATCAGTGAACTGCTGAGCCCACCTTGTATAGGTAGTGTAGGTACTTCTTCGCCATACATGGGGAGGGAGAGAGATATGATATATATATATATATATGCATGTGTATATATATATATATACATATATATATATATACATATATTAGCCAGCTATGTATATATAACTGGTTGACCCAGATTGACCGTGATATGATCAAATTACATATGTATATAGCTGGTTAATATCCGCTTTTCATATCACGGTCAACTAGCAGCTGGTTGTTTGATAAATTTTGATCATATGAGATATTAGCCACTGGGATCTGATAATATCTGGGTAAATTATAACGACCTCACTGCGACCTCACTATAATCATAGTTAGTAAGGGGAAATATCCCCAAATGACCTTAATTCAGGTTAGTGAATAATTGTAATTTACCCAGATAAATGTTGTGAGTCATATTTATACAGTCGTTACCATATATAGCAACATTTGGGGTATATTGATGGTAAATGTTACCATATATAGCATACATGGATCCTATGGGTAATATCATGTTTCTCTCCAAAGAAATAAAGCCAAGGACTTAGTGGCGCGCGACGTCTATCTGCAGCCATCGCTGCGACTCTTGAGGAGCTACGATCAGCGACAAACCTTTTGGCCCGCGCCGCGGCGGCGGCCAGGGCGGCGGTGGCCGTGGGACTGGGCAGTTTTGATGAGTTGGTGGTGGAAAATCACCATTTTGAATGGGTAAATCAACTATAAATGGTTGGTTCCCATGGTTGCTATTGAAAATTGCCATAGAAATAGTGGATTTATGTGGATTTAGCCATTGAAAATGATGATAGATACCTGGTTGGTGGTTTGGAACATGGCTGGATTATGACTTTCCCATTCAGTTGGGAATTTCATCATCCCAACTGATGAACTCCATCATTTTTCAGAGGGGTAGGTACACCACCAACCAGATTGCATTTGGACCGGAAAATTGAGGGAACACCACCAAGTTCCAAAGGTTGGAATCCTCATATTCCATTCCATATTGAATGATTTGAGATGGTGATTTTTGGGCCCCCTCCCATTTCTTGGACAAAATCAAATGGGAATTTAAGCATCAAACATGATAGTGCAATATGGGACATAACTGGACAAAAATGTTGATTTAGCCAATAGATAACACTATAAAAACCAACTGTAATGGGCATCTAATATATATATATATAATAGTGAATGTAATGTAGAATGGAATTTATGACCAACAATATAATATAGGGTCTATGGGTTTGGTGAAAACTACCGGATTGTGGCAGGTAATTGACAGGACGGATGTTTGGGAAAATGACATTATGTGAATAGCTCTTCAGCTGAGATCTAGTGCGCAGCAGAAGGGTTGAATCAGCATTGGTTTGACTCGCACCAAAGTCTGAAAGTGGTTCTTTGTTGTAACCCCCAGAACGATAGAAAAGTGATTGACTCATCATTATCTTTGTAGGATTTGACTTTGTCTATTTTTTAGAGGACTACTGTGCCTTGAATATACAATTGTCACTGTGGTCTGCAATGCTGCTCTCCAATTTGCAACTGGGTAGACCATGGTTGACACACTTTGTTCAAGATTTAAGACGCAGGGTACCACAGATGCTGTTACCTTTTCTTACCTTCCGGCAACAGTTTGCTCTGGGCAATATCCCATTTAGTTCAATGATTTACCATGATTTACGGGTCTTAAACAGGGTGATGTTCCATAGCGGCAAATCATCGGAAGGTACTGTGTCGGTGATGTTTTTCGTGTTTTCTTCCCACTATTGGGCATCTAATTTGAACATATTCCGGGCCATGGGCAACCCTGCAAACCAAAATACACTCTGGTGTCATCAAACATGGCGAAAAATCATCCAACTAGATCCAACTAGTTCATCAAATGTTCATCAATTAGTTACCGTCTGGTTATTGAACATAGCCATGGAACATGGCCCATTTATAGATGATTTACCTATTAAAAATGGTGGATCTTTCCATAGCTATGTTAAATACCCAGAGGGTAACCTCCATTTATAGATTATAGGGGATGTTCGATATGTTCACATGATTGTCCCAATGAAGACCTCCATTGAGTTCGGGGATTTCTCCGCCATGAGGATGCAGCGGCCACCTTTTGCAACAACTGCTGGAAGATGCTGGGCATTAGTCATCTGATCGTTAGAAGATCTTCTCTGGCAGATGGGGTGGGGTGGGGTGGGCTAATCACGTCCTGTTGCACTGGCACACAGAAAGGGTGCTATGCTAAGGACTCTTATTTCTTCTGCAGACTTAGATGATGCTAGACTCAGGACTCTTTTCTTCTATTTGCAGACTTACCGCGACTCTTCTCTTGTACTTGCATACTAAGCTGAGGGGTGGGGTGAGCTGGGGTAGGGTGGGGTTGGGGGGGGCCAATAACGTCCTGTTGCACTTGCACACAGAAAGGATGCGTCGCTCACGACTCTTCTCTTCTATAGTTGCTGCGCTAAGGAGACTTGTACTTGCAGACTTAGATGATGCTACGCTAAGGACTCTTCTCTTGTAGTTGGACAGCTCTTAAAAGACAGAGATAAGATATGCGCAGTGTCCGAAAACAAGTTGCCGACATCAGTGCTTGAATTACAATCTTATCAGAAACCATACTGATTGCGAACCTTGACCCTCAAAATGAGGCGCTTTTGCAGGGTTTTTAGATATTTCACAAAGAGACATCAAGATATTGCAACATGTGAAACCCTGAAAGGGTTCAGAAATTCATGATGATTGATTGACGCCAATAATGAAATGTGTTAACACTCCAGCACTCCTCAAGGCGCAGTGACCATGTTCATGGCCATTGATCATCCATTCACAGACTTGGAACAAATCCATCTGCGTTTTGAGGGACGGTGATAGCAGGGGGTCAAAGTTGGAAGATTGTTTCACTCACAATTCGGACCATTATTTACCAGTTGTATTATGAACAAAGTTTGCACTTCCAACAAAAAGTGGGAATTTGAACCAAACATCATTGATATGTCAAACAAAACGTCCAACGTCCGAATCATTGATATGTGACTCTAGAATACTTTCGACACCTTGTTTATTGTTCATCGTTCAAACCTTGAAATGCAACGATTCCATGTTTTTCCTGTTGGGATGGGCACACGGAGAAACTGCAACGGTTTTCCACTCGAAATGGCTGGTTGCTTCCCATGGTTGCTATTGAAAATGGCCATAGAAATCGTGGATTTACCCATTGAAAATGATGTATGATATCTGGTTGGTGGTTTGGAACAGAACTATGGAAAATCACAATTTTTAATGGGTAAATCAACTATAAATGGTTTGGAACATGGCTGTATTATGACTTTCGATTCAGTTGGGAATGTCATAATCCCAACTGACGAACTCCATTATTTTTCAGAGGGTTAGGTATACCACCAACTAGATATCATGTATGTAATGTAATGCGATGCAATGCAATGCAATTCAATGTATATTTGTAATGTGCTGTATGGATGTATTGTTTATGCATCGATTTGCCCAAATTATGCATATACATAGTATATATACATATATATATATATAATAGTACATATAATAATTAATATGTAGACCTGCATAACTTCACAAGTGTTGCTACATATCCATGTGATTTACTGTGAATGGGTCTTTCAGTTGAGGATGGACTATGAGATCATGGGCTGTTTGATCGGCCTGGCGCTCTGGCAGAATTGCACTTTGGAGCCTTGGCATGTCACCATTCGCCAAGTCATACCTGGGTCATGTTCATTACCCTTTGGTAAACATACAAAAAACGATGGAAAATCACAATGTTTAATGGGTAATTCAACTATAAATGACCATGTTCAATAGCTATGTGAAATTACCGCAGGGTAGGGAATGAATTTTCTTGAAGGATGGACTATGTCACTTTGAAAATGTGGATTAACATCTACTTAGCTAACAAAAAATGGAGATACAACTTAACAACATGGATTTCATGTTCCAGTGAATATGATGGTGGTTTACTTAGACACCCAAAGGACAATTTCAGAAACTAGCAAGAAAGACATTTTGTCCAGAATAGCTACATGCCATGGACTTACTTCTTAATATTTTCGGACATTGTATATGTAGCACACATGTTGCAGGTTGCTTGCCAAACTGGGGGTTACGTAACCCACAAGTTTTTTGTTGAGCTGCAAAACTTAGGGGGGACTCATAGGAACATTTGCATGGCAAGCTAGAACATCCCCGCAGTAAATGGAGGTTTCTGCAAAAGTCAACGAACTATGGCTGGTGGAAACTCCAATAATTCGATGATTTTTCCATGAACACACCTCCATTTTATAGTTATTTATAGAGATTTTTGACGATGTGTCCATATTTTCCCATGGCTTTCCTCATCGATGCCCATGTTTTCCGGTCAATTCGCCCGCGAAATCGTCAAAGCTTCCTGTCAGGTCGGCCTCGTAGATGAGAATCGTATGTTGCCGTAATAGAGAATAGTTAATGATAATTGATGATAATTATAGTTAATGATAGTTGATAGTTAATGATAGTTAATGATAATTGATGATAATCAATGATAATTGATGCTGAGTTATTGTTCATAGTGAATGAATCTTAATGATATAAGTCAATGATAAATGTTCATGATATATGTCATATAATTATATATTTGGATAAATCCAAATATTATAACTACCTCACTGCGACCGAACCCTGATAAAATTATGATTAGGATTCGGGGTAACTATCCCAAAATAGTCCAACCTTTGCAGGTTAGTGAATATGATATCGTGCCCAGAATGACTGAAACAGATTCTTGTAATGGTTGATTAACTAATGGTTAATTGTATTGTAATGGATGTAATATTGAAAACAATTTTTAGTAGTGGTTAGTTGTTCACGGTAATTACTAGTGTTTGACAAAACTTGATTGACAGTAGTGGTCAACTTGAAATGATTGGTTGATATTGCTGACTCAAACTGTACCCAATAGATAACTGATTAATAGGTGGGGTTAATCCAATTGCAAGATGCATTATATTGAATCCGCTACTAGTCCTAATGTGTCCTAATCATTCTTGAAAGATTCTGTGTGCTAGTCCAATTTCTTCAGTCAATAAGCTTTTCCGACATAAAAACTTGGCTGCAATCCTTGTGCATCAAAGTTTAAGGCCCCAAGTAAGCATTTGTCATCATGAGCAGTGAATCATCCCAGGTTCTTTTGCCCAATTTTGAGCCATATTCACATGATTCCACATGTGGGTGAATCAAAATCTATAAAACACCATTTTTTGGTGGAAGATACTGTGGATAGAAGAAATCCTGCACCAGGCAGGTAACTATGGACGTCACTATGAAGCACTATAAAATAATTGGATTGTTTGATGGGACACACCATCTATTGAACCAACTGGTGCAGGATTTCGCAACCATCCACCGTGTGGAAGATGAGCATCCAGTGTCCAGCTAGCTATGAACACATTGAAAACCAGGGGGCTATACTATACACATGTAAATGCGTCACTTCAGTTCCCTCGAATTTCGAGGATTTGCCGCTGCATCCGCATATCTGTGCCTTGCTCTTCGGCTTTCCTCCCGAGAGCATCACGCCGCTCTGCCGCAACAGCGCAGCTCGTGATAACCCATGAGACCATGGGATGGTTTGCGTATCTCATTATTGCCGAAAAATGACATCCAGATTGTTATCATCATCAATGTCAATTCAGCCAGAGACATATGATGCAAAATTAGCTATGTACATACATATATATATATATATTATATATATATATATAGACACATCTACCATGAACCCTAGTGATATTAGTCACAGAGGAACCGTGGCATGTCACGCATCAGCTACAAATCCCATCAATTTTCTGCGGATCAAATCCAAGTTTTAAGGGTGGATCAATCCTCATTAAATGGTGCTGGTGAAAGTCACTATTGGTGGTGCCCCATTTAGCTAAGTTGGTGCGTTTATAACTCCAATTTCACTATGGTTTATGGTAGATGTCTCATTGATATATCTAGAATCTATTCCTATGGTTTAAGCAACTAACATCACTATTGATATATCACCTATAACTGATATAACATAGCTATTGAAAATTGCCATTTATAGTGAGTTTTCCCATTAAAAATGCTGGATCTTTCCATAGTTATGTAAACGTTTACCAGAGGGTATCACCTAGAAAACTGATATATCATCCAACCAACATCACGTATATATGGCACCACCATTTGGTCAGGACCAGCCTGGCTGAGATGGATCCCGAACTGCACAGACACAAGGCGCGCTTCGATGATGGATCCCGCGGCGGTTGGCATGTGGCGCTTGCTGGGTGTTTGATGTGATTTATGTTTTTTTTTAATGGTGTCATGTGTGTTTAGATGATTTGTTATATGTTGTTTTATCTCTGATTTTATGTGAGTTCAGATCTGAATTTATGTGATGCTATCTGATTTCAGGCGAGTTTAGATGATTTTTTTTGTGATTTTACATTATTTTTTTATGTGTTTATATGATTCTAATTATATGATGTTATTCTGATTTACTATCTGGTGGTTGGGGGAGCTGTTTGGAGATAAGGGTATCTACATGCCTTACTGTATAAATGGAGAACCAAGGAGCTACTAACAGTTTTCCAACCATATGAATGATAGGGGATAGGGGTACATTTTTTTCTGGATCAAAAACAAGTTATTCTGGATCAACACATATTATGTATATATATATATATACATGAAAAGAATAGGAAGGAAGGAAGGAAGGAAGGAAGGAATATCATATCATCAAATTCATATATTACATATAGCATGGTGGATCTTTGCATGGCGAACTGTTAAATAACCAGATGGTACTGTTTGAGAACGTATTGTATGGGGGTTTCCATAGTCATGGAGGTACCCCAAGCTTGCTGGTTGGTTTATGATGGGTCCCTCAATGGATGATGACTGGGGGTACTCCTATGACTTAGGAAACCACCATATCTGTATCTCTGAATTTTATGGGTTGATGTTTTTGTTCATGGCATGTGAAAATAGATTCATGCGTGGTCTTTGTGGCTAGCTTGGGCATGTTTGCTTTGTCAAGGTAATATCACCGCGGATAATAAGGTCGGATGTCGAAACCCAGGATGGGTCAATTGTTGATCAAAACCCATGGAAATCTCATATATTTATCATTTCTCACAGGTACAACGTGATCAACGTGATCGTCATGATCTTTCAAGGTTTTTTTTTGGGGGGTTTCAGCTCTTCCAGGTGCAGTTTGTGAGAAAGTTGGTTCCCCCAGGTGCAGTGGCTGCTGGCCAATCCCATCGATGATTTGGGAGTTGAACTCAGCTTCTCTGATCCTTTGGGACCAGAAGAGTCGAAGGCGGGACTGGGAGAGCTGGAGAGATATGGTGGTTTTATGTGTTTTTCGGCCACAAGATGCCACAAGTGATTGGTCCTTCATATTTTCAAAAGGGGTTATGGTTAAAGCAATGATATAAACATAACAAACCATCCCCAAAATCACCATCCTTATTGGTGGTATAAACCATCAAAAATGGAATGGTTTATTATGGTTGATTATTGGTTTACCAACATTGCAACACATGTGTTTTTGCCCCACTTGAGGATCAAGTTGGTCTATGTACTACTTAGGGATCACAAACTTGGTGATGAGATGCGATGTCAAGGCACGTTCAGGACCACAAATATTTTTGGTGATCAGTGATGTGGTTGGTACTAACAATTGTCACGGAAGGCCCCACACCATGATTCGGATGTGGGAAATTTCTAAGCCTCCAAGAGCTGTTTGTGTTGTCCATTTAATCATATGTTATAATCGTTTATATCATTTTATATCTCCCAACTCAAGTGGAACTCCACTCCTGGCCATGACTGTTGAAGCTAGTTACTTCTGGTGCTTTTTTGGCCTTGGCGTCCAGGATGCGGATGAAGAGGTACAAAGCCTCCCATCCTTACTATCGCGACATCAGCGTTTATCCGGAGACAGCAGCAGCACGGTTTTGATGCGCGTGGAGAACTCTGAGGTCTCCGTGCTGCTGAAGATCCCAGAAGGGGCATGGCATCCCGATTGTGAAATTTTCTCTGCCTTTAGAGGAGTTACACATCAGTTCTTGGGATTTCTTGGGGTGAAATACTGATCAACCTCAGATGGAAGATGAACATGCTACTGATCCACTCTGGTGCATGGTTCATCTCGCAGAAAGCGTCACTCGGAACCTAAGAACTTTCTTGTGAAAAGGACAACCATCGTCCAAACTCTTTTTCTTTGGAGTTCGATGGCAATGTCCAGGTGATTTGCTCAGGGTTCATCAACCTACCCCTTTCATTTAGGGATGATGATACTCCATTGGAATCTCCACAAAAACTAGCTCCGCAGGTGTTGCTGTGTGATGGCGTGGCCACAGTGACGGACGAGAATAAGCATCGCTTTGTCGAGTTCCTGGAGAGATGGAAACTCTATGAAGGCGGGGGAACCATGAGATGCCAACGCAAGGTAGGAGTTGTCAACGAAAAAGGTCAGCCAAGAAAACATGGGTAGTTTGCTAACTTGGATCATCGGTTCAACGGCAATTTTGATGGCTGAAATATACAAATTCATAGAATTATATATCTATTTAACTATTTGATAATATTTGTATGTTTGTATGTATGCATGTATGTATGTATGTATGTTTGTTTGTTTGTTTGTTTTGTTTTGTTGTGTTTTGTTTTGTTTTGTTTTGTTTGTTTGTTTGTTTGTTTGTTTGTTTGTTTGTCTATCCATCCATCCTCCATCCATCCATCCTCCATCCATCCATCCATCTATCTATCCATCGATCGATCAATCGATCAATCTATCTGTCTATATATCTATCTATCAATCTATCGCTCAATCTATCTATCTGTCTATATATCTATCTATCTATCTAAGTAACTAATATATACTAATATCCTAAATTTTGTTGATGAAATATAGAGCTGGAATACCCAAAATGGTCCAACATAGATGTGGAAACCCACCATTTTTGACCGGTAAATCATCCATGACTCACCCCACGCCCCTTGAGGCATCTCCGAACAGATCAACGCCATGGCAAAGGGATTGGGCACCTTGACCGGAGAGGATTTGGGCTATCCCTAAGCGAAGAAAAATAGCCATGGCAATGGAAAGTCGAAAAAGTCACTGCGGTTTTGATAAGAGAAATTCAGAGGAAAATATGAAAAGATATGAAAAGCACTTAAACACAACATGCTCATGCGGTTTCAATGGGAAAAACGTTTTTGAGTGAAGGATTCTCTCTTGCCAAATGTTTGATTCGAGGGTAGTTGCCATCACACCTATGAGTCAAAACTTGAGACCCAGCAGAAAAAGGTGTTGGTCCATGTAACAAATCATCCCATTTGGCGATACCCAAATTTGACTCATCCCCATAATATACATATATATATATATATACATAGGAAAAATATAAATATGTTTACCAGTAGTACCGCACAAGGCGTAGCGGAAGTTTCAAAAATAGGAAACCTATAGGAGAGGTGAGCTGTTGTGAATCACGGATGGCAGAGCGAATCCACTGATGGAGCGAAAGGTGGTTGGAGTTGTGTTTTTTGGAGTGGTTGCAATGGTTGCAGTGGTCACCTCACCCACAACTGCTGGATGTAGTGTGGTGTAGCGCAGTTGTAGTTGTAGTTGTAGTGTAGTGGAGTTGTAGCTGTGGTGTAGTGTAATTAGTTGTAGTTGTAGTTGTAGCTGTAGTGTAGTGCAATGTAGTGTAGTGTACTGTCGTGTTGTGTACTCTAGTGTAGCATAGTGTAGTGCAGTCCAGTGTAGTGTGTGTGAAGTAGTGTAGTTGTAGTTGTAATGTAGCGTCGTGTAGTTGTAGCTACAGCGTCGTGTAGTGTAGTGTAGTTAGTGTGATGTAGTGTTGTGTAATGTTGTTGTTGTTGTTGTTGTAGTAATAGTAGTAGTAGTAGTAGTAGCAGCAGCAGTAGTAGTAGTAGTAGTCGTCGTCGTCATGGTGGTGGTGGTGGTGGTAGTGGTGGTAGTGGTGGTAGTGGTGGTAGTGGTGGTAGTGGTGGTAGTGGTAGTAGTGGTTGCTGGTGTAGTTGTAGTTGGTGTAGCTGTAGTTGGTGTAGTTGGTGTAGTTGTAGTTGTCGTGGCATTGTAGTTGTATAGTTGTAATGTAGTGTACTGTAAGTAGCGTAGTGTTCTGCAATGTAGTTGTAGTTTTTTATCCATCTATCTGTCTATCTGCAAATTTGAAAACGAAGCTATTCTGCGAGACTTCCTCCGTTTTAACTTGACAACGTCAACAACGAAGAAATTCAGCGAGACTTCCTCAATTTTTGAAGTTGGCAACATCATCAAAAACGAAGCAATTCTGCGAGACTTCCTTGCATAATGGAAAATTGAGTGCAGAGCTGCGTTTTACGATTTGTCCATTCCATGTCTCTAAAATATTCCGCCTGCCGCGAAAAAGTGAAGCCAGGCCATACGAAGTGCTGCACCTGTCACGCAAAATCATCTTAGCAAACTTGAAGATCTCATGCTCCAAAATGCAACCCCTCTCAGGAAATCAGCGCCCTGACCTCCGAACATCTCTCATGAACATGTCTCTTGTACGCACCTGCCGCCGCTTTTGAAAATGCTCTCACGTTTCGCTCACTTTTGGCAAGGTGCAGAGTCCCTTGTGCCTGCCACGCAAAACGACATCCGAACGTCCAAAAGCGTTCCCGCCCCCTCAGTTTTTTCCACTTTTGACTTCGAAATGTGCTTCGCGCCACAACGGCGTGCACTTTTTCGACATCTCAACTTCCAAAAGTGGTCCGAAGCTGTTGCGTTTTGTATATTTTGACTTGGAAATGTGCTTCGCGCCACAACGGCGTGCACTTTTTCGACAGTGCAACTTCCAAAAGTGGTCCGACACTGATGTGTTTTGTACATTTTGACTTCCAAATGTGCTTCGCGCCACAACGGCGTGCACTTTTTCGACATCGCAACTACCAAAAGTGCTCCGAACGTGAGGTGCTTTTAGATTTTTCACTGCCAAACGTGCTTCGCGCCACAATGGTGTGCAACTTTTCATCTCTCATCTGGCCAGATGGCTCCGCACCCGCCGCTTTAGCGAACCTACTTTTCGACCCTCCGGAGCGACAAATCATTGGAAAAACACATTGTTTAGCGACTTTGCTACCTTTTCGCGCACCTGCATCTTCTGTCTTCTGACTCTTTCTCTTCCCTGTTCTTCTTTCTTCTTTTCTTCTTTTCTCTGACTCTTCTCACCTTTGCTTTTCATCTGTCCATATTGTCGGAAGTTTGACCTTATGCTCTGTATATATATATATATATATGTATGTATGTATGAAACATGCAATAATAACATTCAAAGTTACGCTGATTCACAAGCACTATCATGTTGATTAGCAATATGTGACACTGATTTAAGACCCATGAGAATTGAACTATCAGCACATCAGTCTCCAGTTGTACTAATATTATACGCAATCTCGCAGAGTGCCGCGGTCTCCTTTATAGTGCTTTGAAGCTTACTATCAGCACATTCAATCTGTGTATATATATATATAGGGCATATTAGTGTAACGTACTTTGAGAGCTGATATATTTATACCGTTGCAATATGCATATGCATATATACATATATGTGTATACATATATGTATATGCGTATAAAGAAAGCAGGACGTAAACATCAATGAGAGCCAGGTAGAGGAAGGATGGATAGACAGATAGATAGATAGATAGATAGATAGATTCATCCACACATGCATGCGTTTTTATTTAAATGTATATAGTAGTTACACATACATATATATATATATATATTTAAATTAATTTTCCCAAACCACAGCATCAAACAATCATACCCAAAGGAAAAACATGACCATACAATATGTATGGATAAATTTACAAACGACCTCACCTTTTGACGGGGTCGCATTGCCAGTCTTGGGGATGGGCCACCAACTAACATAGATCTTGTCAGGGAGTTGTGAGAGCACTTTCCTCGAAAGCAGTTGAGTTTGTTGGGGTCCATGGTATGGTCTGTGCATTTTTGTGGGGATGGTAGTGAGAAACTCTTCAGAAGCTTCTCTTTCACCTCCGTATCAATGGTGTTTACGTCTGTCTATGGTGCAAAATTTTGTTAATCGAGACGCCATGGATTGACGAACCATACATAGGATGCTTGATATGTTTGAATTCCACTTGATGCAGTTTCAATGATGCATTTCAACTATAACGTATATCAATCTTCGCAGGGCACCACAGACACATCAAAACAACATGCCAATCGTGCACAATACATCCGGAGAGATAGATAGATTTAGTGAGACTTCTTTGGTGCTGCCATGCCGCCCAAGCAACAAGCTGATGCAGGGCCTTATGAAGAGCCAGGAGAAACATGGTCACTTCTTAGCGAAGGATTGGAGCCACGTGGTAGCGTCAAGAACAAATGGGAGACTCAAGAATGGAGGGCAGCACGATGCGAGGTGTACTCACAGTTCATGAAAGATGAAATCTCCAAGCGTCAGAAGCTGTCTGGCAAGCCCGCTTTTGACGCGTTATGGAAGTTGGAAAAGCCCAAGATGGAATTTGTCAAAAGTGAAAATCCCCATGCAGGCTCTGCGCATGATACGCCTGCATCTGAAGATGCTGAGGAGTCTGGGGAGGGTAACATGTATGGGCAGCCGCCCGCATGTGTCATGCCCTATTTTGGGGTTCAATATAATTTGCTCCCAATCCGGATGGCTTCAGAACAAGAATTTTGTTTATTCTCTGCTTAAATCACCATGTTTGCTGGTTAACACCCAATTTGTTGCTCGTTACTGTAAATCACCATTTTTGCTGGTTAACACACTATTTGTTGCTCGTTAAATCACAATTTGTGCTGGTTAGCACACAATTTGTTGCTCGTTAAATCACAATGTTTGCTGGTTAACACACTATTTGTTGCTCGTTAAATCACCATTTTTGTTGGTAAACACACAATTTGTTGCTCGTTAAATCACAATGTTTGCTGGTTAACACACAATTTGTTGCTCGTATTTGTTGCTCGTTAAATCACCATGTTTGCTGGCCAAAATACAATTTGTTGCTCGTTAACTCACCAAATACAAAAGAAAAGTGGACATTCACGGGACTCGGAAGACCTTGGTGAACGGAGGGGACGTGATCCGCCGAGGCAAAGTCTTGCCGGAAGACCTGCGGCAAGAGATGTACCTGGTGCAATGGATTCATTAAATTCATGTGGGTAAAACAATGCCATAAACCATCCCCGAGTCATCACCATTCTTATGGGTATGTTTACCATTCCCGGTTATAGGTGGTTTATGACATTGTTTTACCCGCATTACTATTTTTTTTGCTGTAAATGGAGATTAATATGGAATAGAGTAAGCATATAAGATTCCAAAATGGAGATTAAGGGGAACATTCATTAACCAACTCGACTCAAAATGTAGTTTTTGCTGAGTATGGAAGATTAGGAATATTTTTGTTGATGGTTTATTTTTATGTTTCTACCCCGATCCAACTAGTTGGATATGTCCACCATACATCCAATTGTTAGCCTACTTTGAAACCATCTTACCTATTGCACCTATCGAATCTGTGGGTGCCAATCTGGATAGATTGTAGCAATTCAGACTCAGATGTTTGGAGCCTTCTTGAGATTTGATAGGTAAACATCAGTCCTCTCATTCCTTATTGTTTTTTAAGCACGGGATGAAAAACCACCAAACGATGAAGCTTTAAATGTGCGGATAACATGTCATCATCCAGATTTGGCACTCAGAATGGTTTGTTTTGCTTAATCACCAGCCCATGTGTGGGTTCTTTTGCGGCCGTCGATTTTGAAGGCAGGAAGGCAGAGAAGGATATAATCACCAGCCTTTTTGTTTGTTAAATCTCCAAGGGTGGTGGTGAAGTGTCAATTGTTTTGGGGGGCGATTCCTCCCCATGTCATCCAACCATGAAAGATGAACCAACTCTTCTGATTACCCTCTGGTAAACTAACATAGCTATAGAAAATCACCATTTTTAATGGGAAAACTCACTATAAATGGCCATTTTCAATAGCTATGTTAAATTACCAGAGGGTATTATCGAAGTCGGTTGCTATGCCCATATTGACAATTCTCCAAAGTAATTATTCACAAATGAGTTTCTTGGATGTCCCCAAACTATCCCGATTTCTGTCAGTAATAGAAACAATCCGCAAGTTTGACATTAACCTAGGATAGTATAGATAGCATGACGACATTTGTTAGGCACATCATGGTACATGATCTACTACTGCTGATACATCAGCAATTTCGGGAAAAGATATCAGAAGGGACAAAGGTGTAATTTGATTGGATGATCCTTCAGGTTGCCAGTTTTTGAAACACGAACTACATCTAGAATGAGCAAGCTTTGTTTCTGAGATGAGTAGACTTGCGGGATCATTCCACTGAGCAAGCGGTTAAACTGCTGAATAATGGTGTATATTGAATATTGGTTAATCATGGTGAAGATATTGGTGAATATTCGTGAAACATGATGTGATAATTGTTAATAATCCTTGTTAATAAGTTAGTGGCTTCTCCCATGTGGAAGTGGGGTGGTGTTCCAAGTTGGATATCCAAGGACGTGACCGAGTAATTTTCCCATCCAGCCATTATCAACCATTAAAAAAAGGCATTTTACAAATCAGAATCCACCATCATTAGTTCACCATTATTAAGCATGATCAACAAAAAAAGACACATCATTTTTCACGCAGATTCACCAATATTTTCACCATGACTATGACTAAGCAATAACCATTTAACCAGTATTAATTACCATTATTAGTTAACCATTATTAAGCATAATATTAACCATGATCAACCAATATAAACCATCATTATTCAGCAGTAACCAATCCTCACCAGCTGTTCTGTTGAAGGCATGGTTTGTTGACACCCATGGAGATCGCACAGCTGCTCAGTGGCTTGGGCACGTTGACACTCGGCGCGTATGCTACCGCGATAGGTGGTTTGAATCGATCATGGGGAGATAATTCATGAAATGTATACTATATACTCACTATATATATATATATATTTAAACACACATAGTGATATAGTTTTATATATACATATAGTTATATAGTTATATATATATACATAGTTATGTAGTTTTATATATATATATATACATGCACAGTATATCTCCATGATATCCCCATTGATTATGTGTAGATTCCCAGGTGGATATATTTTACAAGACTGGAGTGCTGCACCATTGGCAGGGAGGCTCTACCACCGATTATTGTAGCATTGGATCTCCGAATTTGGTGTGTCTCAAATTACTTGTAGGGTTTATATACCCTGCGGTAAACTAACATAACTATGGAAAATCACCATTTTTAGTGGGTAAATCAACTATACTATAAATGGTCCATTTCCCACAGCAAACTGTTAGTTTACTGGAGGGTATATATATATATATATCAACAAGGCGCCGCGCCAATGGCTGAATGAAAAGGATATGATCTATCCATTGGGAATTTTTCAGGCGAATAATCAGATGATTGAAAACTAGGGTTGAGCACTTTTTAGGCGTGCCAAGCTTAAAATGGAAATACGACTCGGCGGGTTTGATGATTTTGTACAGGCAGATATGGTGATGGAAGTGACATGTCGATGGAGAGTTTGATCAACGAAATGCAGATGTTTGCGACAGCACAACTGGGAAGTCTTGCGAATTAGAATTGAAGATAGGGACTTACCCTCTGGTAAACATACAAAAACTATGGAAAATCACCATGTTTAATGGGAAAACTCACTATTTCAATGACCATATTTCACTGGAATGTTGCTAATCCACCAGAAGTGGAGAAAAAAATATGTGGGATTTTCCCCAAGTGTTGGCGAGCAAGAAGACCACCGTCAACTGCAACCAGGGGATGGGTCAATACGTACGGTTTTGCCCCATATGCACTAGCTGAACTATGCACCTGAATTCGAAGTTCCAAATGCCAAATGGTTTGAAATAGATGGATCATGAAATATGGATGTTTCAGCTGGTGTTTGAAAGCTGCTAGAAGGATCTTGCAGCTTCTTTTGCTCGGATTTGCTGTGTTGACTTGTCGTCTCCTACGGTCATTGGGTCGCATCTCGTTTCCAATGAATAAGTACAGGTAGAGGAATGCATATACAATCAGGCATATGTAACATGTGTATGTTGAATATAGTAATAATGTGTATTTAATATAATATAGTATTATGTATATATATATACATACATCATGAACAAAAATATATTACTACAATATATATATCAATATATATATATACATATACATATGTTCATGTTTTCGTGTATGCATTCATTTGCGAGTTTCGATGCATCCATGTGTTTCTATCCTCGTGGATCACGTCACGTCAGAACGTAGCGCAGCTCTCAGGAACGTTGAGGACTGGGAGACGCACACGGCCTACACCCACGGACTGCATAAGGAGACTGGACTGGGGCTGGAGGCTCCAACGGACGTGAAGCAAAACAATGGGGTTGTCGGGTTATCCACAGCGATGTTCATGGATATGATGATTAACTAATTGATTTGGGGTACCCTATTTTCACAGGAGTGAGCAAGAATGGGATGATGCAAGACAAAAAATGATCGGCTAGAAGCAGCAATCATCAAGATAGAAACAAGAAGCCTGTGCAATGAACAGAGAGTCTAAGGACCAGTCTTCCAGTGGGACCACCATGAAACCTCACCAAGAAATCAAGCGGTATGTATAACCTGACCGTTTCGGGGGATGGAAGCAATGCCACAGGACATAGGTTTCAGGTGAAAAGACTTCAACATATTTGAATCAAAGGTCACAGAAAGCATCCGAAGATTTTTCCCTATAGTTGGTGGTATAACGACATTTTGTTATTTTCATTTTATTCCTAGTTAAGTTGCTTATTTGTTAACTTTGGAAGGCAACAAGCGTTTTGACTATACTATTTACGGGTGTGGAATGCAACAAGCGTTTTACCAGAATCCTTCAGTGCGCAAAACGTTTCTTTTGTTTGTTTGCTGAAAACCTTGTGAAAACCTGGTGAATTCACCAAGTTTTCACCAGGTTTTCACCAAGTTTTCACCAGGTTTTGGCATTCACCGCGTTTTCACCAGGTTTTGCAAATTCACCAGGTTTTCACCAGGTGTTCATCACGTTTTCAAAATAACCGACATGTTCATCAAGTTTTTGGAAATTCACCAGGTCTTTCACCAGGTTTTGGAATTCACCAGGTTTTGGAAATGCACCAGATGTTCACCAAGTTTTGGAAATTCACCAGGTGTTCATCAAGTTTACACCAGGTTTTGGAATTTCACCAAATTAAACCCAAATGTCACTTTAAAACGCATAAACTCCACCAAAAAAAACAGAAAAACGCTTCTTTTGGTGAATTTTGGAGGTGTAAATCTCTTCTTTTTTTTCACGTTTTGGAAATTCACAAGGTATTAGTTTTCTTCAAGCTTTCACCGGTGTTTGGAAATTCACCAAATTTTCACCAGGTGTTCAGATTTTTCACCAAGCCTGGGCGATCAATCAGGAGGTTTCAGAATCGCATCAAGTTTTCACTGCAGTGATGGTCGGTATGTAATTTTGAAAGAAGCATTTTTTTCGGCACCATTTCCAGGAAAAAACGCAAGAAGCGTAGTTTTCTACTCTCCCTTGAACACAAAAAAAAAAGTTGGTGGATCCCTGGCAAAGCCTCCGTAAGCAACTTGATGATTCCAATGGATTTTCCTCCAATGTTGGTGGTTCGTTGTGGTGTCACCAGTTGCAACGAGGTGGTGGACAGTACTCCCGAGAGAATCAGGTGAATGAAAAATGGTCGATAATATGATGTGAATTGTCACAGGATTTAATTCAATCCTTTGGTTTACCCTCTGGTAAACATACAAAAAACTATGGAAAATCACCATTTTTAATGGGAAGACTCACTATAAATGGCAATTTTCAATAGCTATGTTAGTTTACCAGAGGGTACTTTTGGTAGCTTGCAAGCATCCCCCATGGATCACTTTGAAAAAATCAACTGGACCATGGTTGAATCATTTATCCAAATTCATTATCCATGGTTGAATCAATGGCCATTTCAGGAACCTAAATTGGAGGTACCTACCATATATTTTTGGCCTATATAAGGCCTATGTAAGGGAATATCCCAGCAAAATATGGTCTTATATGGTACAGTACCTCCATTTTGGGATCCTGAAATTCCCAGTGATTGAATCATTTTTGGTCTAAAGGATCACTATGATCACTTGTTTTTTCTTGTTTATGACCTTTTGTAGTTTGGACATGTCAATGCCAACCATGTTTCAAGGGGCGTCTCATCCCAGAAAAATCTGGAAAAACGTTGACATGTCCACAGATTTAACTTGGATATCCCAAAAATGCATTAAACATATTAAAAGATATGGGGGTTTCCATAGTCATGGGGGTACCCAAAAATGGATGGTTTATTTCATGGAAAATCTCATTTATAAAATTTTATAAATTGGATGATTTAGGGGTAGCCCCATTTATGGAAAGCTCCATATGTTAATCCCCCAAACTTGGTCCCGGACTCTGCGGGTTGTCACCAGGAGAGCAATGTGGTGCGCTGGTTTTGGCAGGTGGTTCGTGACTGGGCCAACTCTGAGGACTCGGTGGCGGGGTTAACATGGGAAAACCACGGGAAAATCCTGGTTTTTATGACCCATGACGGATCCATGGTGCTGCTATATATGGTAACATGGATCCCATCAATATACCCCAGTCATGTTAGCATATATACCATACATGGATCCTATGGGTGAGATTGTGTCTTGGGTACAGTTGGAATTAGAAATGGGAAATGGCTATGATAGCTATGATAGTAACTCCCATAAGTATCCATAGGTTGGGATGTAACTTCTGAAACTCTGATTACGTATTCACTCAGAACTGGAACTGCACTCCCCTCTTGGTTCATGCTTCAACTCGGATGACAAAAAAAAAACTCGGAATACCTCGGAGAAATAAACACAGAGTCTATATGATTAAAAGAGTCATATGATTTACCCTCTGGTAATTTAACATAACTGATGGGAAAATCCACCATTTTTCATGGGAAAATTCACTATAAATGGTGATTTTCAATAGCTATGTTAAATTACCAGAGGGTACCTTTGAAAGTTATTGGCTTATTTGTCACTCCCTCACCAAGAAACGGGAATTTTGAATTGGCCCTCAACCTTTTTTTACACATGTTCAAAGCATTGGTAAAGCCTGGTGGGGTAGTTTAATCCATTGAGATATATTGAGATATATTTGCGAAAAAAAGTCTGGGTTGAAAATCGTGAGATCAAGGCATCATATCTGGATATAATATGGTCATACTTTGATGTATTGGCCATAAATGGGGGATGGATGGGTCAATATCTGTGGTTTCCCCTTGTTTGGGGAAAAAGGCGTCTCAAAAGTGAATTTCATCTGATTGTATGGAGATGGTTCATGATGCATCTGGGCGAATATATGAAACGCGCCCATGTCCCGAAATTCTGTTTGCGTGGATTCATACTTTTTGGATGCTCATATGATACACATGCGATGGTAGAACTTATTAGGAGATATTAGGTGGTGATATATGGAGGTTTCCGAAAATGGGGGTACCCCTTAATCATCCACTTTAATAGATAGGATTTTCCATGAAATAAACCATCCAGCTTGGGGTACCTCCATGACTATGGAAACCCCCAGCTTTGTACCGCAACCTGCCCCAATTCATCCCAGGACAGGTGGCCAGAAAAGCCGTGAACCCCCCTGGTCTCATCATTGCCATATCCCCGAAGTAAATGGAGGTTGTGTGAAGGGGAATATCCATAGGAACTGATGGAAAAATCCCAGATACAAAAGCTGGATTTTCCAGCAAGCCATGTTTTTTTTACCGGAGGGTGGCTGATATAACCCTCCAAAATCTTGATATGCTAACCAATACCTGCAATACATCTTTGTGATGAGCATCCATTCACCAGCTCTTGTGCTGTATCTGCCCAGGGTATCTCTTGGGTGAACTGACCCATATCTGCCCAGGATATATTTACCCATTCTGGTTGATGGTAGGGGTAAAAAACTAGCCTTCATATATTGGGATAAGTATAAGTAGCTGGAAAGCCATATCTGGTTGGTGGTTTGGACATGGCTTTTATGTTTCCATATATTGGGAATTTCATCATCCCAACTGACTTTCAGATTTTTCCGAGGGGTTGAAACCACCAACCAGCAAGCAACGAGTATTTCATGGAATGACCAAAGGCGGCTTTGAACACTGCTCACATGTAAAATACATCCCATTCGACCCCAAAGGGTATCCCAATTATATCCCCATTGTGGTTGATTTTGCAATACGTGCCATGGTCAATTTGGTTGGACTGTATGCACATATTGGGGATAGAATCCATGAAGAGTGAATTATAGACCTAGCAATGTTTGGATTCCCGTTATGAAATGGATGGCAATAGTCCATGTACCTTGTTTTGACCATGGCACATATGTTAGCACATCCGATTGTATCCCAATTATATCCCCATGATATCCCCTGTATATCCCATTGTGGAGTACATTGCAACATATCCCAGTTTCCATCACCCTATCATAGCTGATTATTACAATCCCTTGCCCCAAAAAAAATTGAACACCTCCATTCTTTCTGGTCCCGAAGATGTATAAAATGATATAAAATGTATAAATTCCCTACATCCACCATGGTTTCTGGGGTCAATGTTGGAAAGAACATATAGATGTGCTGGTCCGTTGCGCTACGAGCCTTGCGTTGCCACCTGTCAGGCTGGGTGACCAGCGGTCATCATTATCCCAAAATATTCGGCAATCTAAGAATGAAGTAGCAAGAGAGTCATCAAGTACAATTAAGTACCAGCAAAAACTATAAGATATTATTAATTTCTAAGTATGATTAAGTATGCACCATTTTCAAACAATGAAGTACCGAAAAAATGAGCATCAACCAAGCCATTTGGGTTCTGCCGAACGCCAGGAGGTCCTTCTGCCCCAATTGCTGCAGTTTGTGACCGGCTCCGCGCGGGTCCCGGTGGGTGGTTTCAGTGAGCTCGTGCCTTGGCGGTCGACGTTTGGAGAAAAAATGGGGTGAAACAGATGGGTTTAATTTGGTGCAATGGGATATATTGGGATACAGGTGGATGAATATATGAATATATATATATATATGAATATGATTGAATATGAATATGTATACATGAATAGATTTTATGATATCGATGTGATGTATATAATTCATGATGATTCATATATACATATTATATTATATAGCCACATATATATATATATATATGATTTGGGTATTGGTCTGAACACAGCCCAAAACATTACTAGTGACTAGTGTGCATAGCAAGTGTCAAAAACCCTGCGAAAATGGATCTACCCCTGTGATTATTTGGTTCAACTCATTTTGCTGCTTCAGTCCCAAGTCTTGTTCGCCTCGGCTCCCCGAATTTTTTGGGGAAAACTCCCTATGTTTGTCGCTTCCCCATGTCATTGAGGTTGGTTTCAACGGAGCCAAGCATGCCTTCACTTTAGCTGGAGCGAATCATCTGTCGAAGCAGGCATTGCCTGTGGCCCACACCTGCATTTGTTGCTTGATTCGCCAGCGACCAACGGGATGGATAGTTTAGTATAGCCTTTGCACTTGGGGATATAATATTTGATATAATAGAATGTTATTATAATGATGTTAAACAAAGCAATGCCAGAAAACCCCATTTATGGCAAATTTAGGGATGGTTTCCTATTTAGTAACATACACCAATTAGCTAAAAACATGTATTTTTGCGCAGGGGAAGGAAGATTTGCCATGAATGCCGGTGATGTTCAGTGCATGCTGGTGGAAATGTGTTTGTTTGAAGGGTACATATAGCAAAACCCCCAAAAAATAGCTTACTCTGGCAGGGGGCCCCAAACAGTGTGGGGGAAGAAACTGGAGGAAAACATGTTTTTTTCAAAGGAATTCATAGGATCTTTACACAAGGACTCACAGGATCTGTGCTGCACAACCATGAATCTCTGTACAAGGATCCTTTGGGGGAACTCACAAGATCTCTGTGCAGGTAGCCTCTAGGGACTCACAGGATCTCTATCCAAGGACCCTTCAACAGAACTCACAGCATCTCTATATAGGGAGCCTTTATTCAATTCCCCTGATGTCGAAACTCGAAAGTAACTCACAAGGAATTCACAAAGTCTCTGAGGATCCAATTCGGATCTCGTAGGATCTGTGTGTGACGGACCCTTTGTGGGCACAAGATCTTAAAATCAGAACTGGCACGACCTTTGCACAAGGGAACTCGTATCCGGTTTGGGACCACCTGATCTGTAGTTTAGGGATAGCGTTTGTGGGTAGTGCTTCACTGCTGGTTGAGTTGGGTAGAGATTGTGGGAACGCCCTGCTGCGTGTAACTGTCCGACACCAGACTGGGGATCCAATTCGGTTTACGATAGGAAACATTCGAAAACAAATCAAGGTAAAAGTTGTCATACCTAGCCGAAAAATGATTTCGTTCAAGGATATCTCATGTTTGCCATGGGTAAGGTATGGCAGGACAATGAGCTTTGATATGTGTGAACATGGCCGTGTAGGACAACCTATCGGATAGCACTTTTCCATGAGGATTCGTTGAATTTCATACTTGGGCGTGTGTGAAAATGGGGTATATATGGGGTATATCCCCAAAAGGCTTAGTTGATGTTAGAGATTTCATTGTGGAAATGGCATGTGCAAGCTGGGTACCAAAGTTTTAAGCATCCATAACCATATCACCGTAAAAACTGGCGAAGTAGCTTTGGGTGTCCCGAGCAAAAAAGATGATGCTGATTTTTATGTTGCCTGTCGGATCCTGTCGGTAATTTGTTCTTTCTACACATTGAATGTATATTGAATGTCAAGTTTGCACATCGTTCGGTACTGCCAAGAAACATAAGAAATGAAGAGTTCGTTTGTCCCTGAAATGTGCGCCCAAAAACGCATCTTTTGTTCGCTGTTTCTGAGGCACATTGGATATGCCTCCCTACCCAGATTTGGAGACCTGCCGCCACAAGATGACGCAAATGTTACGCTTGGGACGATCTCACTTCGATGAGGGTGCAGGCCTGCTGGATCGATGAATCGATGCACAGTGGCATGTGCTATGATTGTAGTTGTTTATACCATGACATAGCATATGTATGCATATGTTGTATCATAACTTCATATGAATTGCACACAATTTGTCAATAATTTGAATATAATGACGTTATCATGTTGTGATACACGTGTTTATAATGATAGATTATGATATATATACACATATATATATAATTATATATATATATATGTTTATGCATATATATATATATAGACAATACATATGTACACAAAAATATATATACATATGTTCTTTAATACAAAAGAAAAAGTAACGTGAAAGTGCGGAACAGACGGATTTTCCCCTCATAGTCCTGTCCAGGTGCAGGTTCCGTCTGCACCCAAGTCATCCCAAGTCCGAATGATGGGCCTCCCAGGTACAGTTGGGCTTTTCACCGAAAATGTCATGCAGTTCAGTCGTAGACAACCCTGGCTGTATCTCCAAGTCTCCAAAGATATACACACAGACTCAGTCGGATTTCACCCAATAAACAGACGTATGTCCAAATCAATTGACAAGCTGTTGTCAACTTCAGTAACCCATATACCCTCTGGTAATTTAACATAGCTATGGAAAATCACAATTTTTCATGGGAAAACTCACTATAAATGGCCATTTTCAATAATTAGCTATGTTAAATTACCAGAGGGTAAGATCGCACTTAAAAAAGGCCTGTAACCACCATGCAAGGGTTTTTTCTCTGGTAGTCAACCGTGGCGATGGAAAATCCCGAAATTTTCGTGTCAAGCTATACCACCATGTGACCGTTAAATACCCCAGTTTTCAGGTAGATGCATTTTGTTGGTTATTTATCCCAGAACTTCTATTATACCAAGCTATATACATCATTATACATCCCCTCAGATTTGTATATGATACATCCCCTATTGTATCCCTATAAATCCCATATTCTATAAGTATATATAAAGATATAATAGGATAAATCCCTATTATAATTTGACATAATTATACATAACTATATATATATATGTATGTATGTATGCATGCATGCATGCATGTATGCATGTATGCATGTATGCATGTATGCATGTATGCATGTATGCATGTATGCATGGATGCATGGATGGATGGATGGATGGATGTAATGGATGTAATGGATGTAATGGATGTAATGTATGTATTAATGTATGTATGTATGTATGTATGTATGTATGTATGTATGTATGTATGTATGTATGTATGTATGTATGTATGTATGTATGTATGTATGTATGTATGTATGATGTATGTATGTATGTATGTATGTATGTATGTATGTATGTATGTATGTATGTATGTATGTATGTATGTATGTATGTATGTATGTATGTATGTATGTATGTATGTATGTATGTATGTATGTATGTATGTATGTATGTAATGTATGTAATGTATGTAATGTATGTATGTATGTATGTATGTATGTATGTATGTATGTATGTATGTAATGCATGTATGTATGTAATGCATGTATGTATGTAATGCATGTATGTATGTAATGCATGTATGTATGTAATGCATGTATGTATGTAATGCATGTATGTATGTAATGCATGTATGTATGTAATGCATGTATGTATGCATGTATGTATGTATGTATGCATGTATGTATGTATGTATGTATGTATGTATGTATGTATGTATGTATGTATGTATGTATGTATGTATGTATGTATGTAGTGTATGTAGTGTATGTAATGTATGTAATGTATGTAATGTATGTAATGCATGTAATGTATGTAATGCATGTAATGTATGTAATGTATGTATGTATGTAATGTAATGTAATGTAATGTAATGTATTTTTTATGTAATGTAATGTAATGTAATGTAACGTAATGTAATGTAATGTGATGTGATGTGATGTAATGTAATGTAATGTAATGTAACGTAATGTAATGTGATGTGATGTGATGTGATGTAATGTAATGTAATGTATGTATGTAATGTAATGTAATGTAATGTAACGTAACGTAATGTAATGTAATGTAATGTAACGTAATGTAATGTAATGTAATGTAATGTAATGTATGTAATGTAATGTAATGTAATTTAATGTAATGTAATGTTATGTTATGTTATGTTATGTATGTATGTATGTATGATATATGTACATATTATAGATATATCATGATATTATATATATATAATATCCCTACTAGATCTTCATTGATGTTCCTTTTCCGCCAGGTCAAGCCGAGACCTGAGCGGAGACCATTCCGATCGCGAACGCTCGGGCGGGTTTCGGGGCCGGCATTTTGATTCGTTTTTCGGAGAAACGATATAGGACCATCATTGGAAACTCATGGAAAATCATTGGAAAATCATTAGAAAATCACTGGAAAGTCGTGGAAACTCATTGGAAAAGTCATGGCAAATCATTGGAAACTCATGGAAAATCATTGGAAAATCATAGGAAAATCAGGGCAAAATCAAATCGAATGAATCTAATGATGAGGTCATTTTTGTTGGTAAAACTCCTTGGGAAATTTCACATAGAACCCGACTGGGTGAGTGGCTTGAGTTTCAGCCATGATGGGGGATGCGCTCAGGTTGGGCACAAGAGGAAAGATGCACGTGTAGTCATCCAGTTTTTATAAAAATCTAAGATGTTCAAGCATACATGTAAGTGCCGATGTTTGAAATTTCCAGGCTCTGACTCTAGACTCTATACTGAAGGAGTACTATCAATGTGTGCACTGGTGGTTTCAAATGCCTGGGATCATGGATTTACAAGGTGGTTCCCACAAGTCACGATGCAAGTCAGCCGTCCTGTATGGAAGGAGAAACCATTGATTTGTGATTGTGTTTACCCTCTGGTGGTCTTACATAGCTACGGAAAATCACCATTGTTGATAGGTGAATCATCTACAGATGGGTCATTCTCCAGAGCTTTGATAGTTTATTGCAAGGTAACAATTTGTCAGATGATTCTTTGACCCCTGGTTCCTCTTGATCGAGCAAAAAAAAAATGTGCGCTGAGATCCGGTCAACATGACAGCTCCACATGGACTGATTGGCAGTGTTTCCTGCTGGGACCCACTGGAAAATTTATGCGAAAAAAAAACATGAACAGCGGGGGGCTGAAGCATCTTTGAAACAAGTTTAAACCATTGGTATTTGTTTGAAAATAAGGTACCCCTAGATGGTTAATCATCAGATTCCCACTACAAAATGGTCATTTTCAGACGCAGCCATCTCTTGTGGTGGTTTCAAGCTGTCTCATTTTTTTCGTCCACGAGGAGCTGTTCATTTAGGACTCCAAGCCGCGAGTTTGGGGCACAGAATCCGATCATGGATTTGGCTTCAGCTTCGCCAATTTGGTCATGTATAATTGTAGTAATGATATATGTATAATTATAGTGTAATGCGGGGCAATGTGGGATGGGTAGTGTAAGTTATTGTTTAAATATGTTTAATACGTTGGTCTTTTGCCATCAATGGGGTATATACTTACCATATTGATCATGTACTGCAGATCTAAATATGAAAATTGTCTACCTTCGCCCGCTGATGTCAGTTCATGTGTGACTGCGTGGGCCTTAAAGTGTAAAATTGATGTGAAGCTGAACACAATGAAGAAATGAATTGCAAAGTATGCCAATAGTCTAACTACTTTAATATACATTAGCATTAACATACACATGATTTGAAGAGAACGAACAGTATACCGTATTGTAGCTGGTGGGATACATTTAAGAAGGTGATTTCCGTTCCAGTCGTCGCAAAGCATTAAAGTTCTTTGACTTAAGTTGATCGACTCGGCTTAGCCGGAAGCAAGACATACCCCTGATACTTGATTGAATTGGGTACAATTTTGGTACTTCCACCTTGATGGGAAAACAGGATTGAGATTGAGACGTGTCTATTGGGTCCAATTTTGATACTTCCCTGAAAATTGGAAAACCGTATTGAGATTATGAGAGAAACGTAGTGTCTCTAGGGAGATTGCCAGCACGGCTTCAGTGCCCAGAACATGCGCGAGTAATCGCGAGTCGCCGGCACTGAGACCCCTCATGGTTTCACATGCGGACAAAGAAATCGCTGCAGCTCATGTCCCAAGGATACCGTGTCTCTTGAAGATATTTTAAGATATCTTGCCAATTATATAGTTCTATTATGTTCTATAAAAAAAATATCCTAATATTTGGCGAGTCAATTTTTCAGTTAAGACCCAAGGGGATGCTTGCTTCTGGTCCAGTCTGTTCTTATTATATACCCTCTGGATCCCTCTGGTTATTTAACATAGCCATGGAAAATCACCATTTTTAATAGGTAAACCATCTATAAATGGGCCGTTTCCCATGGCTATGTTAAATAACCAGAGGGTAACATTTACTATGATATATTTGTGGGTATCCCAAGTTTTACACCTCCACATTCGAGAAAACAGTCGGACCTCAATCGACCTTTTTTTTGCTGACTCCATTCTAGTTGTTGTAGTTCAACCGCCATTCTGTTATTTACGTTTGCTGACTGCATACATCCCAAGGATGAGACTCGGATGAGATCATTGATTCGAATTCATGATTCCATAATATTCTATATTCTTTGCAGGATCCCGTATACGTAGTATTCCCTTCCCTCAAATATTCAACACCCAAAAAAACATGGTTTAGAAGAATTTAGAAGGGGATCTAAACTAATTAAACATATTGGAACCCTCATTGGGTGTGTTGTTTTTTACCTCAGAGGGATGAGATTCTTCACTGAGTTTGTTGCGAGTTCAACTCTGGACAGGCCAGCCTTGGAAGCCTTCCAGCGCTGGACCAAAAGGGGCGATGTTTTTGGTGCTGGGACTGGTTAGTTCTCTCAAGAAACCATACTAAACATTACTAAGCCCCGACCAGTAATCAAACACTGCAATTCAAGATCCATTATTTCAGGATTCTAGATGTTTTTTTAAGATACACGTGTTCGATTGCAGTGTTTGATTACCAGAGGGTACTCGGAAGATGTCAACAGTGCCAACGCTCGTCTTCCCGAACGGTCAGGTCAAAGGGGCTTTGTCATTAGTGTCTGTGCAAATCAATGGATGTGTGCTCTTACAGTATCAGTCAGTTTTGGTTAGGCTATCTCCTAATATTTCTTGATATTTGTACCAGCCGGGCCGCTTGGCCGACATCAGGGCAGAGGCATCAAGAATAGCCAGCCGATTCCATCGCGCCTCGCTCTGACTCCGACTCAGAGGTACTTGACAGCGGTGAATGCCGCTGAATGCCTCTCCTTCCGTAGGCTTGACGGCTTGACGCTGGCCCTGGGGGAATGGAACGGACCAAGGGACATGGAAATTTCGGTCAAAAACGAGGAAAATGCCGATCAAACCCAGGGGGTCACCCTATGGACAGCCACTGCCCGAAAGGATGTGACTGAACGCCAGCATTTTGCCATGTGTTTGCAAATCATCATTGCAACTCGGTGTTTCTGAAAGGGCCGGGCCGGATGGTGGCTGGTTCATTTCACTGGCGATGACAAGATTAGACTTAAGGGGGTGAGTTTGTGTGCTATTAACAATTAACTATGACTATGACCTATTAACCCACTATTTGAACATAGATTATTAGATACTTACACTGTGATGTGTTTAAAGGTAATGACTAATTACATTGTATGGAAATTATCTGAATGATAGTTGTATACACATGTTTGCTAACGGAACCTTGCCACGTTGTGGTGTGACACGAGTTACTTTTTTTGGAGCTTCGTAAAGGATGGAGATGAAAACTGGTGCATGGTCTAACAATCAAATTAGCTCAAATTCTGCTGACAGATATGAAGCATGCAGTATTCTCTCAATTTATAACTATGTCGTACTATGTCTAAATGGGGAAAAAAGAGGAAGACGTTGAATTCGTTCTGCGAACTATACGAACTAGATCCGATTTGATGTTTTAAATTGTTTTAACATGCAAATTAAGATTGAAAGAAATGGAACCTGCAATCAACAGTCATGTCTCCTATTTGTCAATCTGAGGATGGACATCAATAATTTCTGCAAAACAAATAAATAAGATGTACATTACATTTGTTGAATAGATATTTGTACATATTATATGTATATTATTAATAAAAAAAATATCGATACTATTACTACTTATAAATATCATTGTTTCGCTTTAACCTTATTATTAAATATATAAAAAAAAAAAAATATTACGGATAAAATAAATTTTATTTATCCTCACGAAATATTTAATATTTAAAATATGAATAATTAAATAATTAAATAAGAAATTAATGAAAAATTCGATAAAATATAATATATATATAATATAATATATTATAATTTTATATATTACAATTTTATATTTATTTAATTACACATATTTATATTTATATAATAAATATTAAATAATAATTAAAATATTATATATATATATTAATAATTTTAAAATTATAAAAATATATTTTAATATATATGAGCGACGGCTCTTATTTACGTATATGGAAAATAATTTTTGGACTTACCCTGGTTTGTTAAAAATATTATATTTAGCTTGTAAAACGATATAGGAACATTCCGAGAACGAGATAGACAAAAATATTACGGGATTGGAGAACGAGATAGGAATACCCTGTTAATTGCCTTATATAACAAATATGGTTCGTAATTTATATGTATATATATATTGAAAATTATTAATAATTATTTACCAGACGATTCCTTGTGACCTTGTTTCTGTTTTCTGCTAAGTGGCCTTTAGAAAGAGGTCAGTTAAGGAAAACGTAGAAAGAGGTCACTTAAGGAAACGAACCAAACAGTGGTCTACCAGTGACACGCAAGTGACACGCAGGTGACACACAGACAGCCAATCCTTAAGTGACCTTTTCAAGGCTTAAGTGACCTTTTCAGGGTCCTAAGTGACCTCGTTTCATCCCACCTCGAAACCCCAGTGACACGCAAGTGACACGCAGAAATCATGAGATCAGCCAGGCAAAGAGGTCACTTAAGGATTCATGAAACGAGGTCACTTATACATGATTGATCTTGTAAGTGACCGTTTGGCACTTTGGGTCTAAGTGGCTTCCATTAGAGGGCAGAAGTAACTGCCTGGTAAAATTAATATTTATAATATTTTTAAAAATAATATAATATATTATATATTTTTAAAATTATTATAAATTTTAAATTATATATAAATATATAATATATATATAAATATATTTGGGGGTTGTCTAAAATACCTTTTCCCGGACAGCCCTCAATCGCTTAGCCAATCGCGTAGCAACCGCGGTACCACAGTGAGCAATCGCGGAAGGGTTTGTTCTTCGTTG